CCTCGGCGCGGCGGTTGGCGCTCGCGTGCGCGGCCATGCGCTCGCGGCCGCGCTGGTCGCGGAGCTCGCGCACCAGCGCCTGCACCTCGTCGGGCCGGATGAGGGCGGCGCCGCAAAAGGTGCACGGCCCGAGACCCTCTTTGACGCAGATGACCTTGCCACACGAGAGGCAGTTGGGTGCCGCCGTCTGCAGCGGGTGCCGGGTGGCGACGCAGCGGCAGCGCCGGGCGCGCGGGTCGTCGAGCGACGGGTCGGTCGACACCTCGAGGGCGCGGATGGCGGCGTCGAGGTCCGCCACGGCAGTCGACTGCCCGGCCATGGGCGTGCCGCCTGAGATGGAGACCTTGGTCGTGCCGCCGCCGCCGGAGGGTTTCGGCGTGGAGCTGCGTGTGTTCGGGTTGGACTTGGACTTGGGCTTGCCGAGGGACTCCGAGATGAGGAAGCCGGCGGACGAGGCGTGCTGCTTCGGCGCTTGTTGCTGCTGCTGCTTCTGCTGCGGCTTGGGAGGAGGCTGGCTGTTGGGCGGTGAGGCGGGACGCGAGGGCTGGTTACTCGTCGGCGCGCTTGCCCGCTGCGCTATGTAGTCGAGATCCGCATCATTTTTGCTGTACGCCGTCCCCAATGGGCCGGTGTAGGAGTCGACGAGGCGGGCCTGCGGGGTGCGTAGCGCTGCCTTCTTCTTCTTGGGGTCACGCTTCGGCTTTCGTACGGCGTCGACGTTGGAGGGCGATGGACCGCTGGCACTGGAGCTGGCAGAAGTAGTGGTAGTTGTATGAGGAGTGGCGGAGGGAGTCTCGCGACGGGCGTTGAAGGACGCGATAAAGTCGACGGCGAGGGGCGAGTCGCCGAGCAGGTTGCTGAAGTGCGATGCGGCGTCCTTCTTGGACAGTGTCTTGGCGTAGTCGAGGACCTGCTGCAGCTCGCCCTCGGGCAGGGGCAGCAGCTGCGATAGCTGGACCTGCGACATGATGGGCTGGCTGGTACGAATGTGTCGCAGTGGTGGTGATGTTCGTGGTTGAAGAAGTCGAGGTGGTTTTGGTCATGGTTCCGTTTGTCTGAATTGGGAGTGCCCCGCCAATATGCGTCACTCGCCGATCACACTAGGTAAACGGCTTGCAAGGGGACGATGGAGGACAGAGCACATGCTGACTTGCGATTGAGGAGACTGAGTGATATCCAGAAATTGCATCTAAGTTGAAACTAATCGCCGATTTTGCAATGTCATGGCGTTGTATAAAGTGCGCTTGCAGCGCTCGGGGGGGGGGGGGGGGGGCACACCAATAGCGGGAGAGAGAAATCAATGAGATGCTGCATCTTGAGTCAATTGACCAATTCAGCCATTCATAGAAGATTTCTCGAGCTTGTGGACATTGCAAATTATTGTCGCAACTGATAAACGTCCACCAGTGCTGATGACAGTGTGCCAGCCAAAGCCAATGTGCTCACCCACTGTCTCCAATTACTAACTCTGGGTCAGGTGTAGTAATATTCTGCACCAAGGGTCCGCACCAACAATCAGCTTCCCAGGCTGCATTACCACCCAAATTTATTAACCAGGCAAAATAATCTGGCTGTTGGTAGTGATTGGTAGGGTAGGATTGACATAGCCGAGCACCGCCGAGCTATGCCCGTGTTTCTTCCTGGCAACCCAGCCACATGGAGGCTAGTGCGTGTGGCTTTTCCGCTTTTTTTTCTCACCCATGCCCTCTCACAGCCAAAAAGCAGGCCAGCAGCACGAGGCCAAGCCTGGCAGGGGCCCATCTGACCGAGCAACGGATGGACCAAACGCCTTTTCCCTCAACCACCTTTGACAAGCACCTCACTCAACCTTGTAAACCCCCCCAATCTGCCTCTCTCACATCCTTCTTCCCCCCAATTCTATCCTCACCAGTCACAATGTTTGCTGCCTCCAGAATCCAGACCCGGGCTTTCTCTGCTTCGGCCCGCAACGTACGTCTATTCCCATAGCTTCCGGCCGTTGAAGCCTTGGGGCCCTTTCCCCGTCAAATTCCCCAGAGCTCTGCAAGCCCCCTTGCGTCATGGGCGGCTGTCATTGAACCAATTTTGACGACCAATTGCTAACTTTGACTGGCTTTTAGCTTTCCAAGGTTGCCGTTCTTGGTGCCGCTGGCGGTATCGGCCAGCCGCTTTCCCTGCTCCTGAAGCTGAACCCCCGTGTCACCGAGCTCGCCCTCTACGACATCCGTGGCGGCCCTGGTGCGTTGAAATCTATACCCTGTTGGCGCCCTGCGTTGTCTCACATCGCGATTGCTCTCGTGATCGCGGCTTGAGGCTTCGCATTTGCGTCTGAGCGACCTTTTCTTGTCCACGACCCCCAAACGCTAACCAAATTTTGTTTTCCCAGGTGTCGCCGCTGACATCTCCCACGTCAACACCAAGTCCAACGTCACCGGCTACGACCCCACCCCCGAGGGTCTCGCCGCCTGCCTCAAGGATGCCGAGATCGTCCTCATCCCCGCCGGTGTTCCCCGCAAGCCCGGCATGACCCGTGACGACCTCTTCAACACCAACGCCTCCATCGTTCGCGATCTCGCCAAGGCCGTTGCCCAGTCTGCCCCCAAGGCCAAGACCCTGGTCATCGCTAACCCCGTCAACTCGACCGTCCCCATCTGCGCCGAGGTTTTCAAGGCCCGCGGCGTCTACAACCCCAAGACCCTCTTTGGTGTCACTACGCTCGACGTCGTCCGCGCCAGCCGCTTCGTCTCCGCCATCAAGGGCACTGACCCCAAGGACGAGAACATCACCGTCGTTGGTGGCCACTCCGGCGTCACCATCGTTCCCCTCTTCAGCCAGAGCAGCCACCCCGACCTGACCTCCAACGCTGACCTCGTCAAGCGTGTCCAGTTCGGTGGCGACGAGGTCGTCAAGGCCAAGGACGGTGCCGGCTCTGCTACCCTCTCCATGGCCATGGCCGGTGCCCGCATGGCTGACTCGCTCCTCCGCGCCGCTGCCGGCGAGAAGGTCATCGAGCCCACCTTCGTCGAGTCTCCCCTCTACAAGGACCAGGGTATCGACTTCTTCAGCTCCAAGGTCGAGCTCGGCCCCGATGGTGTTAAGGAGATTCTCCCCGTCGGCAAGGTTGACGCCGCCGAGCAGGCCCTCCTCGACGCCTGCATCGTTGACCTCAAGAAGAACATCGAGAAGGGTGTCTCCTTCGTTGCCCAAAACCCTGGCAACTAAGCGTGCTCTGCCACTCAAGCTTTGGCGTAAAAGCGGCTGGTTGTCCCGTTGGGCAGGCGTGCCGCCGTGATGAAATTGCAGAGTGATCCAGCCCAGAGACATAACGGGATCTACCTGCCTGTATGAAAAAAAAATTGTAGGATGAAGGGAGGAAAATGAGAAATGCAATCTTGAGTTCGGAATACCACGAGCAGGAATGGGGCTCAATTATTTGTGTGCTGGAGCTCACGGCGTCAATTCACCTTGGCTCCTTGTCACTTTCTGTTTTAACATGTGTTCGGCTTGAGTTCAACTTCTAGACACAATAGAGAGTCTGAAAGCACCATTGGTTACCACTACATTGTGACGCCCTGACGCTATAATTTCTACTCACTTTCAGGATACGAGTGTGACGCGTGGAGCTCAATGCAACATGTATTCATACAGAAAATAAAGAAAATCTCTGAACCATGCTGCAACACCCCATAGTAAAGTGTATATACACAAGTTCCTCCCCATCGTCTATAAAAACCCCTTTATTGCCTACTTCTATTATTTCTTCTCATTTGCATACGTTTAAAAATAGATGGTCTTGCCAAATCACAACGTGCACCAGCGCACCTCCAGCTCTTCTACCCTGGGGATTCTCACTGACGCTGGCGGCCGGCGCGCCACTCCTGCAGCTGCCTCTTGCGCTCCTCGACCTTGCGCTCAAACTCGGCCACCTTTTCGAGCCGCTTCTGCTCCTCCTCGACCGCCTTCTTGTCCGCGACGACCTTCTTGCGGGCGGCCTCGCGGGCGAGCTGCTCGGGGCGGCGCTCGGCGATGTCGCGCGGACGGTAGTCGCTGAACAGGGACTTGAGGACGACCTCGATGACCCAGCAGACGACGAAATCAAGGGCCATGACGACGGTCATGTTGAGTTTGAACTCATCGGTGAAGGGGACGAGCTTGATGCCCTCGTTGATCTCGGGGATGAGCTCCGTGGCGCAGACAAAGGCGAGGCCGGAGACGCCGACGATGCCGTAGAACATGGCCTTGTTCTCGGTGAGGGCCTCGCGGAAGGGGCGGCCCTGGTAGTTGATGGCGAAAGTGGAGACCTGCTGCACGAGCTGCAGCAGGTAGATGGCCGAGTTGAGCAGCGACGGCTCGAACTCGGCCTCGAGGTCGACGTCGTTGGAGCGCGGCTCAAGACGCTCGCAGAGGCGCGCGACGTAGATGAGCGTGACAATGTGCACGGCGAACTGGCCAAGGATGGAGCCGATGATGTAGATGTTGAAGATGTTGGGTTGCGGACGCTCCTTGCTCAGGCCCTCGACGACCTTGGCGCGCGAGATGCTGAGGAAGCACACGGACATGAGCATGCCACTGATAGTGTACTGCGTGTCACCGAACTTGATTCCCTCGAGGTACAGGACGGACAGGGAGTAGGCGGAAATGAGGCAGTTGAGCGCAAGGATCTTGTACATCTGAATGGTGGCAACCAGTGTGCAGCGACCCTGGCGGATAATGTTGGGGATGGCGATGACGTCACGGAGCTTGGACGTGAAGGGAGCCGCCACAGAGGCGTCTCCCAGCTTCAGGGTGGGAGGCTCGTCGTCGCCGAGTTCGGCTTCCATCATTCCAGAAGAGAGCTTGTCGGCGAGGCTCGCGGCCTTGGCTTGGGCAGCGGCTTGGCGAGCGGCACGAGGGTCGTTGGAGTTGATCAGCTGCTGGGCGGCAGGCGAGGTGATGGTCTCGAGGGGGTGACCGGCGGCCTTGACATATTCCTCAACAGAGATGCCCTTCTTTTCGGCTTCGCGCTCAACAGCCTTCTGGTAGTGAGGGTTGGCAGGTCCGGGAGGGTACAGATGGGCAATGAGGACAGGGGCAGGCGGCTGAGGCTGGTTGAAACGCTTCATCAGGTCACACTGCTTCTGGTACATGTCCTTGAGTCTAGTGTTGCGAGCATGATCCGCGATGCGGGTCAAGTCATCCTTTGTACCATTCAGAAGCGCGACACCAATGTGAGCCTGCTTGAGGGCACCAACATCATTGGTACCGTCGCCGGCCATCAGAGTGTAGTATCCCATGTCTTTGAGGCTGAGCAGGATATCTTCCTTCTGCTTGGGCGAGACGCGAGCGTACACCCAAGCGTGACGAATGAGAGTGTCCCATCCGGGCTGGCCCTGGAGCTTGGCGAGGGCATATCCAGTCACACAAAGGTCGTTGCCCTTGATAATCTTAGGATCGATCGGCTTGGTGGGGTCAACAGAGATGATAATGCGGTCATCAACGCTACGCCAGACGAGGTGCGCAGCTCCCTTATCATCCTCAGGGGCGTCCAAGATGAGAACATCGCGGTCGACAATCTCGACTTCGCGGGCGACGTGTACGGCGGTAAGAGGATTGTCACCAGTAATCATGACAACACGGTGGCTGCTCTCGTTCAGCATCTGGACCGCCTCCTTGGCATCCTCTTTGAGAGGGCAGTGGAGGATCAAGAAACCGGCAAACGTCAATTCAGCTTCAACATTCTCGCGTTTGAGGTCATTGATCTTGGCAGCACCGAGCTCAGAATCGACAGTCAGCTGCTTGTAAGCAAGAGCAAGAACACGTGAACCTTTGCGAGTGAAGTACTTGTAGGTCTCTTCATAATCAGCAGGGACGTCAACCAACATCTTCATGATGGTCTCGGGGGCTCCCTTCACGCCGGCGAAGGTGCCCTTGAGCTTTTGACCGGTCTTGGCATTGGTACCGTTAACCATGGCGATGGAACTTTGGCGCTTCAGGGCAGAGGAGAACTGGAAGCGACGCTTGATCTGGACGTTGCCAACAGTGCTCCCAGCCTTACCCGTGCTCGAGAGAATATCCTTGCGTCCCAGAGTCCAGCCCAGCGAAGCGAGGGTGGCCTTTTCCATCGGGTCTCCGACAATGTCACCTTCATCGAGCTTAACCAGGGCATGGGCAGTGGCCAGGACCAACTGTGTTTCCAGGCTTGCTCCTTTGACGGAAATAATGGTAGAGTGGGCGCCGTCAGATTCCTTTGTATCCTCGACATCAGAGTGGTTCAAGCCAAGTCCAGCAATGCCCTCAACGACGAGGTCCTCGCCAGTCAAAGTTCCAGTCTTGTCAAAGCAAGCCACATCGACGCGGCCGGCGTAAGGAATGCGGAAGGGTTCAGTGCAGAAGATGGCTAGTTTAGCCAAAGCAGCCAAACTGGTGTTGACGGCAAGACTGAGTTCCATAGGTAGCTCAGGGGGAACGACACTGGTCACAATCAAGATACAGTCGAGAAGGAGCTTGGAGCGCTTGCGGTCCTTGCGCACACCTTCATCCCAGACATACCAAGACGCGGCAATGGCGAAAATCAGGAGGAACAGAATGAAAAGCAAAGCCTCAACGTTGTTAGCGGAGACATGCTCAGTAGAGTAGATCATGGTGCGGACGAGGCTGCCCTGAGAAGTCTCGAAGCCAGTCTTGGTCACAATGGCCATGGCACCATTGTCAGGAGGTGTAGGAACTCCCGAGGAGAGGACGGGCTTTTCTTGGTCGGCAGTGCCGTGAGTAACTTGGAGGACCTTGGTGCCGCCCCAAAGGAAAGCATTCTTGTCAAGACCGTCGGCATCAAGAGTCGCTTCGGCGGGGCGGAGCTGGATCGAATCTTTGAGAAGGGGGGTACTCTCGCCCGAAAGCATAGCCTCGTTCACAATAGCAGTGCCCTCGACAAGAATCATGTCACAGGCAACACCACTGTCATCCTTGGTACGGGTTACGGAAACAAGGTCGCCGGGAAGGAGAGCATCGCTCTGAACCTCGGTCCAGGTGCCAAGACGATACACCCACACATCGTAGGGCTTGATGCTCATTCCTCGAAACTCGGTCAAGGTGCGCTGACGCTGCCAAACAACGGTGCTTTCGAAAGCGACGAGCATGAACAGCGTAAAGAGCGAGTAGTACCAGTAGTCGTCAAGCATCCATAGACCAACACAGAAAATCTGGAAGACAAAGAAGGGCGCAACGGCGTGCTCCTTGAACAGCTCAGTGAAGGTCGGGACGGGGATATCGAAAGTGTTGGAGCCATAATGATGCTCCATGCGCGACAGCTCGGACTTGTTGGTGATACCGCGCGATGACTGGAAGTCGCGGATAAGAGGCTGGGGCTCGGAGTCGATGGCATACTTTAGTGTATCGAAAGACTTGGTTTCAGGATTGTACAGGAAGCGGCGCTTCTGGAACAGGAACGAGATGTTGGTCTTTCCACCGGCCTGAAATTGTCGCGTTAGTAGGTTGCAGCGAAATCTGACCTCAATTGCGCGCCACGCACCTTGTCGCGAACCAGCTTGCAGATTTCGGCTGAGCCGGCGTTGGCGATGGGGATGACCTTGATGAGCTGAGCATCTTCAACAGACTTGGCAGACTGCGCAGTGAAGATAGCGTCGAGGTTGACGCTCCAATGCGTGCTCAACCAAACCAAGGACTGAACCGTGATGATGGAGCCGACCCAGACAAACGTCCACTCGGGGGCGCCGATGTGCTTCTCGTAGAGGTCAGGGGTGAGAAAATATCGGAGGAAGACGGGCCAGACGATGGCGAACGGCCAGATGTAAGTGCGAAAGTGAAAGGAGAGCGGATTCAGCAGCTGCGCATGCTTAATCTGCGAATTTTCGACGAGGGGCGCCATCGTCAAAGATGTCCGGAAGGCCGGCGCCGGCCAGGAAGCCAGGGGGGAGGAGGGGGAGGGAGAGAGGACGCAGCGACGGGCGCGCCAATTAGCGATGGCGTCTGCTAAAGTAAATTCCTGCGCCGTGGATGGCAGGAAAGAAGCCGAGGAGCAATCACCAAAATAACCTTGATGGTGATACGGCGGCAAAGCGAAGATGGGGGAAAAGACTTTCGGCAATGTCCCGCGATCTGTACTTTTCTCAGCGTGGCGTGGATTTTGGCTGCCTTGCGCTAGTGTGGCTCGAAAGGCCGAATGAGGGAACTTTTGCCACACGTGGCTGGTGCAGACGAGGGCCGCGCATCAGACGGGCAATTATTTGCGGCTTTCCTAAAAATACAAACAAGTTGTATATAGAGAATACTTTGGATTGTACTGGGATGACGTAAATCTCTTGATATTATTGAAAAGTGAAAAACGGGTCAAAGTTGGTTCTCAGTTGTAGTAAGACCCGTTAGAGCTGATCCATGTATAAGTCAGGCCCAAGGTTCGCCAGCAGGTGACCGATGCGACGGTGGATATTATTAATATATTCGAGCAGCAACAAAGAAGACGAACCATCTGCCCAGAACAAGCTTGAAAATAACTCTATTGTATTGGCGATGGTAGCGAGCCTCGTGGACCCGGCAGTAGCTAGCCTCATGGTCTTGGCACTGCAGCTGGCAAGCCAAAGCACCTTGATGTCCATGGTGATGAAGCCATGGTCGCCAATCTGTTGGTCCTTTGGGATTCGAGACTCTGCATCTCTTTGTAAATTTTTCTTGGCAGCGTAAATGGCTGAAAAGCTAGCAAATATATTGCCCACCAACCGGGGCGCCGACGACGGGCATCATCGACGTTGTCCTCTACTGGTCCTCTACCGGGCTCACGAACTCGTTGCTCTCTCCACTTCCCAAGGCTGAACACGCCAGTAAAGAAAGCCTCATATTGGAGGAATGCAAAAATGGCGCAGAGTACTGTCTTGGCAGGTACATAGACGGCCATCTTGACCGCTATCAGCAACACAGGTGCTGAGCGTCGCCAACTGCCTGGCTATATATACCTCGACAAGCTGCCCTTGATGCGACGCTCTCTTGAACGCCAGGCTCATACCACATCCCATCAAAAAAGGTCCCAGCTATTCAATATGAAGACGCCCAGCTTCCTTCTGGCCCTTGTTGCCCCCGGCCTCATGGCTTCGCCGCTCGCGACCGACAAGGCGACCCCGACAACGCTCGTCACCACGCCGACGACGACGCCCAAGGCGGGAGGCTATAACTGGGCCGAGGGATGGCAGGCATCGTTCCCCATTCACTCCTCCTGCAACAGCACGCTGCGTGCCCAGCTCCAAGGCGGCCTCGACGACGCCGTGCAGTTGGCCCAACACGCCCGGAACCACCTGCTCCGCTTCGGCGGCAAGTCGGACATCGTCAAGCGGTATTTCGGAAACGGCACCCTGGCGGAGCCCATCGGCTGGTTTGATCGAATCGTCGCCGCGGACAAGGGAGTCATGACCTTTCGCTGCGATGACCCCGACGGGGTCTGCGCGTCGATGCCAAGTACGTGTCCCAGACATGCCATCTATCTATAGAGTATCAGAGATGAGACAGACAACTAACGAGGCCATGTATTTATAGCTTGGGGAGGTCATTACCGTGGAAAGAACGCGACCGAGGAAACTGTCATCTGTCCCCTGTCCTTCCAGCTGCGGCGATCGCTCTCGTCGACCTGCAACCTGGGCTACACGGTGGCCGGATCTCCGCTCAACACCATCTGGGCCGTCGACCTCCTTCATCGAATGTTTCACGTGCCAACGATCAACGAGAATGTGGTGGACCACTTCGCGGACGGCTACGACGAGATCCTGGCCCTGGCTAAGAAGGACCCGGCTAAGACCGCCAGAGATAGCAACGCGCTCCAGTATTTTGCGATCGATGTTTGGGCCTACGACGTTGCGGCTCCAGGAGTCGGCTGCACTGGCAAGGCGAAACCAAAGGCCTAGACGGGTACGAGGGATGAGACAGCAAGGGGGGCAAAAGTGCTTATCAGTAGCTTAATGCGAAGCATAAATGCCAATGTCGTTGTCGAGTCGTGGCCCTGGCGATGCTGTTCTATATTAGACGATTGTCTCTATGCCATTTTATTTTCTCGCTTGGCGCGAGTATTATATATGAGTCAAAATGATGGGCAATTCAGAAGCTGAATAAATTGTGTAAAAAATGAGACTAGTCTGGTGAAAGAGTGAATGCTGTGTATGCTCTGTAACTTCTATAATGTTGGATGCCGGCTATGCAGAAAACAAGACAAAAAACGAATGATGAAAAAACCACTTTTCGCGTGGACCGTTGGAAAGCAGTAAATGTGACAAAAAGAAGACGTTGTTCTAATGATCCTCAACGTCTTCGTCCCTGCCAGGGTACAGAATGTCCTGTATAACGACTGCGCGAATCTGGAAAGAAAGGACAAACAAGTAGGCGCATAGCATCATGATGCTCATGACTGTGGTGCACCACGCGAGAGGTGCGCTTCCAAACTCTCTGGCCATGTTAATCGAGGCCAAGGTAAAACCGGTGTTGGGGAAGACGGCAGCCCACCAGCCAAGATGGAAGTATTTCGGCGGTGACTGGACCACCGCGACGACGGCAATGAAGAACCACCAGAGACTGAGCGCCCAGAGGAAGACGGCGCTGATCATGGCCAGGTTGTAGAGGACAGTCTTGTCGAGAAGCGAGTTGTCGAGGGCGGTGGACGCCTCGAGCGACTTGGCCATGCCGATGAGGGCCAGGGCCGTGAAGGCGGGCGGGCCGACGCACATGAAGAGACCCGGGCGGTGCTCGCGGTTGGGCAGGCCGGACTGCATCAAGCGGCCGATCATGTGCGCGTACATGAGCATGGCGACGGAGAGGCCGAGGCCCTGGCAGGTGAGGCCGGCGCCGAGGACGGGCAGGATGGCGATCTCGGACTGGGTCTTTGCGATGACGGAGGCGATGGTGCCGGAGAGCATGATGGGGAAGATGGGCAGGATCCAGGTGGGCATCATGGTCTGCAGCTTGTGGCTGTGAGAGGCGAAGACGAAGCTGTACTGGCCGACGGCGAGGGTCAGGGTGAGCAGGACGTAGCCCCAGAAGACGCCCTGGATGGCCCAGGACAGCGTGCCGTCGTCGTTGGGGATCCAGTACCGATAGGTGGTGGTGATGATGGTGGCGAAGGAGAGGAAGGCGGTCGGCACGAAGAAGCCCTCGCGCGGGTGCGTGATGGAGCGCACAAAGTCGCCCTTGTGTAGTAGGAAGCGTAGTACGATCAGCGTGGTGACGGTGAAGAAGATGACGAGGTTGATGAAGTAGACGACGAAGCCGACGGTGTTGAGCCCGGGGAAGGAGTTGATCTGGTTGCCGATGAGCAGCGCCAGGCCGCCGGTGCTCATGGGGAAGGTGTACCAGGCCCAGGTGAAGTGGTGCAGGCGCTGCTTGAAGCCGAGGCGAGGGCGGTTGGGGTCGTAGGGGTCCGGCGTGGGCGACGAGGACTTTTTCTCGTCTAGCTCGGAGAAGTCGTCGAAGGCGGAGGCGCCTTGGTGGCGGTGCTTGGGCCGTTGGGATTCCTCGTCGAGGCCGGAGGCGGCGGCCGGGCGGTGGTCAGAGTGGAAGGAGTTTCTTCTCGTCGGCGTGTTGGAGTCGATCCAGAACGGAGCGGCGCCGGCGACCAGCTTCCCGAAGGACGAGGCGGAATCGTTTCGATTGTTCTCGTTCATGGTGCCTGACCAAGTCAACGAGGGAGGGGGGGGGGAAGGGGTATCAAAGTCGTCGTATAAGAGATGAAGCAGAGATGAAAAGAGACAAAATAAATATGAAGCAAAAAGTAAAAAGGATTGACTCTATAGTTAAACTAGGATCTCTCGGAAAAGGGAAAAGAAACAGAGTTACGAAGTTATCTTGAGGAGAATAGACCCGTGCTGCCCGGGGGGGAGGCCATCCCTTTTAACAAGACAAGGAGACCAAAGCAACCAAGCAACCAAGGCCCTTGACTGCTGGTTCATGTCTAATACAATCTCAAAGTACTCAGCATGGTGGGCAAGGTTGTCAAAGTGATCGGAAGGCTCCCTTGCCTAGTTTGGGCATAGCCCCCCCCCGGTCAAGGCCCAAACGGAAGACCCGACAATGCAAATACTGACTATGACTAGTTGGATGGATGAAATGATAAAGATCACTAGTGGTGCAACGGTAGGTAGGCAGTTACGGGAGGGCCATGTCGTTGCTTGTTGCAGTGCCGCCGCAGAGCCTCAACGCGGCCGGGGGGGGGGTCCCTTGAAGCATTGGAGCGACAAGCGTACGTCGGCGTGGTGGGCCGCGGCGAGGACGGCCGTGCGCTTGCTTACAAGGTGAATCGAAAGAAAAAAGAGTCCAGGTTGTCGTTTTCGTCTTGGCGTCGCCAGAGTTGTAACGGGTAACAAAGGGGTGGTGGTCGATGGGCCAGTTAGAAGGGAGAGTTGATGGCGTGCTGTCAGGCAGACTGCGTGGTTGTAAATGCGGCCATATCTGCCAAGACTGGATGAACAAGGGTTGAACTTATTTTTGCCTACATTGTAAAGGAAACCAAAACACCGTTGTTTTCTTTTTTCCTTGCCTATGCCTATCAGAAGCATCGCCTATAAATATCGTGGAACTTGGAACTTGGTGTGTTTCGTCCTTGGCAGCGGCCATGTGGGTTTGGGCGGGCACTGTTGGTTTTGCGAGGGCCGTAGTTTAAAACCCAAACCCAATGGCCCAATCTGCAGGGATCAGCGGAAGGTTTGGGGGCCAGGGATTGCCCATTGCTCATTGGCACGTTGTCAGTGAGATAGTCAGGCAAAGAGATGCTAACTGGGCGAAGGAAAAAAACGCCACTGATTTTTGCTGCTGCCGATTGTCATGTCCGGGACGGGCGATTTGCTTGGCAGCGTGCCAGTACGGCATCCCTATCTACAGTAGGAGTACCACTCTTGCGGTGGTGGACTTGACTCGATGGTTTTTTAGCCCCTGATTAGTCCAATCATGATGGTTTTAGAGAGGCCGCCGGTTCTCTGGTGATTAGGTGATTAGGTGATGGTGATAAAAATTAAAGTGCTGACAGGCATCGCGATCTTCCGTACGGTGTGGTGTGTGAATCCGAACCTGCGGCAGCCGCATCGCTTTGCCATGAGGAAATCGCACGGGCCGCAGAAACTCGTCCAAAGGGGCAACGAGGACAGACAGATTCAGGAAAGGGCTCTTTTTTTTCTTCTCGGCGACAACCTTATCTACACCAATGCAAAATGCAAAATGCAAAATGTGTTTTATGAACATCAATTTCGAGGTGAAACACTTTCGTGGCCTCTGCACCGCCGCAGAACCCACAGCGATTTTAAAAATAAGAATACCAAGAAAATAGAATAAAAAATAAAATGCAACCCATGCCCATCCATGATATCCATGATTAGATTTATTGCCACCTACAAACTTGCAACCCCTTGCCCGGTGTCGCAAAGGTGCGTGGCCATCTTGGCGCAGAGTCTCTGTGGCGTGTGACATTGATAGCAGCACACCACCCGCCGCTGGGAACAAACCCTATTGGTCAGTTGTCGCGGTACTCGACTCGACGACGCTGCAGGCTCTTCTGCTACTCGCATCGTCCACTCGAGAAGGGATTTGCAACTGCAGATATACTTAGATACGGAGGCCATCTCTTGGTACGCGACAGGTATGAGCGACCGTCCCATTTTCCCATTACGGACGGCATCGACACCGAGGGCATTCACCCCTTACGACTACTGGTACGATTGATAGACCCTTCCTTAGTCATCCGCTGCTGCTCACGGAGCAAGTTTTGGTTGCACAACCAGACAGATTGTGACTGATCCTTTTCCACGTGTGTTCTGACGCAATCCCAACCACCTGCGCCGCATCTCATCAGCATTTGAAATGGAACCAAGATTTTTCACCTGCTACCTACCAACAAGGCCGAGTGTCAGGGCCCCCGGCGGCGGTTGTGACAGCTGTAGCCGCCACCTGTGCTTTGCCCACCTCTTGCCTTCCGTCCACACATGTGAGGAGGTACCAGCCCTCTTCTCTTTTCCTTCCTGTGGCTAAAGCTACTCGCCATGTAACACTAACATTCCATGACTAATTGGTAGGACTTAGATGATGCGACATAGGTATCGCGCACCGCCGCTGACTGTGCGCCAGGATCGACGACGCGGCCGTTTCCCAACTTGCATCTAGGCTGAACAATGGCAAGAGCTGCGCCGCTGAACACTATACCAACGTAGGGGTGGACACTCATGGGATGCGCCAACTACCACGCCCGCATTCACTTCCAGGACGGCTCTCCGTCGTGGCTTTTTCGGGTTCCTTGGGTGACCAGCTGCGCCCACGGGGCCATTTACGAGCTCAACTGCGTATTATACTGCCCTTACTGAGCAGCACTTGGCGCTAATTGCAGACGGCCAACTGTATACAAAGTATCCTGTGGATTACTACCTAGTCTACCGCTTAGAGGACAATGTAGCGCTGCGCGGTGGCAATACCTCTCTGCGCGTCGATGATCTCGCCGTGGCAGACGCACTGCGGCAAGGGGCACTCTGTCAATACCCTACAGCATGGATGAGATGTGAGAAGATTCTTCTGGGGACTGGATTTAGAGCCTAAATGGTCCGATGTGCCGCCGTTGGCGAATGTGATACTACAAGTCTTTGGAGTCTGTCAAGACTGGAGGAGTGGGAAAGAGACTGCACTGGACAATTCCCCCGAGACTGATAAACGCCTGGATGGTCTTTTCTTGCTGGACGTTTTTGCAACTTAAAATCCTGCATAAAATATGCAACAGGCACTGCTTCAGCGAGTTTTGGGAACCAAGGAGTTGGAGGGGGGAGGGTGCTTGGACGGGCCTCCCCTTGGACGCGACTCACATTCTTATTCCTAAGCATGATTTTGACCTTTTTTTTGCCTTTTCTTATTCTGCATCCGTATTACTCCCTTGCTTTTCTGCTTGACCGAGAAAGAAGAAGAAAACTGGATACCGCCGAGATATCGGTCAGCCAAGATATATGCGATGTAGTAGCGAGGTTGTCATGGACCCGCGATGGGTACGTGTCCACAGAATAGAGTGGCCATTATCGCCACTCTGGCAGTCCACCGGTAAGGAAGATTTGATCCCAAAGGCACGGGAGACCAGGGGGATGATGCTTGTGGATTACCATGAAATTAGCGAGACGGGCATTGTCGGGTTGAAGTCGTTGACAGGTTGACAAGTTGACAGTTGTCGAGTTGACACGACCTCGCCGACTCCAAATCCCTACCACATAGGTATTTCCCAAATATACCTATATGGAAACAAGCTCGATACCGCCACGCCTTGGCCCGTAATAATTAATTCCTTCATACGAATATGCAAGGCTTGCTTTTTCGGCACCGTCGACGCCTTTCAATGTGTCAAATCCCGAATACACTGACATTGGACACAATGCTTACAAGGGAACGTGCTGTCCCGACTGGCCAAATCGTGCCACAGAGCTCAAAGGCACACCCATCTTTCAATCCCAAATCATTCCTACCGTTGCATCCAACTTGAACGCTGACCAACCCGGCAATTCCAGCTCCCGGATGTCCCGGTAGAGAAACCTGAGGCGGTGGACTTTGCCGCAGCTTGGCGAATTGGGTCGCTAGGCTAGTTATCCGTTCTCTCGTCCATCCACCATCACCGAGCTCCACGGGCTCCATTCATTCTTGTCTCCCGAGCGATGTGGCATTTTTTTTCCCCTGGTTATGAATGATTCCTGGTTGAACTGCAAAAAAAAAAAAAAAAAAAAAAAAAAAAAAAAAAATACAGGTGGACCAGAGTCGGAGAGCCCAACGGGGCAATAAACTCTGCGCCCCAAAACGACGGGCGCCCGGGCTCCGGATGATAAGGCCGGACGTTCGATGGCCGGGCGATGGTGGCTTTTTTTTCCCCTGCCGATGCCCGCACGCCGGTGGGTGGCTTCTTCTTTCCCTCACCCCCACCTCGATCGCCGGGTAAAGTCAGAGTGGTTGACGGTCGTCGGTGGCCAAGATGGAGGGCGGCTTCTTGGTCCGGCTTTCGCCAGCCACAACCAAGTTCAGATCATCAAGATGGCCCAGCCTTTGGCTTCGTGCCAAGCAACTTATCACACAGAGTAGCAGCCAGCCAGCACTGCCACTTGCGTGCGCGTCCGTGTGAGCGTGTCGAAGCGCCGACGCACCTGCCATGTCCGGGTAAACTTAACTCTACATATGCGGTTGAGGAGAAGATGGGGTGTGCAAATCTGTCATTCGTTAGTTATCAGTTGTAGGCCGCGGTCAACTGTCCGCGCCACAACCAGCCTCTGCGAGAGCTGACGAATAACTAATTGCTTCGCCACCAACTGGCCAAGTATTGCCCGGTGCAACTCCTCGATGCCACAGTTCGGACTCTCCCATGATTGGCCGCCTGTTATCTTGGAGGAATCGATCCGCGCTGGCTGCATCCAGATTCCTGGGCATTACCTTTCCCACTCCCCCCCTTCCACCCCTATCAGTGTCCATTCGTACCGACAGTATAACTACCAAGTGCAATGCAACATCAGACAATCCAGTCAAACCAGGGAAATTTATAAAACATACTCGTGCACGCTGTTACATCGCTTCGCACGGTGTCCAGCGGGTTCCTTACTCGCTGAGACAACACGCGCAAACCTTGCTTGGCGGAGGACCGGACGTCTCATGGAAATTCCAGAACCACTCCAATGCAACCCGACCAACAAGCAGGCTCTGTTTCTGCCAATGCCTCCCGATGGCTGCTTATCTTTTTTCATCCAGTGCCAATAGTCATATGATGTTCATCCCAATTGCAAAGTATTATACAACCATTAAATGAGATGCAAAAGACTAGGGTAAGACACCAGTGACAATTTGTGAGCCGTGGTCTGGCGCGGGTAATTGCGGGGGCGGTTCAGTGAGCCTCGGCCCAGGGCGTGGGTATTCGTGCCCAGGCAAAAGACTTGACCAACATCTTGGGGTTTGCATTGTAGAGTCATAAATACATCTCATCTCAATTTATAGTCGCCATGCCTGATGCGACTCCGGACAAGCGGCATGACGCCGCCACAGCCGCAAAGGCCACCAAGGTGCAGCGCGTAGACGACAACACCTATGTCGTCGACCTGAGCCCGGCATTCAACATTGGCGCCGGTAAGTCGCAAGATGAACCTGTTGATCCGTAACTCTACCGATACCGGCGCGCTGACACCCCGAAAAGTCCCCAACGGTGGCTACGTCGCCGGCCACTTCCTCGCCGTCGCGCTCGCCCACGTCGCCGAGCGCCACGGCCATCGCCACGTCATCGCCGCGCACTGGGACTTTCTCGGCCGATCGCGCCCCGGCCGCGGCACCATGGCCGTCGACGAGCTCAAAGTCGCCCGCAACATGTCCGTCCTGCGCATCGCCCTGTACCAGGACGACAGCGAGCTCTGGGTCGCGCGGCGCCGCCCCGTCATCGTCGCCTCCGTCACCTGCCGCGACACGGCCACCGAGACCGGCCCATCCCTGGACGGCGGCTGCGCGCCGCGGAGCCCGGTACCGGCGGCGGACTTGGCGCTGCTGCCGCTCGGGCGCGATCCCGGCTGGGCGCGCTACGAGGCGCGCAACTTTCGCAGGAACCGCCACTGGCACATGTACGAGCCCAGGAGCTCCGCGGGGGGGCCGGCGGGGGTGCGCGACACGTGGGTTGAGTACCAGTCGGGCGAGCGCATCACGAACCTGGATTTGCCGTACCTCGCCGACGTCACGCCCGCAATCTGCGCCCACGGGCTCCAGCAAGCGGCGGCCGGCGGCGCGGACGTGCCCGCCTCTTGGTACCCGACGCTCAACATCCACATGGACTTCAAGAAGAGCCTGCCCGCGGACGGCGTAAGGTGGCTGCGCCTGCGGACGTCGGTCCGCGCTGCCAGGAACGGCCGCTACGGCTGCGACGTGGACGTCTTCGACGCCGACGGGGATCTCGTCGCGCAAGCCCGGCACGTCGCCATGATTGTGGACATGTCGCGCAACACGGCAAACCAGACTACGTCAAAGTTGACGAACTTGTAAATAGGAAATGGAAATAGAATTGGGGGACGGACGGACGACTAGACTCGGGCGGGCAAGCCATCATGGCTAGAGCTGTGCCAGATCCAGGGCCATACATACATACATGGGCGGCGACATTCGCGTCTTTTGCACACAAATGCATAATACGAACATATAAATACACTTAATTATGCCACTTCCCCCACCAGCTGCAACTTGATCAATGAACTTCCAAGCCACAGTATGCCGTGTAACCGCACCGTATCCATGCAAGCTGAACCCGGGAGCCAGGTTGGCAGAGAGTTGGAGCGGACATGTCTCCCAAATGAGACTGCAACCACGGACAAGATTATTATTAAACATATAAAAGACTTGTTAATACCCAATACAATCACGACCATAGGTACTGCTGTGCTGCCTAAGATATGGTCAGATACAACACGACTCCTCCCACCCTTGTGTGACCGCGACAGCAAGTCGTTCACGACCCATTAGATGATCCATTAGATGGCCCGCGGTGCCGCGCATCCGGCTCACCCGTATGCTCCTCCACTTCCTTGTCGTCCCACACTGCTTCAATAAACGACAGTTTTCCCGCTGTTTTGGTAGCACCCTTCCATCGGAACCGGAGATCAGCCTGCGCAAAGAGCGACGCCCAATCACCCGCCTCCCGCTCCCGCGCGTTGCATACGGCCCTCATCAGCAGGTCCATGGTACGGACGCTCTTCTCGTCGCTCTTCGATAGGGTCCCCGGTGGGGGCAGGACATAGTCGTTAATGACCACCCGCGCCCCGGGCTTCATCACCGGTACGAGCGCCTTGAGCGCTGTGACGGCATACTTGTCGGAGAAGGCGTGGAATACGTGGCGGAAAAAGTAGACGTCAGCCTCCACGGGCTGCGGATTGAAGCAGTCGTGCGCCATCAGCTCGACACGAGCGGCCAGATGCTGCGGAACCTGCCCGATCGTCTGCTCGGTTCGCGTCTCCGCCTTGTCCTGCACGATAAAGGACAGCTGCGGGAAGGCTTCCGCGAGCGCAAAAGCAACGTGACCTTGGCTTCCACCAATCTGTGATGCGTAGAGAGGGTCAGCGTCACCTGAAGCAGGATCTGATTCCGGGTCGGGTGTCACATACATCGACGACTCTTGCGGCCCCTAGTTCGGACCAGGGGTATCCGTTCGTGGTATGTGACAGATCATATCCATCACGATCACCTTGTGCCTTCATAGCGAGGCCGTAACGCTTCATTCTCGCGTGGTCCGACTGCATGAACTCGAAGAAGGGGATGTCATTTCGGTAAGCTATGTTGACGCCCTAGAGTTGAAACATGGTCAGCACAACACATCGACGATAACCTCACCGGTGATGCATACAGTCTCGTTGGGCTCTTGCGAGCCTGGCCACTTTTTCATGGCCTCAACGGTGTTGACAATGGGCCGAAGAAGATCGGTGGTGAACATGGCGACCCAACTTGCCACACTCGGGTCCTCCAACAGGAGCAGGGATGTTCGGCTGTGTGCGACGTGGTCTGGGATGGGCTCGGAAAACAGGTCATTTGCCATGGCGAGGCGTAATATGCACTTCAAATCAGAAACAGTGACTTTGATGTCCGTGAGCTGTTGTATTTTGACGGCGAGGTCGACGTATGAGATGCATCCCGAGGGAGGCACGGCCTCGGCGATGCGGAACTCGCAAATGGCTTCGAGGGGAATGTAGCTAACCGACTACCCGCACTCTATTAGAGACTCCTGACCATTTGCCGACATTCAAGCGAAGATGTACTCACATTCCACGCCAAGTTCTTGAGGGCATCCTTAGGGCCAACAAGCAAGTCGTGAAGCTCCTTGGTAAGGGCTATGAGTTCATTTCTGGTAGCCTTGTCCTGGAGATCCAGCTCATCTAGAGCAAAGCTTGTTGATCCACCAAGCTTGAAAGATGGTGCATCAAGGTGTTTCTCGTTGAGGCTATTGGTGAGAAGCGCGGTTTTTGTTTGAATGTCGTCAGACAAAGCGGAAAGGTGGGTGACTGCGCTTTGGGGCGCCACGCTGTTGCCGTTTGTCACAGGCGAAAGAGTATGAGAGGTAGTGCCGGGCATTTTGTCTGGTTTTGGACTTTTCATGAAGCTGCGGACGGGAGACAGGATATGTCATGAGATGATGAAAGCCTGGCCTTTAAATAGAGAGAGATGGATCATAGGCACTCTGGTCAGGCCTGGCCTGGCACAGCCCAACCCTGTCAAGGTGGCGCTTCTTAAGACTCACCCATCTTGGTATCACGTCGATAAGTCCCACTACAAGAGATGAAAACTGCGGGATGAGATGGCGTCGTACGCCGCAGGGGGGTCATTCGGTGCTCATGTGCCAATACGTGGAACATTAGAGCGCACTTATCAGCGCCTGCTTCTGAGATGTGACCAAATTTTGACCCGAGTGCAACCGCCTCAAATCGGACGACTCTTGCTTACAGCCTTTGATCGCTTGTCGTCCCTCCTTGTTGGAGAGGGTGCTGTTTTTGCCAGTTGTGAGTGACGAGGCTGGCAAGGCATGCATGATCGTGGGTACAGTGGGCACCCTTTGTTGCCCTGCGACCAAACTATGGGTGTTCTCTTGTTATTATCCGTTTCTCAGACCGGGTTTGAGATATCTTGGAGGCCGGCGCGTAGGTTGGGTCTACCGTTGGGCGGCGGCAGGACAACGGGGCGAAATCTGCGTGTGGTTCCCCATCGTCTCTGCCCATGCTGATATGGTTCCACAGCGCAAACATGCTTGCTTCGTGGACAAACCGCTCAGAATGACTTTGATAGGTCGACTCTCGGGATGACACTTCTTGGATACGGCTGCTGAGACTTTCGTCACTTCCGGTGGTGGCAGAGACAGGCTGCGGGCGTTACCCTGCACGCGCAGCTTTCACCGCCATTGGTTTCGGCTAGGAAGCGTCCGCGGCGTCGAGTAGAATCGGCAACGGAACGACTGCATCGGCATATCAAAGGTGGTCCCCAAAATTATATTATTAGAGTGGTGCATGTAGCATTGTTGAAACTGCTACTGTAGCTAGCCAGAAGACAAAGGGTGGTTGCCTGCGGTAGGTGCTTTGGTTAGAGGTAGGAGGGTTAGTTAGCGGTACGTACCTGACTTAGGCGGGGGATAGTTGCGTCTTGTTAGCTTGGCTTTTCATTGTCGACAGTGTGGGTGGAACAGCACTAGTTATGCCATATCTGGACGGAAAATGAAGAATGATGCGTATCCTCTCAATAGGTCCTCCTGGCTCGATTTTAATCGCTGGTGATGCTGCCTCCTTGTCCAGCAGTCACGCGTCCATGCTGCACAGCATACCGAACGGGGCTTATCTTGCGGCGTGAGGCTGAACTGGTCTGGCTAGCAAATTATGGCTCGGAAGCAAAGCCGGACCAGGTCAAACCCACACAGCTGCAGCTGCAGTCAGCAGCGCCCAATTTCCGCTCTACACGATAACTTGTCTCCAATTCAGACGTGGGCTGCCGTCACGATTGTTGCTGAATGCATCGGTAGAGGCTTTGAGCCCTCGACGCATCTCCTCGACACCCTCAGACCGACCGACACGACTGTAACCGGGCTACTGCAGCTGTGGGCAAACTCGAGCTACCTCAAAAGCTTGTTCCACGCTTTCAGTAGGGGAACCGGCCATAGGCAGTCGCAATCGAACCGAGACAACGAACCGATGCCAAGATGGTTAGCACAGAGGTGATCGTGGCCATCGTCGCCCTCATCATCTCTCTGGTGGCCCTGACCGCAACCTTCATGCAAGTTCTTCAGCAGTACTATGCTTCTGCCGCGGGCTATTCTCAGTGCAATGAAAAGGTCATGGGCGGTTGGGCAAGAACCAAGACTAGACGATTCTCTTGGGAAGAGCTGCGTTATGAAGTGCAGTACGACTCACCCGTCATCTTCGTTTCGCCCCCGCACAATAAGCGCGGCCCGATCCCCGACGCCCCGATATACTTTCTCGACGGTACCCCCAAGAGCTTCCAAGACACATGGACCACCTCGGAGCTTGACCCGCGCAAGGAGTACCTCAATCTATCAGCCAAGGAGCGCATCCACACCGCGGACAATGAGCGGGCGTCGTGGTCGGTGCTCCTCTACGCCATCCAGAGGATGGAAGCCAAGTCGAGGGAGTGGCAGGATAGGCAGTACCCTCCTCCTGGATCTCTGACGGCCAAGTATGGTCTGCCCAGAACGCCTCCGTCGCTCCGCGAGCACCACACTCTGACGGTAGCGCTGCAGCGCAAGAGGAAGAGCTGGGACACCATGCCGCTGTCCATGACAAAACCGTATGCGACGACCACCATGTGCCATATGATTGAGATGCTTGCGGCCTTGGGAGTCTACTGGAAAGAGTTTGACCGACGTCGCGATCGCTACTGGGCTGAGGGAAATGGGTTTCTGGTGCTTGGCGAGCGAAATGACTTGGGAATTGTCTTTTCGCTGCAAGTCCACGGCCAGTGCACTTTTGAGCGCAACAGAGTCATCCCCGTCGACTATGTCAAGGAGCTCACTTTTGGTTATGTGCCCACCATCTATCGTGACACAATTGACCAGAGCCGACTCAAGGTGCCGAGTGACATGCCGGAGAATCTCAGTTCGCTGCAGATGGGCCGTGATCGAGAGCTCGCTGAGAGCCTGACGGTTATTGGATGCAGCACCAACGCCGTCAACTACTTTCTTGAAGACGGCAATCGCACATCACACATATTTCCCCTCGCATTCGAGATTCTCGGCATGCTTGGCCAAAACTTCCACATCAGCAACAGCAGCTTTACCTACATCCCCAACCCGACGCCATATTCTTTCGACAAGCGCTCCTTTTCGCTACGCAAGCTTTTAGAGGCGTTCAAGTCGCATTTTGACGGCGACGTCGAGACCACGCGCAATCAAGAAATTGTCGATGTTCTTCGCTGCCACGTCGACGATGTCTTGAAACACTACTGGGAAAGGGACGGTCCGCAGCGCCTGATCTGCCTCCGAGTTCTGCATACGGCGATTGACGACACGGATGAGATTCTAACTGGGAAGAGAAAGGATTCGGTGGAAACGGGTAACAACGACCCGGCGGCGGCCGGGGCTGCGGCCGGCAGCGCCGCCATCCCCGTGGTGATTTGCTCCGAGGACCCTAGCGAGACAACGGGCGAGACGACACACCAGAGCCGGCGTCGGGAAGCGGTGCAGGACGTACTGCGATCCCACATCCAGGAAGTCTTGCGGCTGCTCAACGAGCGCGACGACCGAGTTGAGACGCAGTCTCTGCACGTGAACCTAGCCGACCGCACACCGACATCGCCGCTGCAGCCGCGAGCGCTCCATGAACGCATCTTTGGCTTGCGACCCACGCCGCCACCGCGGTTCGAGGACGTCGACGATGCCAGCCCGGACGAGCGCCAGCAGCTGCTGATGGACGTGTACTTTGAGGTGGTGCGCCTCCGCGTCGTGCCCAAGGCGGCCTTCTCGACGGGCCGTAGAGCGAGCCTGGTCGGGTTTCAACGCCCGCAGAGCCTGCCGAGCATGCGCGGTGGCGCCCGAAGCATCTCCCGTGGGCCTAGCCTAGCGCCGCGGCCTGGTTCCAGTCGCGGCGGCTCGTCTGCCGGCGACGGTCCAGCCGCTGATCATCCTTTGGCTCTGTTCACTGGCCCTAGCGCCGATGAGGAGCATGCCGGCGCTGCTGACGCTTCCGCCGTGACCGGTGATGCCGACGACGGGGATGCCGACGAGCACGACGCCGACGAACACAACTCCTACGACCACAGCGCGGACGATGAGAACGGCGTGGCAGTCGATGCGACAACGGACCGACGCGGGAGGAGCCACGTATCGCTCGCGAAGCAGCTGGCCTCGCACGACGACATATGGTGCACGCTCGTTTTCAGGATGATTTGCTGGCTGATGCTTCATGACTTTAATAAGCTGGACGTGCAATTGCCCAAGAGTGAGCTCCTGGGAAGCCGCGTGCCCGTATACATTGCATAAAGACTGGCGACTTCTTTTTTTACCCTTTTCTTTTTGGCATACCCTCATAGCGAGACCTCTTTTTTGGATAATGATGTGCATAATGGAAATCTGTGTTTAGAGCCTGCATAAATATCATTTCTCTGTATTTCTTCTTCCGCATTCAGTTGGGCCATGAACATGGAACAATATTCCCAGAGGTGTTAGCAGGACATTCCTGGCAAGTCATCAGCTCGATGCAGTTTCTATTTTCCAGCCGAGCTACGGCATGGGAGAGGGAAAAAAAAGTAATACTGCATTCCTGCCCCTCGCCGTAGGGGAGGGGGTGGAGCTTGTCAATGCTACTCCCCGCTTCCTTCAATTCGCGGCGACTAAGAACGAGGAAGGGGGTTGAGCATAGCTGCTAAAGCTACACTGCAGGTGAAGGATGGACGATGGCTTGGACTGGCGGCTACATGGAACAGTTGATGCGTAGCAAACCCAAGGTTGGGCGCAAGGTGCATGCATATCCGGGAGGATGCCGCTACCTGCCGTGAATCGACCGCAGCCTGAACTGCATGGAGCTGCGAGCGCCGTGCATTGGCTGAGCGCTTGTCAATAACTACGAGAAATGGAGCGCCAGCCACACCTTACTGGCACCCATTATCAAGGGCGTGAGCTCGATTTACGGGCTAAACGTCATGACCGTGTTTTGTTTGCCGCCGGGCTCTGGGTCACATAACAGGAGACTTGAGCCGCCGTGGCAAAGGCTTAAACAAATGTCCAAAACAAGGATTGACACCGGGGCCGCGATGCCACCGCGACGGCGGTCCAACAGACCGGCCGGAGGGTGCACGGCTTGGTGCGGAGAAAAGGAGGCCCCGTATCCGCAAGCCAGCATGTCGGCATCCCTTGCGGCTGGGCACGCGACGCGCGCGACGGGGATTGATGAGGGGGGCGCTGTGAAAGCAAGCTGCCAGGCTAATGCGGAGTGCCATCGCACCACAGCACCGGGGGCGAAATCGAGGTCTCTACGTGGTTGACGGCCCTTGTTTCGATGCTGTCATCCAAGACAACTGGGATGAAGTGGTGTAGAGCGCCTAAAAAGGCACGGTCGGTCAGTTGGCGCATGTCGTGTCCCTTGGCGAGGCCGAAATGGGAAAGACGGAGGAGGCAAGGAGCCCCTTGTGCTTCTGGATGCTTGCGTGCTCGGAGGAGGAGGAGGAGGGGGGAGGAGTGGTTCAGCCGAACCAGCCAGACGAGCCACATGTAGTTGTATAAGTCAATAGAAATCGGGGGCCTGAGGGACGGGGGCAGGAGGAGGCATGCCGTCACCCTTTTTTTTCTGGCTGGGCACCAACAAAAGTGAAGGCCAAAAATTTTTGCCTCTCCAAGTTTGCCCGAGTCAGGCGACACAGACGTCGCTGGTGTAATAAGAGGACGGATAGACGGCTGGTGTGAAAGACTAGCGCTTCTGGAACAAAGGTGTTTTGCCTTCCCTTTGTCACGCTGTGCTGATTTTTTACCCTGGAGTTTCTCCCTCCGTGCCCGTCCGGAACCAGGGAAGCATCGTTGGTTCGGCCTAGGCCGGAAAAGGGCCCGTTCGTGGTCCGGCGTGATACGACGAACCTGCTCACTGGAAGGGGCTGAAAGGATTCTCGTGGCGCGCTGCCAGCCATCAGGTGAGCGCCTTGGGCATCGGCGGAGGAAGGTCAGCATTTATTGATGGAAAGGAAAATTGTATTATTGGAGCGTGCATGCGTGCGTGTGCGTGCGCATGGCATCCCGGTAGCAACGGTCCGGATCATGATGATAATCATCAGGCGTAGTGATGCAGAGCGTTTGCAGAAATTTTGGTGGTTGGAGCTTGCGTCTAGTCTCGGATGCCCGCAGCGGGCAACTGCCCCCAGGCAGTGGGTGAAGGCGCTGGCCCTTTTGCGGGATCAGAACTCGCTAATCAACATGGAAGGCTGGCCAGGGGGCGTTTTAGTGGAAGTGGCTGAGGAAACCTTGTTGGAGCAGCTGTGACAAGCCTCTGTTTGGCACAACTACAACCTCCGTTCCAAGGCCCTTCCCTTCTTTGGGGATGAGGGATGGTTGAAGGGGGAAAAAAAGACCGGCTCCACTCAGGGCGCCGCTTGCGATGTCCACTTGTTCACTTGTGATTACTTAAAAAATTATGGCAGGTAAAGGAATACTAACATCACAAAGCGTTTCATTTTCATTTCTCTTTAACATAATAGTTGCATGTACAGAATTATGTGTCAATAAGTGATCAAATATTTGCACATAAGCACTGTCTAAAGCAAACCTTGCCTGGAGAGGAGGCCGTCATGAGGCAGGCAACGTACATAGTATAAAACTGTTCCCTTCGAAAGCCCCAGCAATTCCCTTAGCGCCTGATGGCCCCTCTTGTGCCGCCCGGACCCTAGGCTCCCGTGCGCTGTGCTGCAGGTCCTGCTGGGCTTGCCTTGGGCAGTTATGGTACTATGTATTTGGTAAATAAATAGACAGCACTTCTTTTGTCAATACAGTACCAACTAGTATGTTGTGGTGAGCTGGCAAAAACAAGCTGCGTTGGGCCTGGTGCACGCACCAATGCCGGGGCGCCTACGCTCGCGGGCAAGTTAGTATGGGCCATATTATGGGCACTTATTAGTATGGGCTGGCTGTACTGATACGCTCCACGCTCCGCTCAGCCAGCCTGCGACCTCCGTTTGCCAGCCAGTCAGGTCAGTCAGTGTCCACTCTATTGTGTCTCTCCATTTTGCAAACCCCCGACCCCGACCCTCCGATCAGAGCGTTCTGGCCAACGCATCTTGACGCTCCGCCATCTTTCTCCCCCTCTCCTTTCTTGCATCAAGTACGGATATCCCAGGTCTGACGGGGCGCCGACGCATCCGCACACTATATCTACCGCTTGTGCTTAAGCTTTTCAACGGTTTATGCATCATCGAAGCCCGGCTAGCCCGTTCGCCTCGCGCTACTACTAAACTCTGCCTGCCCGGCCACATTCGCGAACCCGAACCTCTCGACACCGCTGCCGGCGGCTCTCTCCCTTGATACATCCCATCAATAGTTTTGCCGCACCGTACAGTGCAGCAACTATGAGGGCTTCGCCGTCGCCGTCGCTCGCCGGTCCACCGCGTCACCTCGACGCCCGCCGCCCGCGCAGTGCCCAGACGCAGACGGTGGCCGTGAATCTGGTTGAGACTCCGAGCCAGCAAGGTACTCATCACTTTCAGCTCCATGTGAGCGAGTGTGTTGAGACCAAGACCGTCACCACCACCACTCGCCTCACGCGAAAGTTCCCCCAGGTCTTCGTACGCGATCCTACGCCCTTGTCCACCCTCGACGCCAGAGAATACCCTCTAGCTAGGAAGCCCACGCCTCCCGAATTGTCTGGCTTCTCCTTGATAAATCCTGGCCGTGTCGATGATATGCAGTTCCTCAAACAAGAGGACCCAGAAGAAGCAGAAGAACACGAGCATGTCAAGCACGAGGTCGACGACGACCCCCTGATGCCAGCCAACCATATTGCCGTACGCAAATCGACAGCCCGCGGCAATACAGATAGCAGTGTTGATGTACTAACTCGTCGCTCTCATCAGTTTCCTCATCGGCTCAGTACAGGACGTACACGTCCCACTTCGGAGCCTCAGCCTCTGGCACCCCAGCCGACAAACGCCCTCCGCCGCTCCAGCCGACATTCCTCCATCTCCCCTAGCGAGCCTCTCGCTCGCCGCACCAGACAGTCTAGCCGACCATCTCTCGCCGATTCCTCAACCTCCGTGCCGCAAGATACGAAACCGCCTACCGCTCGCCAAACTCGATCTTCCCGCTCACAATCTTTATCCAACCGTCTGCGTCGATCTGTTGCCCAGCCACAGCCGAGCAGCAGTGGGCGGCAGCCTGGTGATGGCTCTCGTGTGGACGGGAGTGCTGGGTTTTTGGCCACCCCGGGTACCTCCAGCATCTTGGGATCGTCACAATCACGGGCTGCTAAAGGGAAGGCCCGTCAGTTGGACATAGTGCAAGATTCGCGGGAGACGACGCCCACGACCCAGCTCCAGTACGATGCTGGCAGCCCGGCAGGAAGCGAAGCTCACACAATCTTTAGCAGTAACGTGGCGACACCTCCAATAACTGATGCCGACGCTGAGCCCTTTGGCGATACCGATGAATCGCTTCAACGATCGATCCGCCTACACCAACGGCCCTCAATTGACATTCCGACAGCTCAGGATGCTAGCCTGCCGAGCCCTCGCCTCTCGCCCACTCTGGCTGCTGGGACGCTGCCACGGACAGGCGACGCTATCAACGACGATGAAGAGTCTTCGTTCGATGCTTCCAACCATTCGGCCTGGCCTGCTACTCAATCAACCGACGACGTGGGTTCCATGGAACTGGCGCCCATGGGCTATAGACACGAGGACTCGCGCGAATTGAGTCGAGCGCGCCAGCCTTTCCTTGCTGATACGCAGACCTTACTTGAGGCTTTTGACTCGATGAAGACAGAGATGAAGACGTTCATGATGTATCAGTTCCTGCGGCGCTGCCCTCGCGCGACACTTCGGGTTATTGCTGATGCAGTGAACCCTGCTCTCAAGTGCGATTTTCTTAGGCAGCTACCTCTTGAACTGGGTTACCACATCCTCGCCTATCTTGATTTTCGCGATCTCTGCCGGGCTGCTCAGGTCTCCAAGCACTGGCGGAACATGGTTGATCGCAACGAAACCGGCTGGAAAGAATTATTTGATATGGATGGCTTTGCATTACCGCCAGGCGAACTCACCAAGGCAATAACACAAGGATGGGGCTGGCAAGATCCGGTTGGCCCAACTGGTCACGAGCGTGATCTAAGCATGCACAGTCGTCTCGTTGCCTCTTCGAGGGACCTCGTCCGTTCTGTCAAGAATGAGCAACTGTCCAAAACTCGAAGCGCAAAGCGAAAGCGAGGCATCAGCGCGTATAGCGTGACTGAACGATCAAAGCGCCGTGCCTTTCCGAACGAAGCAATTGTCTCTCGACATGATGGAGAAGAGAGGGAACCGAAGCAGCACAAGTCCGAAGGCCCCATATCTGCTGCCAACGCTGCCGCTTTAGCTGTGCCTGACCCGCAGCTTGGGTTACCCAGCCTTCGACAGCTACATCTCTACAAGTCCCTCTACCGCCGCCACCACATGATTCGGCAAAGTTGGACAAGTGGGAAAGTCAAGCCTAGACATGTGGCGTTTGGGGCACATATAAGACATGTCATTACCTGTCTGCAATTTGACGAGGACAAAATCATTACCGGAAGCGATGACACGTTAATTCACATATATGACACCCGTACGGGCAAGCTACTGAAGAAGCTCGAGGGGCACGAAGGCGGTGTCTGGGCTTTACAGTACGAGGGCAATATTCTGGTATCTGGGTCGACAGATCGATCGGTTCGAGTATGGGACATTGAGCGAGGGTTGTGCCAGCAGGTATTCTACGGGCATACTAGCACGGTTCGCTGCCTGCAAATCCTCATGCCTGCAGAGACGGGCCGTACCCATGATGGTAAACCCATTATGCAGCCAGAGAAGCCCTTGATAATCACAGGATCCAGAGACAGCCAGCTCCGCGTCTGGCGTCTACCCGAAGTTGGCTCTAGGCGCTACATTCAGACGGGACCGCCGGCACATGAATCTGACTGCCCATATTTTATCCGAGTTCTCATCGGCCACACTCACTCAGTGCGTGCTATTGCCGCACACGGAGACACGCTCGTCTCTGGTTCCTATGACAGCACTGTTCGAGTATGGCGCATCAGCACCGGCGAAGCTGTGCATGTCCTCCACGGTCATGCTCAAAAAGTTTATTCCGTTGTATTGGACCACGAACGCAACCGATGCATCTCGGGCTCGATGGACTCGTATGTCAAGATCTGGGATCTGGATACTGGCGCTTGCTTGCAAACGTTGGAAGGCCACAATATGCTTGTCGGTCTCCTAGATTTGCGCGACGAGCGCCTTGTATCCGCAGCCGCAGACTCGACATTGCGCATCTGGGATCCCGAAACCGGTAAATGCAAGCACACGTTGATGGCTCATACAGGAGCTATCACCTGTTTTCAGCATGACGGCCGCAAGGTCATCAGTGGCAGCGAAAAGACTGTCAAGATGTGGGATATACGCAGTGGGGAATGGGTTCAGGACTTGCTCACCGATTTGCGCGGTGTTTGGCAGGTTAAATTTGACGAGCGACGATGTGTCGCGGCTGTCCAACGCGGTGATCTAACATATGTTGAGGTATGTCTTTCAGATGCGCCCGCCCGTGGCAAACACAAAAACAAAAGCAGATGACTAACATTGTGTAGATCCTTGACTTTGGCGCTGTTCGTGACGGCGTCCCGCCTGAGGAGCTCGGTACGCGGAAACTCCTTAACGAGACAGAGATTAGAGCGATGCTTGAAGAAGAACCGTAGCCGGTGCTTTCGTTTTGCCGTTCGTTTTCTGAGTGAAAATCGAAACTGACATTGTTGCCGATGCATTTTGTTGGGAACCCGCATGACGACCGGTAAAGCCGCTCATGGTGCGGCGAAATCCGAATGATTGTTCAACACATCCGCTTTATATATATGTTGCTATTTTTCCTACTCGTTAATTCAGCGAACGCTCGAAATGGTATTTTTGCACACGAAGAGTGTGTTTCGGGGGCTTTGTCTTTTCGCGGTTGGTGGCGTTTTTGCTTTTCCTTCATAGGCAAGGGAGTTTGTACTTGACTTTTCTTCTGCATGAGAGGGGGGCTTTTTTGGCATTTTACCCCGGGGTTTTTGTTGCATCTGTTTTACGGAAGGATATGATTGATGAAGAAGAAGGCGTTGGCAGAAGAGTATTGCAATACTTACGGCAAGGGGAGTCAGCGATGCAGCTTTGTCTTCTCCTGAAGTGCCTACGTTTTCGATGCTCGAGTGTGGGAACAAGCAAAGGTTTGGTACGCATACCTTTCTGACTTTTCGCAGTTGTTTCCCCCTCGACTCCAACTTTGCCTCTGGCTGCAAAACAAAAAGTATTCATGCCGGAACACTTGTACGAAAAAGGGTCCGACGGAAATACAATATAAAATATAAAATCAATACGAATTCCATCGTCACTAGAGTGAGAGTATTCTTTTCTTCCCCCAAGTACTTTGGTGCAACCGGTTCATCCCCAGGTATTCCCTGGCAAATATGCCGTGTCAGCTGGAGTAACGCATGACCCCGCTATGCCGCTACAAGTTGTATCTTATGTATAACATTCCACATGTCAAAAGCGACGCAGCCCTGAGAAGAAGAGATTAAATTGATATATTTACAGATGCATACTTTGCTTACATGATCAGACTTTGCTTTTACTGGATGATGCTGATTCTATAATTACGGGATCCTAAGGGCTGGTTATTTTTGCTAGTCTTGGTGGAGGGGGGCATGATGTACAGTACATACTATAATGTACTATACTAAAACTTTTGGCCCCCAAAACGACCTGTCAAGACAGTCGAGACGGCATCGCTCCCGCTGACAACGAATCGCGTGGGGCTCGCCCTTCTTCGGTGGTGCCATTTCGAGGGAGAAACGAAGAAAAGTGTCCATCTTTCATTCGCCACACCGCCCTATGTAGTCAACAGACGACCGACACCTTCCAAACCGCTCCTTCGGCATCCACGGACTCAGCTCCAGCTTTGCCGCACGCAACTTCCGGACACGGACATACAGCAAACCCACCCGAACAATGTCCACGTCGGACGGCGTCAGGCCCGACAGCCTCATCCGAAAGACCGACGGCCGCCGGTACTGGGAGGCCGCGACGGCCGACCTTGACGGCATGCTCGGCGGCATCCCCGCCGTCTTCAGCCCCATCTCCCGCGTCGACCTGCAAGGCTCGCGGACCTTTCTCTCCCGCCTCGGTCCCCCCCCCCGGCGCAGCATCGGGAGGGTTACGGAGGGCCTGCTGTCCCGCGTGGCGCTGCAGATTGACGTCGTGGAGCCGGTGGCCAAGTTCGTCGAGGTGCTGCGGCGGCGGCCGCGCGTGCGGCGCGTCTTCCCGGTGGGCCTGGAGGACTGGTCGCCGGCGGCGGGGGACGGCACGCGGTACGACCTCGTCTGGATGCAGTGGGTTCTGGTGCACCTGACCGACGAGCAGGTCGTGGGGTACCTGGAGCGGTGCCGCGATGCGCTGGTGCGGGGCGACGACAAGGCCGTCATCGTCGTCAAGGAGAACGTGAGCACCAGCGGGCGGGACGAGTTCGACTCGGTGGACAGCACCGTCACGAGGTATGTTTGCCCGTACCCCCCCCTTCCTCGCCGGTTCTTGGCACGCGGGCTTTGAACGGGGGACTGACGCGGAGAGCAACACTACATAGGCAAGATGAGACATGGCTGCGTCTGTTTGTGCAGGCCGGGCTGAGGGTGGTTAGGCACGAGCGACAACGAGGCCTGCCGGAGACGGGCCCAAATCCACTGCTGCCTGTAATGATGTATGCGCTGAAACCATGAACGAAGAAAAAGAAAACACATGCAGTAGAAATGTCCACGTGGAGAGTAGATTTTGCAATTCTGTCATTCTCTGTCATTCATATATATATATATATTTATGTTTGTGCGCCAAATAAAAACAAGGAAAATTTCACCTCAACACTCGATTCACCCCCTTTGAAAGCTGAATTGCATCATCTCCCGCTTTACGCCTTCTCGTACTCGGCCGCCATGGCCTTGCCGGCCGCGCGCCCTGAGAAGATGCAGCCGCCGACAAAGGTGCCTTCGAGGGAGTTGTAGCCGTGGACGCCGCCGCCGCCGAAGCCCGCCGCCTCTCCGGCCGCGTAGAGCCCCGGGAACGGCGTGCCGTCCGCGCGCATGACGTTGCTGTCGAGGTTCGTCTCGATGCCACCCAGCGACTTGCGCGTCAGCAGGTTCATGCGGACGGCGATGAGCGGGCCGTGCGCCGGGTCGAGCAGGCGGTGCGGCGGCGCGATGCGGCTGCGCTTGTCCGGCCAGTAGCTGCGCCCGTTGTGGATAAGCATCGCCTGCGCGTCCTTGCTGTACGGGTTGTCGAACTGGCCGTCGCGCGCCTCGACGACCGCCCGGACGGCCTCGAGGTCGAGGACGGGGCCGGAGCGCTCCCGCGCGAGTACGTTCATGCCCTCGACGAGCTCCTCGAGCGTGTCACGGACGACAAAGTCCTTGCCGTGCTTCTGGAAGTTCTGCACGGGCATGGTGCCCTTGCTGCTGAAAATGCGTTGGGTGAGCATCTGCCAGATGCTCTTGTTGGTGATGTCAGGGTTCTGCTCGGAGCCGGAGAGGGCGAACTCGCGGGCGATGATGGTCTGGTCGAGGATGAACCAGGTGTAGTCGTAGCCGGTGGCGCAGATGTGCTTGAGGGTGGCGCGCGTGTCGGTGCCGGGGAAGAGGAATGGAGGCAGGCGGTTGCCAGCGGCGTCCAGCCAGAGGGAGGACGGCGCGGGCAGGACGCGGATGCCGTGGCCGGGCCAGATGGGGTTCCAGTTCTGCAGGCCCTCGGTGTAGTGCCACATGCGGTCGCGGTTGATGACGTTGGCGCCGGCCGTCTCGGCGATGTCGATCATGCGGCCGTCGACGTGCGCGGGCACGCCGACGACAAAGTGCTCCGGGACCTTGGGCCCGAGGCGGTCAACCGGCCATGCCTTCTTGACCGCCTCGACGTTGCCGCCGATGCCACCCGAGGACACGAGCACCGAGGAGCCGCGGATCTCAAAGTTGTCGACGATCTTGCGGGAGGACTTGACGCCGCGGGCCGAGTCGTCCTCCTCGAGGATGCTGCCGCGGACACCGACCGCGCGGCCGGCGTCGTCGGTGATGACCTCGTCGACCCGGTGCCGGAACTTGAACGTGATGGTTCCCTTCTTCTCCGCCGCCAGGACAGGCTCCTGGAACACGCGGACGACCTCCGGCCCGGTGCCCCAGGTGAGGTGGAAGCGCGGGACCGAGTTTCCGTGGCCGTCGGCGCGGCCGGCGCCGCGCTCCGCCCAGCCGACGTTGAAGACGAAACCCATGCCGCGGGCACCGACATACTCCTCCATCTCGTCGGTGGCGAAGTCGACGAAAGCCTTGGCCCAGCGGCGCGGCCAGTGATCCTCGACCTCGCGATCGAACTGCGCCGAGTCAAACCAGTCGCGCATGGCGAGCTCGCGCGAGTCTTTGATGCCGAGGCGGCGCTGACGCGATGAGTCGACCATGAAGACGCCGCCGAGCGACCAGAAGGCCTGGCCGCCCAGGTTGGCGCGGTTCTCCTGGTCGAGGATGATGGTGGGCACGTTGTGCTCGGCCAGCTCAAAGGCGGCGACCAGGCCGGCCAGGCCAGCGCCGACGATGATGACGGGCTCCTTCTTGGATGATGTTGACTCGTCTGGTGCCATTGGAGGGAGTGGCAAGAGTTGGTGGTGTTGTGATGAGGTTGATTGATGGAGGGGGGGGGAGAAGCTGGCTCTATACTACGAGCTCTAAGAACAAAGGACCAAGGGAAGGCGGGCCGAATCTGGGGAAGGAGCGCCGAGGGGCTCACTCCACTTCAACGCAGAATGGTCAGGTCGATGTCTATCACGCCCTTGGTGGCGTCAATGACAAGTAAAAATAGTATATAAATACATAAATTGGATGGTGTCGATTCAATAGTAGACAAGGGCTCGTCGGACATCTGACGATTGTGCAGTGAGATGCAAGTAAAGAGGAGATGTCTGCTTCCGGCACCTGTCTACAAGTTGAACAACTCCGTCCCCAATCTCCGGTCCCGCTTTTCTCCAACCGCAGCCTACCTCGGTGATTGCATGGTCCTTGGTGGCAGGTTCCTAGAGACTCGCGTGAGCCGGTAAATAAATGTACAGGTAGGTAGTATTTAGATATGTTATCTATTGAATATTTCTTTTGGAAAAAAATTGGTGGCGATACGTACACTGTATGTGCCGTGTTTGGAACCACAGTAGTACAGTACGGTTTATCCCTGTGGGCCGCTGTCACTGTCGCCACCTGCTGTAAAACACAGCCCAACCATCCGTAAGATATATAAATGCAGTTCTGGGGAGCAAGAAAGACGACACCCCCTCACGAACCTATCCAGACATATAATGATGATCAAAAAATGAACCCAAAACAGCGAATACGAAACAAGCAGCATTGCCACCTGCCACCGTTGGGCCAGCTCAGACCACGGACTCGGCATGTTCCGGTTTATTCCTCTTCAGCTTGCTCATCTCCCTCACATATAGAGTCGACAATAATGCTGCCCTCAGGTGGGAAGTGAGAAAGCAGTAATACGCTCATGGCTACGACTGCAATTGCCTAGCATCCTGTTAGTTAGCGCAGGTGACTCGCTTGTATGAATGGCGTCATCGATGCTCACCGCATTACAAAAGAATGTCGCATATGCCTTTCCAACGTTGGCGAGCGCCGCAAACACGAATCCAAACAGGCCCTGCGTGGACAGGCGTGCAATGTTCTCGACCAAGGTGACGGCATTTAGAGCATCCGCCCGCTGGGAGTCAGGGCACATGGAGGTGATGACTCCCTTGGCGGCCGGTGCAGATCCCGATCCAAATGGGAGCAAAAATGCAGCTGTAATGACGAGAATTAGCAAAAAGAAACATGGCGGATGCTTATCTGCAGCTCAGCCTGCGCGCGGCGACATACCGAGATATATGTGCCAGGGTTTTGTGGCGAACGCTGCCACTGTTGTAAAGCCGCCATCAACAATGAGACTCCAGCGCAAAAAGGTCAGGTCAAACTGAGGGTCCAGGTCTTCATCCTCCTTTGATCGCGCCGGCTTTACAGGTTCGTCGCTCGGAATCGTTCCCATGCTCGAGTCAAATTCTCTCGGGTCCGTCGGCAATGAATCCGGCGTCAGTGTTCCGTCTGTGCCGTATCCCTCTTCGCTCGCAGCCCGCGGCTTGTTGCATGTGCGCTTCGAAGCTAGTAATCGTCTTCCCAGCATGATAATGCGGGGGAAGATGAATAAAAGGAACATGCCCCTCATGAGGGCAAACTCGGACATGAGCAGGCCGTTGCTTGCCTGATTAAAATTGAAGGCAGCCGTGGCATACATCTGGATCAACAGAGGGGCGTAATCGGTAGCCAGCTGCACGGAAATGTCAGCGTTGGAGTCCAAGGAGTGTGGTCTTCAGACAAGTTTCAACATACCACTCCCAAGAAAATACCGGCACAGAGGAAAATAACTCCATAATGTTTTGTCATCTTCCCGCTGGCGAGTCGCAGGTTCTGCGGTACCAAGATGCGCAATGGCGCAAGGAAGCCAGAGGAGCGCTTGCTCGACTTGCTGGTGCTCACGGGCGGCGGGATGTAGGGCAGAGACACGAGCACGTAGACGCATGATAGAAGGAAGAAGCCACAGGCAACATCAAACGGCGCGCGAATGCCAAAGGTATCTCCCAAAAAGCCGCCGGCTAGGACATGGTCAGCCATTTGCATTGTCTAATGAGTGGTATTGGTGGTAGGTAAGAGACGTACTGAAGTTGCCTAGAGACTGACCAAACATGAAGCATCCTTGCAACATGCCAAAAACGGCAGTACGACGGACTGGGGTTACAACCTCGCCAGCAATGATGTTGATAACGAGGCTGGTGAGGAGTCAGTCAGTCAGTCAGTGTACAGTCAGTGCAATGAAATCGACTGGGATAACTTGCATGTAGCCGACTGGACCACCGAATATGGTAATCAGCTGGGTGCTCTGAATTATGTTCATGCCCAGTGTTTTTCCCGCCATTACGCCGAGAATTTGCGCGAGAACTCGGACGGCCGGGATAAAGGTCTGGAAGAGGATTGCGGTTTTGGCTCCCCATTTCTTGACGGCCCATCCGGCGACGAAGAGGTTCACGGTTCCTGGAAGAGAATGTCAGGGGAGAGGCATTTCAAGGCACAATGCCATGAAGAAAAGGTAACAAAATTGAATTACCACATAATGTAGTGGTTATTCCGAGAATGCTGAATTGCGTCGCAGTTCCTGCAGCGATCTGGTTGATGGCGCATCGGTCGCCGTCGCCGGTATACGGAGGGTGGTGATCGTAGTAGGCGTCGCATGTCATGAGCCGAAAGACGTATAGTAGGCTATTTGGGGGCGAGGAAGAAAAGACCGTGAGCGCGGGTCAGGGAAAATAACAATAGAATAAATAGAAAAAATAGAAAAAATAGAAAAAAATTACAGGCTAGGACAGGGAAGACATACGGTACTTGGGTAAAGCTAAATGACAGGGAGATCAAGAAGCCGGCGAGGAGGATGCGATTCTCAACGTGGAAGATGGTGTCGAGCCATGAGCTCGAGGGAATCTGGAGCTGTTGGTCTGACAGCTTGGCGCTGCCATTTTCAGATGCAGTTGCAGTTGCAGTTGCAGTTGCAGCGGGAGGACGAGGTGATTGTGCCGCTCCGGAGCCGCCCGGGAGTAGCGGTGTCGTCTCGTCTGCCGGCATGGTCATCCTCCCGCTCTGCTAATATAGGTAGGCAGACGAGGTTGACGAAGGAAGGGAAGGAAAGTGGTTGCAAGAGAAAAAAGAGGAAGAAAAAAAGAAGATAATGGGGGCGACAAAGAGAGAGAAAGTATAGTCATCTAGATGATCCCCTCCCCCGCCACGGTTCTCGGAAATTTCGGGGCAATTGGCAGGTCAGACTGACGGACTTGATTGACTAGTTATTAGGAGAAGGCAAGTTGGAAGGGAAGCATACCCGGGCTCCGAGGGGGGGCCTGAGGGAAAAAGGTGGACTTGAATGTCTTGGCCGCCCCGGCGCCGGAGACCAGGCCCGCTTCAGCTTGTGTGTCTTGAGAGACAATTTTCCTTGATCTGCAGGTGCTGATGGCGATAATTACCACCTCAAACTCGTTGTCCTTATTCTGTGGTAGTACCAACTAATAAGTATGTATGTGCATAGACTGGAGGACGCCATTGTGGATCGAGGTATTTGTGCTCAACAGCCAACTAACAAAACAACCAACTGATTCAAGCCAAGTCCGCGGAGCACATCGCCGTACAAAAGGCCGGTGGAGGGGGGTTGGTGGGGAGGCTGCTATGTATGTATGGAGGCTGCCATGTATGTATGGAGGCTGTTACGTATGTATGGAAGCTGCTATGTATGTATGGAGGCTGCTACGTATGTATGGAAGCTGCTATGCATGTACTGTATGTATGCCTGCCATCTGCCGAAACTAACGTTAGTCTCTAATCAAAAGAACCGGCATCAAAGGATATCACGGGGGCACACAAACGAGCTCGTGCAAGGAAAGACACAGTCCGAGACAGCCTCTCTCTGAACAACGAAAAAAAGACCACATACATAGAATGCAAGTCTGAGTCTTGTACGCTGCCTGACGACCCGGTCTATGTACATATGTATGTATGTACATAGTCAGCTGCTGAGAAACCACGGCAGCAAGTTAGCCCACCCCTACATTCAAAGTCCAAGGTCTTGGGTCATTTTTTGCCCTTTTCGGCCTCCCGCTCGCTCTCTTCAGCTTTTATTCCTCGTCCATCACCATTCTCTTCCTGCAAGTCCACCCTTCTCTTCCAGTACTACCTTTACGCCACCCTCTTATTGGTTTCACCACTCAGCTTCTCTCAGACAATTCGGCAGTATGTCATCTAGTTTGTTTCATTAATGCGCATCTACTGGCTCTGCACAGTTTCCTGGGATATCTTCCCACCAATTATCTTCAGCCGTATGTCATCGCTCCTCTAAAGTAGGCATCCAGACAATGCAAACAATCCATCTTGATGCTCCCAACAAGAGCTTCCCCAGGGTATCCTCCACGGCATCCCAACGCCCACGCCAATCCTCGGGCCTGCCGGGTCATCCATCCCACTGCCGTCCCCTTCTCTTCTTACTCGTCCCTCCACGGAACCTCCACGCCAAACTCGTCCGCCACCCTCATCGCCGACACCACGCAGCCCTCCAGCAGCACCATGCCGTCCCAGCACCACGAGCCCGTGACCCACACGTTGTCCTTGCCGCTGACCCAGGCCTCTGTCTCGGTAGACCTGGCCTTGCCCACAACCCGCTCGACGACGCTCCTGCTCTCCGTTGTCCGCAGCGTCCGCGTGAAGCGCGCCTTGTGCAGCACCGCCCCCTCATCCGAGGCGTACGCGTACGGGCTCGTCCTGCAAATCGCCCCCGTCGGCAGGTAGTTCCACGCCTCCGTCTGCGCGTCGCCGTCGTAGAAGTGCGTCCGGAAGACCATGAGCTGAGGATGGCCGTTGTGCGAGAGCAGCCGCCCCGAAGGTGCTTGTCCCCGCTCCTCGACGGACACCCGCTTGTAGGACGGGTCGATGACCGTGGCCTCGATGGCGGCCGTGGGGATCGACGAGAGCGCGCGGCCGGCCGGGCCGAACATCCTGGCCGCCGCGTTGGGCGTCACGGCGAGCACCACGCGGTCAAACACCTCCTCCGCCACCGACCCGTCGCCCTGCAGCCGCTCCCACCGCACCAGCACCCCGCCGGCCACCCTTTCCACCTTGCTCACCCGCGCCCGCAGGCGAACGTCCGTGACGCCCCGCGCCAGCTTGGACTGCAGGTCGTGCACGCCGTCCGTCATGTACGTCGTCTGCAGCGAGGACCTCGTCATGAAGTCGACCACGTCGCTGGCCGGAAACGCCAGCAGCTCCTTGTGCGAGCAGGTGCAGATGGCGCCGAGCACCGGCAGCAGGTGGCGGTCCACGAACCGCCGCGGGACGCGGGTCCGGCGCAGGTACGCCTGCAGCGACTCGCTGCTCGTGCTCGTGCTCGTGCTCGTGCTCGTCTTCTCGGTGGCGGCGGCGGCGGCGGCGGCGGCGCGAGGCGCGACGAGGAAGCACGCGGCGAGGAACCAGAGGTGGCAGACGGCCAGGAAGAGCGCCTGCCAAAGCTGCTGCAGCCCGCTGCAGCTGAGGCGCGCCGACAGCACGGGCTTGTAGAGGTTCTCGTAAGCAAAGTACGTGCCGGCCATCGGGTCGCTGCTTTGCGGTGGGGGCGGTCCGGGCTTCGAGGACTTGCTCGACGACGGGGTCTCGGCGTACAGGAAGGTGTATCGCACGGTGCGGAGCGGTATTCGTAGAAAGTCGTACATGCGGGTCAGGTTCGGGTAGTAACCGCGGGTGACGCTCCGCGGGGGTATGTTGACGCGCTCGGTGATGCCCGTCGAGGCATTGCGCAAGGTCACGGATGCCGCATCGAGGGAAAGCGTTTCTGCCTGTTTCATGAGTGTAAGCGAGCGAGGACTCCTGGACAGGAGTGTTTGCCTAGGGGGCATTCCCAAGAGCACCAACCTGTTCGAAGAGCGCAACGTCGAACCTAGACTGGGCGTCGTTTTGGAGGAGGTATGCCGTAGTGAGCCCAGCCAGTCCGGTACCAACGACGGCGACGCGGGTTCTCGGCCTGGTGTTGGCAGGTGCTGTTTGTTGCGACGCCATTGCCTTGGATCGCAAAGCTGGGGTATCTCCTTAAAATCTCGGAGATGGAATTTTGATTCCAACAAGCTATTCGCCCCAACAGATGCGACGAGGAAAAGTCGCTTCACGGATAGTTTATGGCAAGAAGGGGCCCACGGACCGTGCCCGACGCTGATGCCTCGGGGGCCGGCGGGATGATTATGCCGGCGGGCAATAATATGAGGCGAAAAATCAGGTGGCGTCTGAGTTTTGCGTCGGCCCCTGGGTCCCTGAGGGGGCCACTCACATTGTTTGATAATGTAATCCATCCCTATTTAACCTTATTGGGGCGTCCTATACGTTTAAATATGGTGACTGAGCCGCGGTATGCGTTCATAATCCACTCGAGACTTCGTGGCCTGCAGAGGAGTTCGCCATCTGCCATTACATCCCTCACAAAAAGCAAAAACACATTTGACATGTGAAATCAAGCATTGCACGTGGAAAGGATTCTTCTTTCATGCTATACACTTACTATGGAAATATACTCATGTTGTTCCCGAATTTCAGTTGTCGGCAACCTTCATCATGACGGCAGAATCGTCGAGTTGGCAGACGCCCGCCGATAGTAACCAACCGCCCGTCGTTGACCTAACTTCTTCACCAGTCACCACGCTGTCGGCTCCGGCTTTTCAAATCTGGTCATAGCACCATTAGCCATTGGCCGCTGTCCAACTAGCGTTCAGGGTGGTAGTAAAGGCATCCATTACATCATGGACTCTTCCTACCATCTCGCCCTCACCCCCCCTGCAGCCTCGCGCTAATCGCATCATCTTAATCATACAAGGAAACAAGCCGATTCGATCGATATTCCAAATCATCAATGACCCAACGATGGCCCCTCTCGAAACGGCGTGGAAGGGCGGCATTTATTAAATTTCCCTCCCACCGCGCCGTCGTAGCAACTCACCCCCAACAGCACACGAACCAACACCCATCATGGCCAACATCACCGTCCACCACCTGCAAGTCTCCCAGTCGGAGCGCATCCCCTGGCTCCTCGAGGAGCTCGGCCTCCCCTACGAGCTGCGCACCTACAAGCGCGCGCCCCTCCTCGCGCCCCCCGAGTACAAGGCGCTGCACCCCGGCGGCGCCGCCCCCGTCATCCGCATCCACGGCGATGCCGACCTGACCCTCGCCGAGTCCGGCGCCTGCGTCGAGTACCTCGCGCGGCGCCACGGCCGCGATCACCGCCTCTTCGTCGAGCCGGACGACCCCGCCTACGCCGACTTTTTGTACTGGTGGCACTGGAGCAACGGCACCTTCCAGCCGGCCGTCGCCCGCGCCATGTACGCCCGCGACCTCCCGGAGGGCAGCAGGATACGAGAGGTCTCCAAGGAGAGGCTGGGTCGCGCGCTGGATGCGCTGGGGAAGCAGCTGGGGAGGGCGGGCGGGTACCTGGTCGGCCCGGAGCTGTCGGCGGCGGACATCATGGTCGTCTTCTCGCTCACCACGATGCGCTACTTTTCGCCGTATAGCCTGGGCGAGCATCCGAATATCCTCAAGTACTTGGGGCGCATCAGCAAGAGGGAGGCGTATCGCACCGCGATGGCCAAGTCGGACCCGGACATGGAACTGGCGCTCAGTGCTGAGCCGCCCAAGCCTCTGCATTAGTTAGCCGTGGGCTGCGTAGTAACAGAGAGCCGACAATAGCTGCGCTCCTGAATAGAAATCAATAAGTTTTCCTGTGCAGAACTACATGGCCATGGTAGCCGCGTGACGTGTTATTCAGGGACGAGAAAAAAAGTCTACTAGGACATGATACTAAGCCAAACCAACGCCTGTCCCAATGCACCCCGTCGTGTTGCATTTGCAAATCCCTCCCTCCATTCTATATGTATCACAAGTCGTCACACAGCAGCTCATCGTCTTCCGCGGCCGCCGCCACCAGGCATTCCCGGCATGCCCGGCATTCCGCCGCCGCCCATGCCCATCTGCTGCATCATGGCCTGCATGTCCATGCCGCCAGGCATACCAGGCATGCCACCGCCGCCACCGCCGCCAAGCATCTTCATCAACGAACCCATGTCGGGCATGCCACCTGCACCGCCAGCACCACCCATGCTGGCGAGACGCTTCTGCATGGCCGCCATCTGCTGGGCCTTGTTGCCGCCGCTCATGGCTTGTTGGGCGCGTTGCATGTTCTTCATGTTTCCACCCATCTTCTTGACCATGCCCGCCATCATGCGCTGTTGCGTCAGTAGATCCTCAATCTCCCGTACCGACGTGCCAGATCCACGAGCGATTCTGGTCATGCGCGTGGGCTCATCAATGAGCATCTTGCCGTCTGAGTCCAGTTCCTTTTCCGTCATTGAGTCGCAGATGTAGATCATGCGCTTCAGCTTCATGCCTCCCTCTTCATCATCCATGCCCTGCATCATGTTGCTCATACCAGGAATCATGCCAGCCATCTTGGATAGCGGACCCATCTTCATGATGTTCGAAAGCTGGTCGCGCAGATTGCGAATTGTGAAGATGCCTTCCTGAATATTCTTGATGGTATCCTGTTGGTTCAGGTTTAAGCTTTGCACGTGTTCCACCAAGCCAGCGATGTCGCCCATGCCCAGAAGCTTCTGGATGAATTGTTGCGGCGCGAAGCGTTCGAGGTCCAGCATGTGTTCACCAGTACCAATGAAAACGATCGGGGTATGCGTGGCAGCGACAGCAGAGATGGCGCCACCACCGTGTGCGTGGCCATCAGTCTTGGTAATGATAATGGCACCAAAGTCCGCAGCCTCCTTGAAAGCCTTGGCTTGCGATTCGGCCTGCTGACCAATAGAGGCATCCAGCACCATGATGGTCTCATCCGGTTTGATGGCCTCCTGGATGTCAACCATTTCTTGGAATAGCGCCGACTCTTGCCTGTGTCTTCCGGATGTATCAACAATAATGATGTCAAATTTTTCCTTCTTGAATTGTTCGACACCGGCACGTGCGACGGCGGCGGGGTCCGTCTCCGTGAGTGAACCGTAGTATGGAATCTTGGCCTTGGTGGCATTTTGCTTCAGCTGATCGAAAGCGCCGGCTCGGAAGGTATCGGCGCAAACAAGGCAAGCTCGGAAGCCTCGTGTCTGGTAGTGTCGGGCGAGCTTTGTACACGTTGTCGTCTTACCAGCACCCTGGAGGCCGACAAACATGATGACGTTCGGCTTGCCCTTCTTGGGCTTGAATGGCTCCGCATGGGGGTCGACGAGCTTCACCAGTTCATCAAAGACAGCCTTTTGAATCAATCGCTTCTTGTTCACGGCAGGGGGAATGTCCTTGAAGTTGACTGTGCTTTTAATCGACTTTCGTAGTTGGCCGACCAGTCGAACGTTAACATCGGCTTCGAGGAGGGCGGCGCAGATTTCCTTGATCATGGCATCAAAAGCCTATACGTCCTGGTCAGCGGCGTCTTCATGATTGCGCGCGACTTGCGCTGGCCAGCGTGGCGATTTTCTGGCGGGGGGTGGGCGGCGGTTGCAAGAGGCCTGAGAATTGTACCTTTTCATCGAGGTTCTGCTCGCGGGTCAGGTTGGTGACCGCCGAGTTGATACGGCGGCCGAGATCTTGAAGAACCATGCTGGAGGATTATGTCGCTCGTGGCGAGGCGAGGCAGCTATGGTAAGGGTATCTTGGTTCGCTCAACTGGAGGACTTGTGGCATGTCCCACCAGATAGATAGATAGATGCGCACTTGTGTGGAGGCGGGGCACCAAGGGCTAAAACATTTCTCCGCTCCGTGGCTACCCTATAGACAGAAGACAATGCGCCCATTCATCGGAATGAAGCAAAAGTAAATGTCGAATAAACGTCAAGATAATAATTGATGATAAAGCCCACTAGCTTATGCCAGTTCTCGCATGTAAAAGGCTATGTTATGGCGGAAGTGCGCTGGTTGGCCTGTGCTGAGTGCTCAAGTCCTCTGCTTAAGATTGCTCTGCGCTGCCTGGTCAACCTCCAACGGAATCAACTCAAACCATGATTGTCTACAGCTTGGATAGAATGGAAACTTTCTGGGCCAAAAAATCACTCGCCAGCTGCGCAACTTCATTCGCGATTCCCCAGACCGTCTCATAGCCTCGGCCTCCCGCGCCATACGCATGCAACACCGTCGCCTGCTGTCCCGAAACGGACCCCTTTTCTAGCTCTATCCGCATCCCTCCCTCTCTCGTGGGCCGACGGCCGACGACATCCGCAATGACGGAGACATCTCGCGCGGCGTGGGCAGAGGAGCTGGCAAACTGGCGAAGCTCCCGCCCACCAGCGAGCAACGTAGCGCGCGTATCGGCGTCCGGTTCTGTGGACCACTCACCAGGCTGCTTGGTGCCGCCGACGATGGTGCCGCCTGAGAAGAACCGGGGGATGATGAAGCTCCAGGTGCCATCTTTGTTCTGGCGCGTCACCGTCGTGGTTGCATCGTCCATGTCGGTGACAACTGTTTGGCCTGCGTCGAGACGTCAGTAGGCTTCAAATTAACGAGTGCTTGTTCCCAAGCATACCTCGCGTCGGAAAGTATTTTGGATCTCCGAATCCGGTGCCACTGGCATTGATGACCAGGACAACATTTTTTTGCAACCCAAATGCTTCCCATTCCGTCTTGAGATCCCGCTTGAGAGTTTTGCCGCCTCGGAGGATAAATCGGCGTAGCAGGGCCTGGCAGTATACCGGAGTGTTCACGCAATACGTCTCATACTCGTAGCCGAGAACCACACCCTTGGGGAGTTCCGACTCGGACCACTTCCTATACCGCGGAAGGCCAGTCTCCTCCAGAAAGCTTCTGGCGTCCTGCTTCTGGTAGCCCTCGTCGGGGGCCTCTAGGAGCTCAATGCCCTTACAGCGAGTGACGCCGCTCCATGGCTCCGTTTCCACCTGACAGCTGAATTCTGCCACTGTTTGCTTGAGCCACTCGGCTTCGCGTCGCAATTGCGGCGTCGTTGCAGGAATCGGCCGCACATGGGCACCCGCCCACATGGAGGCGTAATTGGCCGAGTGCTTGGAGGGAGAGCCGGGAATTGAGCTGGGCCATTCTCGTGCCACGAGAAGCACTTGGATATCAGCTTGCCCGTTTGCCTTGCGGGATCCGATGGCCTCCTGTATTTTGATGGCCGAAGCTAGGCCTACGACACCAGCGCTGTATTCGTAATTCCGGGTTAGTATGTATGTTTCTAGGAATGGCATGATGGCGGGGGTGAGCATACCCGATCACGACAACTGTGCGTACATGGCTTGCGTTGGCTTGTTGCGACATTTTGGAGTAAAAATGTATGATGAAATGCAGAACACAGAAAATATATTTGCACAAGGAAAAATGACAATTATTTTTATCAGGACAAGAGTATCTAGTAAGTCTACCTACTTTCATGCATGAAGGTGAAGGCTTCGGGGATTGTGGGGTAACATCCACCTGATTCAGTGCCGGGACCGGAGCTGAATCACACTGCCCCCCGAACGAATCAGCCTAATAATCAGCCTCTTCCAACTTCAACTCTATCCTTGCACTCTGAATTACCTGCTGCGCCGTCTCGCCGCGCCGTCATTGTGTCCTTCGTATAGCAAAGTGACGCCTCTCATCCCAGGTGCCTCGTGTCCGCCTCTTCACGCTGGACGTGTCATCTCCCGGCAGTCGTAACCGCTCAATGTCGCGTTGAAGCTCGCCTTCCATGTCGCGTTGTATCTTGCGTTGTATTTTGTCTTGCATTTCGGCTTGCAGCTCATAATATAGCTTTTCTGTCCAATCAAATACGTTATCGTACTGGAAACCAAGAGCTGAGAAGGCGCGACGGAATAGGCAGCGAAGGTAGGCGTACTTGGGCTTCTCCTGGAACCCAAGCGACCGAGTGTATGTAATGTATGTTGCGAACTCTTCGGGCAGTCCTTCACAGAGCGTTTCAACCGGTACCGTTAGCTTCATTTCCCCAATCATCTTGTTCTTGTCTTCGCCATCCTCCACTTCCATGCCTTGCCATGGCAGTGAGCCACGCGCGAGATATAGTAGCACATATCCCAGCGACTCCAAGTCATCGCCCCAAGACTGTTCTATTACAGAATTAGCCAACAGTACTTGCCACTACAGGACAACACGCACCTCGACCATTGTGGTTGTTCAGGCTAGCATATCGAGCAGTGCCGCCAAACGGGATGTTCTCGAACCCCATATACCGGTCCGTATCATGACACTCTCTGGCCAAGCCAAAGTCAATAATATACAATATGTTGCCTCTCTTACCGCTCCCCATAAGCATATTCTCTGGCTTGAAATCGCGGTGTAAATACCCTTTGTCATGGAAATGCTTGACCCGAGCGATAGCCTGGTCGGCTAGGAGCAGAACAGTCTTGAGCGAGAATTTCCGGTCGCAGTAATTGAAAAGATCCTCAAGCGATGGCCCCAGAAGCTCACAGACCAAGCAATAGTAGTCACATTCCTCCCCAAACCATGTGATCTCCGGTACTCCGACGCCACCCGCAAGATCTCTATAGATATCTTTTTCAAGCCGCAGGAGCTCGGGGTCTCCTCTGATGTGCACGAGCTTAACGGCCACTTTTTCGTCCGACACCAAATCGGTTCCTGGGAAGGTTAGGAACAAAATAAAAGAAAAGAACAAAAAGAAAAGCAACGCGACGCGTCCTGCATACGCACCGGCATAGACAAGACCAAAGCCACCTTCTCCGATTTTGTAGTCGATCCGGAACCTTTCATCGATAAGAATATCCTAGCAGACGCTGTGAGTTAGACAAAACAGTTGTTTTCTCATCGTCATAGAGAAGTAACTACTTGCCTTCATTTTTGCTTACGGCAGCGATGCTGCGGCCAATAATGGGATGGTATGGGATGGGATGGGTGAGAGGCTGGGAGGCTGAGGATATCGCGTGCTTGGGTGATGCAAGTTTGGTTCGTGTGACCTTTTGGTTCTCGGGAAGCAAGCTATCACGGAAGACTTAGGTAATCCTGCCTATCCAGCTGATGCTTAAATACTATGCGTGAACCGTGGAACGCATCGTCCCCAAACTTTCCTTCCCATCCAACCAGTCACCCAATATTTGCCTACTCCGATACCACCCCTTGCCCTTTTACACAAGTACAACTCGGTGCTACGAGCAGTTTCATAATACGATCCGATCCAGTCCTTCTCATTTCATCATTTTTTTCTTGTACGAACCGGGCCGCGTGACCAGAAAACAATCATATAATGCTCGCATCGACTCGCCATCTCCCCATGCCACCTTCAACCATCAGCTCTCTTCTACCGCCCATGGCAAAGCCTCAGAATCTCAAAAGGCGCAATACAGGCGAACTCGCAGTGGAGAAACTACCAGCAAAGAGGGCCAAGTTCCAATCCTCCACGCGCAAAGCCAACTACCCTCCCCGATTCTGGAACACGCTGTCGAGAGTCTGGCTCACGCCTCGCGCTCTACGTGAATTGGATCGTCGTAACGCCACGAGGCCTCTCGATACGGCTACCACAACTGTGGACACCGTGAAATTGAACAGAATCGCTCTATTTGCGAAAGACGGCGGGCCAGACCTTAGCCACCTACGAGGGGTACGTTTAATGCCGTCTAAATACACATTTCATGGACTGACAATACCTGGATAGCATCCTGAGCCAAACGAAGACGAAGAGATGAGCCCTATGCGCTCTGCATCGACTCGGCGGACGCAGTCTATAGACCCGTCAGACCCTGCCATCAAGTATAAGCGCTCATCTGCCTACGATAAGGATTTCGAGCAGAAATTGGTGGACTGCAAAATATACCCCGAAAGCTTCAAGCATAATAATGCCAGCGAAGCGTCGGAACCTAAAAACTTTGACTGTCTTGTCCGAGGATTATCTAAGCGTCGGCCATCGCTTTCACTCTCTCAGTTCCCAGAGTCGGCTTTCAAGGACTTCAAGAAAGTTAATGGCCGAGTCATTTCTAAGGGCAGTGTCATGGTTAGGATACTTCCTGATGTACTTGGCAAGCCTGATTTCCCAAGCGAAGTCAATCTTCGCTTTACCAACCTCGAAACAATGACCGATGGGACAACTGTTGACTTGGTGCCTGACATGTTCGATGGATCCTTCGTTAGCCACATCCACAAAAAGGTACGAGAGGACCTCAAAAACAGGATCATCCCTACGGGTCACTTTTGTGCCCCGATCGCGCCCAACTTTTTCCTGGAAGCCAAAGCTCCGTCCGGGGGCATTGACGTGGGGAGGCGACAGGCATGTATAGACGGAGCCCATGGGGCTCGCGCCATGCACAGTCTTCAAAACTACGGCAAGGACGAGCCTGTATACGACGGCAACGCGTACTCATTCAGTTGCACGTATCACGACGGCACGCTTAAGATCTTTGCGCACCATGTGACGGCCCCGAGGGCTGAGGGAGAGCGGGAAGCGTACCACATGACGCAACTAAAAGCTTATGCTATGATCAGCGATCGGGAGGCCTTTTTACAGGGCGTAACTGCACTCAGAAATATTCGGGACATGGCCAGCCAAAAACGGGAAAAGTTACTCAAGGTTGCTAATGCTAGAGTGTCGAATGCACCGGGAATGGCTACCGGAGAGACCATCGTCGACGAAGAAGATGAGAGCGACTGGTATGGGCTGATCGATGAAGAAGCAACGGCGCAGCAAGACGCCAATGAAGATGTACAGCAGAAACCCGCCGAGGAATATGCTGGCGCCTCAAAAGACCGCGGCGAAGCACCTGCGACTCCGGAGCAGCATTCCTCTGATGAATCGCGGGGATCAGGACAAGATTCGCCATCTTCGGGAAGCGACGGCCCGCCCAGAAGCCTCGTCTCAAGCCTTACGTCAGGTCCTGGGACAAACAGCACAGGGACAAAGCGCTCGCTACAGCCATCTAGTCCCCCCTCGCAAGGCAGCTGCTCACCAAAGGTTCGATCGCGATCGACGGCGAGCCGGAGCTCTGGGCCGCCACCTGCCGCCGCTACCAGGCCAGGAGCGTCCAAATAAGGCGGGATACCCTGGGAAGGGGGCATAAGAGATGGAAGGCGCGCTATTATTCGCGGCATCCCGAGTTTGGGAGAGTGTTCTGGACTGCGAGGAGTCATCGGAGAGGGGCTGCGGCTTACCTGGTCCATAGAAAGAGGGTGGGAAAAAGGGAAAAGTCAGATTAATTTTGTTGAATATAAAGAGAGGAAATAGACAACAGCGACTTGGAAAGAGATTACTTGTTACAATTTTCGACCAATTCTATACATCTTGCAAGTACAGGGGTAGTGCCTCGATCATTTAGTCTGTGCTGAGCTACCTACACCTACTTTACTTACTGCACAATACTACACTGACAGTCGTCTATGCAAAGGATCAAGAATCAAGGGCACAGACACTTGCATAAGTTTATCAAAATTCTGGGACCGTGAATTAAACAAATGTAGTGGTGATAGTGATGATCGTGATAGTAGTGATGATAGTGATGATAGTGATGATAGTGATGATAGTGATGATAGTGATGGTAGTGATGATAATCAAAAATCAAGGGCACAGTAACTTGCAAAAAGGTATGAATAGTCTTGGGGTCAGGCAAATGTAAATTGAATCTATCCAACGATAGTGTTATTGTTCTCAAAATGAAAACAGGGTATACAAAATGAAGTCATCAAAACAAAACTTGATCCAAGCATTCGCTACACATGTCTCCAAAGTCAGACCTGATAAAAATGCCCAAAAAGTCCAACCTGTATGTGTGTGTGTGTGTGTAAACAAGTAACCCCTGGTTGGACAGTCAGCGCTGGTGGGAATAAGAAAGTGGACATCAGCAGAAGCTGCGCCGAAGAAGAACGGAATACCTTTTTTTTTTTTCTTTTGTGATTCATTTGTGAGTTTTATTTGGCCTGGTAGGCGGCGAGCTCCTCGTCCTTCAATTGCAGATTGACCGCGGAGCGGGCCTGCTCGATGCGGACGGCCTCCTCCTTGTCAGCCAGCTGCGCCTCGAGGATGGCGACGTGAGCGTTCAAGAAGACCTCCTGATGGGCGTAGTGAGCCTTGACGCTCGCGATCTCGGTTTTGAGCTTCAGGGCGACCTTGCGATGAGTGGACCGAGAGACGACACCGACGGTCTCGGCATCTCTGAGGTCCAGGGAGGCGCTGCGGTGGGCCAACTGGGCCTTGAGGCTGGCAATCTCGGCGTCCTTGACGGCCGTGATCGCCTGGAGCTCGACCTCGGCTTTCTGGGCTCTCGAGGCGGCCTTGTAGGTTCTTTCCTCGTTGTAGCGCAAATGGGCCTCGAAAGCCCGAGAAGCGCCGACTTTGTCCGCCTCGGCAGAGCGGCGGAGCTGCTCAGCGGTGTCACGTTCGAGCTCAGTATTGTATAAGCTCTGCCGGACGTGGCGTAACTCGGCGGAGAGGTCGGCGCAGTAACGCTTGAGCCTGTGGCTCTCTTCATCTACCTCTTGGAGAGGTCGCTTAAGGCTCTGGGACGCCTTCTGGTCCTCGGAGAAACTGGGCCAACCGGTGACGGTGTCGGGACTACTGCTTCTAGCCTCCATGTTCTGAGTCGACTGTGTACCGGCTGTCTTGCTGGAAGTAGAAGTGAAGGGTCGTGGTGATCTGGGAGTGGAAGACATCTGGCTTGTTGTGGAAGAAGAACAAGAGATCTCTCTTGACAGATGAGCAAGGACAGCTGGTTGTGGTGTAGTTGTGGTGTGGTTGTGGTGTGGTTGGCTTGATCGAAGCACTAGAAGCGAGTGGGATTGGTGTGTGATAAGTAGCGAGTGAACTGAAGTAGATGGGAAGCGAAAGAATTGAGTGGTGTGAGTGGTGTGAGTGGCAGGATCTTCGTGAGAAGTCGGGGTGGTCGCCTTCTTTTTATACTTGTCCGCGATGCAAGGTTTTCAACTCAAGAGGATTAACTTTTCATTGTGCAACACTGTACTCAAAATCGGACGGCGTAGTCGTCGGTGCGTGCCTTTCAAAACCGCAATTCATAAAGTAAAAGCAGTACCATGACGTTCTAGCCAGGTCTGGACTCTTCCTAAGCCCTTTACGAAGGTATGGTGAAGCCATACATGCGTAATGGATGGGATGATATTCCAAAACTCTACGTGATGAAGACACTTAGTGCGGAGACCGTCGCCAGAGATGAGGCGGCCAGATACATCTGGGTACAAGTGAAGCCACGGAGGAGATCAACCGGAAAGCTCGCCATGAGGAAAGAATGTGGTATGAAGGGACGACCTTGGAGAGGCAATGGCTCGGAGTGCTCTGTCCACAAGAAGAAAACTCCATCCAAAGTCGGGATTTGGTTGACTTTGAGTACCCGCGGGGTGACGGTTGATCTCTGTAGATGTCGAGAATAGGAGAGAAGCAAATTGAAGGTGGGATGAAAGAGCCGGTTCGAGACCATTGGAAAGAGGGCAGAGGAGGCTGCAAACTTCAAATCTGCAGATTTAGAAAGCTTCAAAGCGGACATGACTGGCAGGGGAAAACATAATTGCCAGGAGAAAATGTTGAAAGCTTCAAAAGCGGACATGGCTGCTAGGGGGGATTTTTTTTGAAAGCTTGTTGCTGAGGACCTCACGCCGAAATGGAAAGGATGCGGAGAAGACTGGATTACTCCGGGCAGCGAGATAAAAAGTTGGAATATATGCATACCATAGTACAAAAGATTAACTCTAAAAATAGAGTGTATTAAAAATACAATGATAACGCTATTCCTTCCATAAGAATCCAGGATGAGTCCAGTCCATGTCTTCGATTTCCTGCTGTGGCTTGTCTCGAAGCTCGCCATCAACATCCAGGGCACGCCTTCTTCTATTGTCTCTCCTGATCCACAGTAACGTGAGGGTGCTGATGAGTAACCCTGTTCCTGCCGCAGCCAAGTTGAGACCATTGCCGATGCGGTAGTTGGGGGCGTCAAAGGGCAGGTAAGACCAGCCGCTGATGAGCCCGCCAATATTGCCAAACATGACATTGGTGCCGATGGCGGCGCTGCGAGCTGTGTCCCCGACCACGTTGGCTGATACCTGGGCATTTGTGAGGGCACCGAGGGAGAAGGCGGACGAAGCGATCAGAAACGTAGCCCCGTATCGCACCGACGCGTCATGGGAGCCTAAGAACATGCTGTAGCCAACCATGACTAGCGGGGCGGAGAGGATGAAGAAAATTTGGCGTCGGTCAATCCGCCAGCTGATAAGAGGAAATAGCACCGTGAAGAAGGCTCCAACAACATAAGGGGGGACAGTGAAGAGCTGCTTCTCAATCACGGTCCTGTCCTTGTAGATGGTGGCGACAATGGTGGGGGCAAAGAAGGCAAGGCCTTGCACGGTGATGTTGTTGAGAAGGAAGACAAATGCCGTGCTGAGTGTGACCGGATTGAATATGCCGCGTTTCAGTTTCTTGGTGTCGATTCTGTCCAGCACCTGCGTGCTGCCGACACGCTCAGACTGGACTCTCGCGATGGCGAGTCTCTTCTCTTCGGGGGTGAGCCAAGCGGCCGTCTCCGGCCGATCGGTCAGGATGGCAAAGGCCACGATTCCCAGGCCGATGGTGATGATGCCCTCTATGGCAAAGATCATGCGCCAGCTGTGGAGACTCCCGAAGCTCTCGAGCTTGAGGATGGCCGTGGCCAGCAGCCCCCCAAAGGCACCGGCTAGCGGCGCCATGACAATGTACAGGGACAGGCGAAAGGCCAGCTCGGACCGGCGGTACCAGCGGGAGAGGTAATAGGCAATACCAGGCATCATGCCGGCCTCGAAGATGCCGAGCAGGAAGCGCACGCCGGCAGCCTGCGGCACCGTGTTGACGAAGGCGGTGCCGACGGAAGCGACACCGAAGAGCACGGTGAGGAGGGGGATGAACCACCCGGGGCCAACCCATTTGCAGAGAACGTTGGATGGGATTTCGAAGAGAATGTACGATATGTAAAAGATGGAGATGACCATGTTGTAGTCGTAGCCTTTCATGCCAAGATCCTTATCCATGCCGGCGATTTTGGCGTTTCCTGCGGGAGGTAATGTTAGCATTTGCTTCCATGAATGGAGAAGATTCGATAACGTACCCAGATTGGCGCGATCAATGAAACAAAACAGATAAAGGATGGCGACAATTGGGACAATGCACATGTCAATCTTCAGCCGCAGGCGACGCTCGAGCCTGGGATCAAAGTTTACCGACTCGCTACTGTACAAAGTAAAAAGTGTTAGGCAGCGAAACTAATGGGAGGCTGGGAATTTGGACGGGGGCGTACGGACTCTTCGATGGTGATGTCGGCATGGCGAGAAACTGCCTGCATGGAGGCGGCCTTGAGGCTGTCAGAGCCGGAGGGATGTCGCTGTTCGTAATTCATGCTGCTGGCCAACACGCAGTGAGGATGCTCTCTGTGGAGGACAATCAGGGTACTGGAGCGGGGGAGGAACCAGCTCATATAGCTGCGGGGGAGGATACGGGGCTCATTGATGCAGATAATTTGGATGGGATGATGAATAAACAGATGATGAAAGGCTAGTCGAGGCGGGTAAAGTGATGAATGTGGAAAAAAACGGCAAGAGGATCCGCGGCATGCTAGGACGGGAGTCTCGTTAAAATTTGCTAGAAACCTGGGGTATGATAGCGCGGTGGTTAGGTAGGTACATACATACATACTGTACATACTGTACATAGTTATAGCGTAGTTATGGTTTGTTCAGTGGAGATGTTAGTTAGCCTCTTGCCGAACCCCAACAGGGGTCAAGGACTTGTCAAGGTTAATGCCAAGGGTAAGGTAATCTGTTTTGCATTGATAGTTACCTCCTTTTTATTTTGTTTTTATTTCCTATTGCGACTGAGTTCAGTATCAAAAAAAAATTCAACGTCGTAACACTTCTAAAAGGATATCTTTATGTAGAACTTCCCCCGTCAAGTATATGCACGTCTAAAATGTGCCGAGATCAGTCTTCATGCAGCGCCCACAGTGGCTGATATTGCCCCTGTATTGAATGTGGTGGCGCTTTTTAGGTATCTATCTGCCAGTTTTCAACAGGACAACCTCGTGGTCATCTCTGGTTTGGCAGCCACTGACGAAAAACGTTATGTTGAAGAAAACTTTTTACCTTCTTTCTCTCTCTCTTATTTCTTTGGAAAAATCATTGTGTGTCTCCAGTAGCGCAGTTTCTTACTCTTGCAGATAGGCAGAGTGGACAGCAATCTCTATGAACTTTGCCCCAGGCAAGTAAGTGACTTGGCCTTTTGGCCAGTCACACTCCGGGTAATATCACCAGCAGCCACTGGCCACCATCTCAAGCTGGTAACTCATCCATTTCAAGTATTTGTCACTGTTTACGCCCGCCAGTACCCCAGATTCGACCCCAACATCCCCCGCAGTCGCCGGTATCCCACCCTATCCCGCACTAGTATCAGCCGCCGATAATTTAGACAAGCCATGCCCTCGGTAAATTGAATCGGCAAGGCAGTTTCTGAATGATGAGTCGAGTCCCTATGGAGAACCCCAGATTCCCAGGAGTCAACTACCAGCCCGAGATGTAGGTCGAGAATATCGGCGGCAGAAGCTCGCTCTCACCAAGTCATCTAAAGTATCTAACTATGTAGCTAGGCCGCCGATCCTCACTCTCAAAAGTCGCCGGCAGCAGTGGCTGCATTGTTTTCCCCAGCCTAACTCATCCGTTGTTGAACCAGGCTGGCAGCCTGAAATTATTCGCCTACATACATATATAACAATGGTGTGGTCAGGCTGGTATTGCAGTAGCAACTCCAACTGTCCGGAGACAGATCCTCCCTGCAAGATAGTATTGCAGATCCCCCGCAGGTATACACTGAGTCATGGCTCAACCCAATATTCGCGTTGCCATCGTTGGTGGTGGCTTGGGCGGCGCTTCCATGGCAAATGCCCTCCTCAACAAACCTCGTCTAGATGTTCACGTCTACGAATCCGCCCCTGAATTTTCCGAGCGCGGCGCCGCCGTAGGTATCCCTACCCATGCCATTGGTGCGCTCGAAGCCATCATTCCCTCGGCTAGAGACGTCATCTTGGATAAGGCAGGTGCAGTGCCTTCCAACTCGTCCCGAATAGTGCTGGTACGCCGTACACCCGGTGCCATATCATTCCATCGCATAGTCTACTTACTACTGCTGCCCCATACAGGCATCCGGTCCCCATGCCGGTGAAAAGGTGTTCGACATCCCCTCGAGCGACCAGAATGTCATCGTCCACCGAGCTGCCCTTCTCTCCGCCCTCGTCGCGCCACTGCCCAAGGCAGCTCTACATGTCAACAAGAAGCTCGAGACAGTCAGCGTGCAGGGGAGCAAGATCAATTTGGCCTTCTCCGACGGCGCCACAGAGACCTTTGACGCCGTCATTGGCGCGGACGGCATATTTGGATCCGTTCGCAAGCACGTTCTCCAAGATGGCGCTTCCCTCCACGCCGCCACTCCAGCGGGGTTCTGGGATTGCCGATATCTGGTGCCGTTCGGAAAAGCCAAGGCGGCGCTTGGCGCCAGATACTTTACGGAGCATCGCCAGTATTGCTGGTGCGGAGGCGGGGCGTTCATCATGCACGACGTCCTCGACAACGGTGAAACCGTGCAGTGCGTCGTATCCGCGGTCGAAAAAGACCAGCCAGAGGACCGCAGCCGGCCGCTGACCCGTGAAATTCTCGAAATGGCGCTCAAAAATTGCCTGGATGGGCCCATTGCGAGAAACATGATCGAGGTACGCAGCCACGGCTATAAGGTTTCGCTTATAAAAAAGACTTGGCGCTGATATTTTGTACTAGCTTCTGCTCCAGAGCCCGGATTTGCGACTGTATTCTCAGTGGGAACACAAGTCTACGCCTGCTTATGCCCGCGGTAACGTGTGCATCATGGGCGACGCAGCTCATGCCTCTACTCCCTGGCAGGGTAGCGGTGCCGCAATGGCAATTGAGGACGCCGCGGTCCTGGGTGCGCTGCTGGGCGATGTCGAAAAACCGGAAGAAGTAACTATCGCGTTCCGGGCATACGAGCAGGTGCGGCGGTTGCGTTGCCAAAACATTATTGACTCGAGCAAAGTCACGGGTCAGATAATGTGCTGCCAAGGCCAAGCGGCCTCTGCTGACGCGGACGCAATGCGTAAGTTGCTGGGCGAACGCTGGGGTTTTATCACAGGCTTTAATATTGTTGAGGAAATGCAAAAAGCAGTTTCGCGATTTAACCAGCTGAAAGAATGAGGATGGACGCACCAATCGGAAATTGTGCCGATGCGCACCTCCACAGAACAGCCGCATATCGATTCCGTCATCGACCCTATCAATATATTTTTTGCACCGTGTGCTTCACGATGACTCGACTTTGATGTTGGTAGTTACATTGCCCTGGGTAGCACGACTGTACGGGCACGTCTCCTTTGTCTTCTCCACCAGCTTCTCCAGGTCCTCCTTCTTGAGGCCCTTGACCTTGACGAGCATTTCGACCCTGATGCCCAGGTCCGCCTTCTTCAGGTCGCCGACCATGTGCACCGTCGTCTTGATGACGCTGTCCTCCGCCTTGGACGGCATCTTGAGGCCCAGCCGCGGCGCGACGATGCCCATGGCGGACTGGAAGCACGCGCCGTAGCCGGCCGCGAACAGCTCCTCCGGGTTCGTCTTGCCAGGCCCGCCGGCGCCACCGAGCCCCTTGGGCATGCCCAGGTCCAGCACGAGGCCCTCGCTGCCCTCAACGTGTCCGTTGCGCGCACCGACGGTCCTGGCGTGCGCGGAGTAGAGCACTGGCGCGGTGTCGGTGTTGAGGAGGCGGCGGTGCGCGGGGACGGAGGCGCGGGGAGCGCAGCGCAGGAGGGGGCGCATGACTGCTCGTGAGGAGAACATGATGTAGCGTGAATGACAGAGACTTTTGTGGTGTTATGGTAGGGTTGAATTGAGTTGCTGATTGTTGGGTAGCGAGTTGGAACTGAAGGGAGCTACGTCTTGGTCACCACGGCATCTGCGGGAAAGCTATCTTAGTCCGAGGTAGTTTCTGAGTGCATCATGACGTCAACGAATAGCGGGCTACTACTAGGGTCACGAAGGACTGAACAAGTTTGCACGGTATGAGAATTCTACAAGCATTGTCATTATTGAGAAAAAAGACGAATTGAATCATTATTAGGGTCATTTTCTACATGTGTTCTCGCACTCACAGTAGTGGTGGTATTCGGATCGTCACCCACGCCCCACCATAGCTGCATGGCGTTGCTGTTGAATCTTATCTGATGAATGTGACATGCAGTGAGGAGAGCACCCTCAGGAGAGCATCTTCCGGTTAATTTGGTAGTCACTCGTTGGCCTCAGCCTATCTTACCAGACACGACCAATGAATATGGCAGACACTCTTTCTTCGAAGCTAGATTCTGGTGCAGTCATGCCATACGTTTCGAGTGTCCAATATCTGGACTTATAAACTAGGGTAAGTTGTGGGTGATTCATGAAGGAACTGGAGGGGCTACTGTCCAGGGGTCGGTTGGTCGTTGCAAGGCTGGTGGAATCGGGTCTCGCCCAGATAGCCTTGCCAACAAACCCATGATTCATTTTGAGATGATTGCAAAGCTTGTTACCGACTGTTTGCAAAAGGCGATGAATGATTCGCTGGAAGGATGTGACAGGCCATGGCTGCCCAAGATCGCGTGGTGCTTGGAAATGAACTGCTGTTGATTGGCTGGCTGACCCCCTATGCCATGGCTGCAGCCAATCATAGCCATCCCAATTTCGCCCCAAGGTCAGCAACCTGGGCCGATCTCGAGCGCTGTGGGCCTTGATTCCAAGTATAAAGACGTCACTGTATAACCTCCAACAGAGGGGTTGTTATTCTTCACTCTTCACAGCGCTTCCTTCATACACATCTGCAACTTGAACTCCATCAAAAACTGCCTCTCTTTCTTCAAGAACTTTCCCACCCTTCACCAACCCTCACCAACCTCCACCAACCTTCACCATGACTGCTTTCAAGGCTTCCACTTGCTGCCGCCAGGGCGCCTCTGAGTGTGCTTGTGGTATGTTTCACACAACCTAACCTCATGTACTTAATAGCTGCGATGCTAACTACATACTCTCCAGCCCGACAGGCTACCTGCAGCTGCGGCCAGAAGCAAGCCCTCCACTGCACCTGTGACAAGGCCGCCACCGAGAACCGCATCCAGGCCGGTGCTCGCTGCTCGTGCCGCGCGCGCCCTGCTGGTGAATGCACCTGCCAGCGCTCCGCGACCGAGAACGCCCCTCCTGCCGGACCTACATGCTCTTGCGGTCTCCGCGCTGCCGATGCGTGCACCTGCGAGAAGGCCTCCGACGGTGGCTTCAACCCTGCCAACGAGATCGACTTTACCACCCGCAAGTAGGGTTCGCCAACAACATGCATTTTTCGCACACCGTTCTTGTTTGGATGACTAGTTTGGAGCTGCGCATGGGATGGAGCTCTGGCGTTTCAGGGTTGATTTTTAGCAAGCGTGTTGATGATGGGAAGCACTCGGGCCTCCATAAAGGCTTACTCGAGTAAACCCTGCAATCACACATGGGTCGGACTGCTGCAGCATTTACACACGGGTGCGGAAACAAAGAGATACAGGCAGGAGAACTGTAGACTCAAAATACCAATAAGCCGGACAACAAGGGGTCCGCAATCATGATAATCGCGCACTTTTAGGATAGCAATCGATGACTTCATCAGCTGAACAGTGTCTCGTGCGGAAGTGTACTGTGTTGTAGCTGATCATCAAAACAAATGAGGAAATCGGGCCGTCGTACAGCGCATATGCTCACCGCCCGGTGGAACGACCTATCCATTCTGCCGGACATAATCAAAAAAGTTTCGTGGGCGGTCAGAGCTCCTGGGCTAGGCGCCTGGTGAGACACGGCAAGCTCACCCACGAGTGGCTCCATCGGCGCCAGGTTACCAACGCGCATTTTCGTCGCTCCCAGCCCCAGGAGGATCAAGCTTTCCAGTCTTCATTCCATCAAGCCAACCTCGCCCTCCCATTGGTTTTGTCCGCGCAAGGCGGTAGTTACTTGACTAGCTGTCTCATTTACCAGCGCCCCGTTCTCTCAAGGCAACTCATTCCTTTTTTTTGGCCTGCTTTCTCTTTTCGCGCAGCCGACTGTTTTCCTTCACTGTCTCGCGCTACGGCTCTAGAGCAAACGTTGCGACGCCAAATTCTAGCCGGCGCCGCCCCTTCCCACCAACCCCCTTAACTTTCGTCCCGTCAAGATGCCAGCTGCAAAGGAGGAGGCATCCGCAGCCAGTGCAACCGCGAACACAGCCGTTCGCAGGAAGAAAATCACCGCGAAAAAGCCGGCCTCAGACGTCGCGCAGGCTAAGACCGCGACAAAGAAGAAGACGCACACCGCACCAAAGACCAATGGCAACGCCGCTGCGTCCAAGAATACGGCCGTCCCCAAGACAAAAATAACCGCAAAAAAGTCAGCCTCAGACTCCACGCAGGCCAAGACTGCCACAAAGAAGAAGATGGACACTGCGTCAGAGCCCAATGGCAACGCTGCTGCGTCCACGAATGCGGCTGTCCCCAAGACGAAAATGACCGCGAAAAAGCCAGCCTCAGACTCCGCGCAGGCCAAGACTGCCGGAAAGAAGAAGGCGGACACTGCGCCAGAGCCCAATGGCAACGCCGCCGCGTCTAGAAAGCGCAAGGCTTCCGTTGAGGCCACCGATGAGACAGAGCGCACCAAGAAAGTCAAGGCAGAGACCCCCGCGCCCCGTGCCATTGCCGTTCCCAAGCCCAAGAAGGTCTTCCCGGACATTGGCAAGATCGTCAACGAGGTTCCCGGCCAGATCCTCGACGTCTACGTGTTTGGCGAGGGTACCTCTGGAGAACTCGGCTTGGGCAGCAAGAAGGTGAACGGCAAGAAGCCCATCGATGTGAAGCGACCTCGCCTCAACGAAAACCTTGGGGCCAAGTCAGTCGGGGTCATCCAAATTGCCTGTGGTGGCATGCACGCCGCCGCACTGACGCGCGACCACAAGATTCTGACATGGGGCGTCAATGACCAGGGCGCGCTCGGACGCGACACGAACTGGGATGGTGGTCTCAAGGATATGGACGGCAACGACTCCGACTCGGACAGCGACGATGATGACACCGGTATCAATCCCGAAGAGAGCACACCTACTGCGGTTGGCGAGGAGTACTTTGCTCCCGGTACGAAGTTTGTCCAGGTTGTCGCTAGCGACAGCGCCACCTTTGTCCTGACGCAAGACGGACGCGTCTATGGCTGGGGTACTTTCCGCTCTAGCGATGGTGTTCTGGGCTTCACCGAGTCCATTAAGATCCAGCAGCGGCCTATGCTTCTGCCTACCCTCAAGAATATTACCGCTCTGGCCGCCGGTTCCAACCACATTTTGGCTCTTGACACCAAGGGCAACGTCGTTGCTTGGGGTTGTGGTCAGCAGAACCAGCTCGGTCGCCGCATCATTGAGCGCAACAAGATGTCCTCCCTGACCCCTCAGGGCATGGGACTTCCCCGCGGCAAGATCGCCAAGATTGCTTGCGGTGCCTACCACAGTTTTGCGGTCGACAAGAATGGTGCAGTCTGGGGCTGGGGCCTCAACAACTTTGGCGAGATTGGTGTTCAATCCAACGCCGGTGAAGATGATGCGGTTATCCTTAAGCCTGCCAAACTGACCGATCTGGAGGATCATGTCATTACTGATATCGATGGTGGTGTTCACCATTCTCTAGCCTGCTCTAAGGACGGCACGCTTTTCACCTGGGGACGTGTTGACGGCTACCAGGTCGGGTTCGAACTCGACGAGTTGAACAAGGACGACGTCATCTTTGATGAGAGAGGCTCGCCTAGAATCTTGGTGAAGCCCACGGTTAACCCCGAGGTATCTGGCATCCGTGCTGTCGCCGCAGGCTCTGACAACAACTTTGCCGTTGCTAGGGATGGTAAAGTCTACTCCTGGGGATTCTCCAGCAACTATCAGACTGGTCAAGGCACGATAGAGGACATCACGACTCCCACGCAGATTGACAACACCGCTATTCGTGGAAAGCAGATCATTGGTGCCGGTGCCGGTGGCCAGTTCTCTGTGGTCTTTGGCAAAGCGGATGCCCAGACCAATGGAACCCACTAAGCTGCGCAGTATTAGTGTCGAATAATTGCTACTACTGGGGGGCGCATGTATAATTTGGGCATGACATCTTTACTTTTGATTCCTTTCTTCTGTCCTGCTACTTTGGGTTACACATTTTCGATTTCTTTTTCCCTCATAATGCTTGCTTGGTAAACGCGGCCGGCGAGAGAGCTGGCTCTCGTCCACACATTTTCATTTTTCTAGTCTCAGCATGTTTGTCTCTTTGACTTTGCGCTATTTGCAGATCAAAGGCCGGTGGGTTGTTCACTGGGGAGGAAGAGCTACTGACTGGTATAACGGAAAAGAAATGAGCACCGAAGGGATGGTCTTTTGTCACGAAAATATATTTGGATCGACTGAAACGCATAATAAAAGACGCACAGCAATTTGCTTTTAAATACTCTCCAACTGATAAACATGATCTAACGGACAGATGTAGAGTTTTCTCTTGTATTATTGTCGCTTCTGATTTATGAGACTGCGCATGGGCAGGCCACTGATTTTGGATTTTGTTTATTCATTATTGGGTGCGTTCCATGAGCCCTCTCGTATCTTTAATGTCTTTGAAGTGACTTTATAGCTTGAGAACTTTCATGATACACCACAAATTCGCATCGAACCTCCGAGTCTTGAGATTTTGACGCATCCCCAACCATTGTCTACCAAGCATCCCATCCCAACCCGTAGTTGATTCATTACAAAGAAATTTTGCCCTCGCTATGCGCCCAAATGCAAAACCACTATATATATCCATTGTCCTCGTCCTGTTTGACAGTCTTCCCAGCTCTTGTAAGCAGGAGGAAAGCACCAGTTTCCAGTCTTCACCCTCCCACCAAGACCGCCCTCAAATTGTAACACCCGCGGCCCTTCCTCAGGAGTTGTTGAGCTTGGCCGCCGCGTTGGCGAGGGAGCCGCTGCCGCGGCTGCTAAAGATGCCCATGATGCCGAAGCCGACGTAGAACAGGCCGAGCGGGTAGGCGACGAGCGCGCGCATGCCCTTCATGCGGCCGACGGCGCAGAACATGCCACTGGCGCTGTACGTGCTCCACATGATGGCGAAGCTGGTGAGGATGATGCCGAGCGGGGTGTCCATGGGCATGACGACGCCGAACATGCTGGTGATGACGAGGGGCAGGAGGCAGTAGCCGAGGACCGAGGCGGAGCGCGGGAAGGTCAGCGTGGCGGAGAAGTGGCCGCCGCCGTGGCCGGCGGTGCCGTGCGCGGTCGAGCCGCGGCCGGGTGGCGGAGGGGGCGCTTCGCTGCCGTACTGGTGGCCGTGGAAGGCGGAGGAGTCGTCGCCGGCGGCGGGGGACATGAGGGAGAGGATCATGTGTAGAGAGGTCGAGCCGAGGAGGGCGAGGCCGTAGATGTAGCCGAAGTGGACCTTGCCGGAGAAGAGGAGGAAGAAGCCGAAGAGCAAGAAGAAGAACATGGGGCCGAATAGGTCCGAGTCGTCCATGATGTGCTGGTCAATGTGTCGGAAGGGGTTCAGTACCGCCAGTGTCTATCAGAAGCATAACAATGTCAGCAGACGCAGTCTCTCTATCGCGCCTCGTCCTACCCTCGCCCTCCTATCGTCGCGTTGGCCAGGACAAAAGAAACGTACCTTGGATTGGATGTGGCCAAAGTTGACGCCCAGCTCCTCCAGCAGCGGCGGCTCGCCGTCGTAGCCCTCGGTGGAAAAGGCGGCCAGCCAGCCGGTGCGCAGTCCGCCGTGCTCGCCCATGCGGCCCGATACGCCGCCCGCGCCGCCGAAGCTGCTCGAGGAGAAGCCGCCGTTCTGCGAGCCGGCGGCGGCACCGCTCATGCTGCCGCCCGGATACCCGTAGGCGGCCTGCTGCGGCGTCGCGGCGCCCGAGACGCCCGGCGTGTAGGCTGACGGGTAGAACTGGAGGTTTTGCGCGCCGTCGGCGCCGTAAGGGGGCGCGGCGCCGCCCTGCCCGTAGTAGTTTGACATTGTTGGTTGTTGCGGGCTGTGGGATGTGTGGTTGTGCGTGCGCGCGCGCGCTCTGGTTTGGGTGGGGTGTTTGTTGGATGGAACGGGATGTTCGATTCGATTGCTGGGCGGGATTTGTAGAGGAGTGCTAGGGAAGAGGTGAGATGGAAAGTTGGAGAGGCTGGCTTTTCCGCGAGTTGAGAACAGCTTGCGAAGCAGCTGCCTCTTGGATTGGACTCCTGAATGTGGCCAACTAGCTTCCTCAGCTTGGAGACCCACATGCGCTCAAGTTGCCGCCCTTGGGGAACGCGCAAGCTAAAACAGCTGTTGAATGTGGCCTTTTGAAGTGAATGGGAGGAAAAAGCTTCCAACTGTACCGTACTGATTAATTATTAATTTTGCTAATTTTAGAATAAATAAATGCTAAAATGAACCCGATGCTCATTTGCAAAGATAGGTCTTTGCATGCCGGTATCTGTGTACCTATCTCTCATGCTCAACAAAGCTCCAGCTAGAACGTCTTCCCTTCAATACAATCAAGCCAGTGAAACGTATACTATTTCCTTCTTGCTCCGAAAGAAGCGGCAGTTGATCTCGCGCTGGCGGCAAACCTGTCATAGTCCTGAGCCAGCTCGGGAAAGGGCCTGAGAATCTCCATGATCTGGGCGCGAAGCTCCGAAACGCGCGCTTGGTTATTCGGCTTGGACATGGCTATCGACAGTTCGGTCGTGGTTTGAGTTACGGTATCGAAATCCGCCTTGCGGAGAGTACACTGTGTCGATAGCCTGGGTCAGAATAATAATGCACGGGCTAGGCAGTGAGCTGGGTGACTGGTCGTGCAAACCTGAAGACGGTGGCCATAGCGGGCGACGAAGAACATTGTGTCATCCGCATATCCAGGCACCCCAAGCAGGGCGTCATTAAGTTCCTGCGCACGTTTATCACTGTCTTCAGTCGACATTTTGACGGTAGATGCGGTTCTTGCTTCATGAAAACTCAAGTGCCGTCCTATGAGCTCTCTGGGCTAACTAGTCAACCATGTCAACCCATTGATTGAGTCACGGTAACGCGAGGCTGAGACCACGGGCGCTCTGGCGGCCCACCTGCCCTTGAGGCTTACATGCACAACGCAGGCACCGCTTTGTCGGGTGCTGAGGCGATTTTCCTCCATAATTCAAAACCTCTGATGAGGAAGTCGTACAGAGAATTTTAAACATGAATTCCCGATCTCAGCCCAGTTACCCAAGTCACTCTGACTATATCCACGATCACCGCTGACGCAGGCAACCGCAACGGCATACGATTGGGATGAGTCAGCACTGATCGGCACTTCCCTTCCGAAATAGTAAACTTTTTTTTTCGCGGCCAAGATTTATCATCGTCGCGACCGGTAAACACTCTTTGCCCACCACATACAACCTGCACCACATCTTGACCGGCGCAATATGCCACGAAATCCTCCTCGCCGTGATGGCGGTGGTTACAAGCCACCAGGGAGTCGCTTTCGGCCTCGCGACGGACAATCGAGAAATGGCGACGGCTGGCGGCCCGACAACTCGTATTCCGACCGAAGAGACCGCGGCGGCCCAAGATCGCGCGGGAATGGCAACCGGCCTCCGCCATCCAACCGCTTCAATGTTCCCCAAGGCGACTTTACTTTTCGTATGGATAAACCAGCCGGCATGGGTGAGTCCAGTCCCGGTGGCCGCGGCCACCATGCCGGCGACGGGAGGCGCGACCAGCGTCGACCCCAACGAGGCCGCGGAGGTCGTAGGTGGCAGCCCCCGCTGCCGGCTGAGCGTGCACTCATATCCGGTGCTACCTTGAATTTACCCGAGGAGCGACTGGACGGTCTCAGCGGTTCGAATAAGTTCCGGGATCTAGACGAACTCTCAGACGACGATGAGCTCGCCATGGACATCTCATCACATTCTGAAGACGAAGAAGGCCAAGAGCCGTCCACGAAAAGGCAGCGGACAGGTGCAGCTGCGGAGAGCGCAGCGCAGGCACCTAAGTGGTCCAACCCGGACCCTTACACTGCACTGCCCTGCCCCGAAGACACCACACACAAGAGGCGCGACGTCGTCAAGTTGATTCGCAAAGCACGTTTGGAGGAAAAAGGAAAACTGGCAGCACCGTCGCAGGCCGAGGACTTTTTGTCCTTTGATCCGACTGAAGATGAAGACGAGACTAGCGAGGAGTCGGACTCCGATTCTGAATCTGAGCCAGATTATGAGCCCCCCCCTCCCGCGCTGCCCAGCGATCAAGCACCCACGAAAGTAACTCTATCACATGCCCTGCCGCAGCGGCCGCCGATGCCTGAGATAAGCTCTTCTGCTAGTACTTCCAACCCTCTTGGGTCCCGAAAGCGGACAATTGATGATGAAATTAAGCCGCCAAACTATGGGTCATTCAAAAAGGGAGGAGTGAGACCAGCCAAAGGTTCCATCGCAACGTCGTGGCTCACGAAGAAGGGAGAAAATCCTTGCCCTTGGGCGACGGTGGATCACAGTGCAACAACGGATATGGCGTTCCGCCTTCATAAAGAAGTCATGGATTTCTATGAGTATGTTCGGCCGCGCGACTTTGAGCAACGCATTCGAGATAATCTCGTCGACAACCTCAAACAGGCTATGAGACGTGATGGGAGAAATTTTGCGAGTGCGCATGTCTTCCCGTTTGGCTCATTTATGTCAGGCCTATATCTTCCCACCGCAGACATGGATATTGTCGTTTGTTCGGCAAGCTTTATGCGAGGCGGCCCGCCTACCTACCTTGGTGCCAAGAGTTGGCTTTACAAGTTCCAAAAGTTTCTGGTTTCCCAGAGAGTGGCCGACAGCGATGCAGTCCAGGTAATTGCGCACGCGCGAATACCTCTAGTCAAGTTTGTCGACAAAATTACTGGCCTAAGAGTCGACATTTCATTTGAAAACCTCGGCGGTGTCGATGCCATTGAGACATTTGTCAAGTGGAAGCAGCTCTACCCATGCATGCCCATCCTCGTTACCGTTATCAAGCACTATCTTCTTATGCGCGGCCTGAACGAACCGGTCAACGGTGGAATTGGCGGCTTCTCCGTTATTTGCTTGGTTGTCAGCATGTTGCAATTATTACCGCAGGTTCAAAGTCGAAGTCTCGTCCCTGAACATCATCTCGGCGAGATGTTGCTTGAATTCTTTGATCTCTATGGGCATCAGTTCGACTATGAGGTCAATGCTATTTCCCTCACCGCGCCAGCAGGCTATGTTAAAAAGGTAAGTTACGCAAAATACAAGATTGGAATGTAGGCTGATCATCTTTTAGTCCAACGTTCGTTCATTTACCTACAAGAGCACGGACAGGCTATCCATCATTGATCCGAACAACTCTGAAAATGATATTTCTGGGGGCTCCTCAAACGCAGCCACCATTTTCGAGCGCTTTGGCGACACATTCGTTGCGCTTCGCAAAAGAATGGACGAAGTCGCAAACGATCAGTCATGCGGCGGCATACTCGACGTCATAATGAAAGGCGATTACTCCTCCTTTCACATGCAGAGAGCTTTCTTGAAGAAGGTCCACGAGAAGTTCATCGGACCTTGCTCCAATTAATCGGACGGATACAACATTTTCGAATTCACTTCATTGTACAATCTTTACGCTGCGGTCTCAGTCAACGGACGCGGACCAGCGCACATACGACACGACATAGCTTAGGTTTGGTTCGGTTATCGAAACGAGGAATCTGGAATTGAGAATAGGCGCTGGTTTTTTTTTTCTTGATTCGGACACGGGCCGCCGTCGCACGGTCGAGTTATTCCTATTGATGGTCATTGGTCGGTTTTCTTTTCGCATTCTTCCGATACCCATGGGTTAGCATTGTTGGACAACCGTCCGGCACGAAATTCACGATGGCAAAATTTCTGTTTTCTTTTCTTCTCTACTTGCTCTTGATTGCTTGCTAACCCCTACAGTGACACGTGGCTAGATTGACATCATGTCTTAGGAACACTCTTATCTCCTTCAAGCGGCTCGGGCGGCTCATGTTATCTGCCGTTGCTTAGAGATGATATTTCTGTGGCTCCCTGAGCCACGCATTTTTCTCTCACTGCATTCCTCGCTACATGCAAGGGTGTGGAGAGGGGAAGGTTCCATCATGATCTTTGAAGAATTGAGTTGAGCTGGGTATCTTGATGCCTGGTGGGTGGCATTTGGTCTTGTGGTATAATACAAGCGCTGGTGCGCTGCGAGTCTGTCTATCCATGAATGACAAAGCTGTACAGTTCAGTCACCGTCTCGTGGCCGACTTTTTGAAAGAAGGGGTGCTTCGATTTGTTGATGCTGGCTTCGACAATCTTTCGCGTCAAGTGGGCCATTTCGTTGCTGTGCCTGGACATGCCAGTCTTCATGAGCGCCGCCGTGCCAAGCTCCCTGATCAGGTCGGCCCAGAGCTCCTGCCAGCGGGCCAGGGAGCGCAGCAGCGCCGGGGCGGTAAAGGGCATCATGGACATGATGTCGGCGGTGATGGCGACGTTGCTCAGAGCTGCACGAGTTGCGTTAGCCAGGCGGTTGATGGGATGGGAGAGGAAAAGTAGGAGAGGGGGAGGGGTAGGAGTCGCGTACCCACGGCGGCAGTGCTAAGGTCGTGGATGTTGTACGAGTCCCGCGGGCACTGCTCGGCGCGGTTCCACTTGTCGGCCATGAGGATATCGATGAATTGCCGGATATTGGACTGCGCAGAGACTGGAGAGGATGGACCAGATGTGGAACTCGCGGCGGAAGACGAGGGGGAGGGGGAGTGGTGGCCGCTGCGGAGGCGCTTCTCATCACCGGCCACGGCTGCGGCAAACTCGGCTTCGTCGGCGGCGTCCCAGACGGCCGTGGAGCACGGATGGTCGCAGTTGAGCTCGGTGGTGGCCATGATGGGCATGCAGCGAAACATGCCGCACTGGTGCCAGTCGGCCACCGCCGTCCAGGTAGCGATGCTGCCGAAAAGTTGTTCAGCGAAGGGGTTGATGCCATCTCAGGTGAAAGGAAAAACGTACCGTATGCAGGTCTCGCGGTGAACGAAGAGCCGCCAACCCTCGCCGGGAGCGTGCCGCACGTTCATCAGGTCCAGGTGGCGCACCACCCACGCGAGCTCCGGTATGCGCCGCACGCGGCTCTGCCGGCGCGACGACACGCTGTTGTTGATGGCCAGCAGGTAGACGATGACCAGCGCCGCCTGCAGTGCCTCGAGCGCCGCCGGCGTGGGCAGCAGCGGCGGTCGAGGCGCGGTGGCGGCGAGGGCGTCGTGCAGCTCGCGAAAGACGTACTCCTCAGCGAGGCGCAGCAACCCGCGCACGGCGAGGACGTCGTCGAGCGGCGGGCTGCGAAAGGCGCCCTGGACGGCGAGGCTGAGCAGCAGCGCGCGCGAAGACGGCGAGGAGGCGCGGAAGGAGGGCACGTGGACGATGGGGAAGTGCACGTGGCTGAGGCGGAAAAAGGTGGCGGCGAGGCGGCGCAGGTTGGCGGCGGAGAGGGCGGCGGCGACAGCGGCGGCGGAGAAGGCAGGCTGCTGCTTGTAAGTCGGGTCGCTGGCGCGCAGCTCCTGGTCCAGGTCGCGAAGCGCGTTGACGAGCAGCAGCGAGGTGTCCTCCACGCCCTCCGCGGAGGAGGAGGAGGATGAAGGGGGGCTGGGGAGGAAAGGGTTGAGGATAGCAGCGAAGGGGTCGGCGGGGTCGTCGAGGGAGAGCATGTTGATGTCGTCGGCGTCGTCGAAGTTGAAGAGGGCGTCGTCGAGCATGGTGGCGTAGCTCCACGGATACCATTCCATTGGGTCGTCCCCGGCGGCGGTGGTGGCGGGATCTGAGGCCGGTGAAGGTTGGGACGGGTCGTCGCCGCCGCCGGAGAGGAAGCTCATGTCGGGGATGCGCTCCGTCTCGGAGCTGGGGTCGTCGGCCAGGTGTTCGAGCATCGACGCTGCGTGCGGGTTGATGAGGTTCTTGATCCAGGGCATGCTCTCGTCAGCGCGGTGTGGGTGGCTATTCGCTGGGATGGCAGGCTGCGTCAGGCGGCTCGAAGCCGATGACGCTTGGGTGTGTGGCGTCTCCAGCGGCGCGGATGATGATGACGACGACGGCGTAGACTTTGGCACCACCTCTTCGGCGGCGGAGGCGACCTCCCGCGGGCGGCATGGCAGGCGCCGGAGCAGACACCGGCCGCAAGGGTGTCCCTTGTCGCAGGACACCTTGCTCGTGAAGCAGGCCTCGCACGCCTGGGGCTTGCGTCCGCGGCGGAGCTCGGGGACGACGACCTCGAAGTCCTTTTTGATGCAGCTGAGCATGTGCTTGCGACATACATCCCTGAGTGGGACTTGGGGGTTAGAAGGGAGAGATACTTGTGGGTGTATGGGGTTTTGGTGAAGATGAAGATGAAGCTTACCCTCGTCCAAATTCCTTGTCGCAGTATATACAGCGGAACTTGCCAGTGGCGGCGTCTAAGAAGACATTGTTAGCATGTCTAGGTGGAAACGTGGCCGCATGGAGTGAGAATGGAAGCGCGGCGAATAATATCATGGCTAGGCAAGCAAAGTCTGTAAAGAACAGAAAACAGACATGACGAATGAGCTAGAAACGTAATTGAAGATGGGAAATCACCGAGGGGCTTGGGGTCTAGGGGAGTTGGGGGCCCACGCCTCCGGCCGACCCATCCCATGCGGGCAGAATATGCAGAGGTCAGGTCGGACCAATTGTGCTTAACTTACGCGTGGCTTCGTGGCGACGGAGGTGGGTGTTCCTCTGGTAACGCTTGCCGCAGGTCGCGCAGACATATGTCCTGGCAGCAGCAGCGGCTGAGGATGACTCCGAGTCTCCGGGCCGACCCGAGTTGTCCGGGTTGTCCGGGTTGGGAGGCATGAGGTCCCTTGCTCCCAGGCCTCTTACAAAGTTCAAGAGCCCAAATGCCCTGTTCCTGCTAAACAAGAAACACAAACACGCGTAAAAATGCGTCGAACACGCGGCAGAAACCGATGAGGTGGGTTGTAGGGGATAATATCCAGGGGTGTTGCTGGTGGTGGTCAGTGTAAGAGCGTGGGTTTTCTCCAGGGGAGATTGGAGGTGGGTTTTTCTCCGAAGCTGCTGCTGGACCGAGATGAGTGGGGCCGTGCTCTTCCGGCGGTCGGCCCGTCGCTGTCTCCGGAGGGGAGGAGGCTTATATAGAAGTACAAGATGGCGCATGTGCAGTCCGGTTAAAGCCTTCTAGCATTGTTAGTTCACCTGCTCGTATGCTTGAAAGTAGATACCAAATTCGGGATACGGCGAGTGTTGAGCGAAAACAAGTGTGCCGTCCAAGTAGGAGTCATGTCGTTGGGGGGTTGCCCCAGTCAGCTGGCAGGGCTCTCTCTTGTTCGTGTAGGAGCACGTTGCTACCCTCCCGCAGACCGCCCTCGGGAGACTAGTAATAACAAACAAGGTTGCGGGATGTATGTCACCGATGATAAGATCCGCATGTCCCGTTCGTGTTGGTTTTGCTGGTGGTGGCATGGCGCTTCCGCCCTATGCGGTCTGACTGACCAACTCATGGTGCAGCCACATTCCCAGTGTATCCTAATAAAGTAGTTTCAAAGTCTACTGGGGTTTAGCCTAGTATTGGTCGCCCTTTTCCTTTCCTTCCTCTGGCGGTGGCTTACTCTCCTGGCTTACTCTCCCTTTGGTGTCGCTTCGCCTGCAGTCCGTCGCTCACCACCAAACCTTCGCATGTTTAGGAAAAGGCATTGTTCATTAGGTCGAGACTTGCAAGCCACTTTAGTAGAAGTCTGGAAATTCATTTGATAAATATATGATAAATGTCTCCGATTCTTACTTCACAATTTTGCCTACATGCGACATTATGTCTTACCATCTTTACACAGTAGAACGTCGCGCGGAAGATTCGGAGAAGCCGCCCCCCCTCTGACAGTTCCTTGAACAATGAATGCATCGCGCGGGGAAGATAGCGCGTACTCGGGTAAAAGTCTAAGTCTCGGTTAACTACTTGATAGAGGTGAGTGCAAGCGCACAATCGCCGATATTGAAATCGACATGAGCATTCCTGGCTCTTCCACCTATCCAGCTAAAGTCTCCAGCTGACGGTGCCGATCGAGTTCTTTCTTGTTCCCAAGGCCCCAAATCAGCAGAGCAGAAGATAAATATGAAGATTTCTATCCTTTTAAAAATTGCGACCTCATTGCTTGCGGTGGCAGATGCCGTCTCAGCCTTCCCACCCGTGACCTTCGGCAGAGGCTCCCCAGGCTGTGGTGTCCGTGCCCGAGGGGCTGGCAGGCAAAGAACGATTAAGTATCAGATGGGAAGCACAAAACGCAGAAGTCACAGACGCGAGTCCATAATGTACTTGCCTCGTCACTACGACACGGACAGGCCGACGCCTTTGATTCTGGCCTTTCACGCCCATCGCGAGGACGCCGACGAGATGAACGAGAAGACGCGATTCACCAATTGGAGGTTCAACCCGACCTTTGCAGTGCACTACCTGCAAGCTCGAAGGGTATGTTAAGGTCCCAGATTTCTCTAGATGTGCACTTGCGCTGACGCCGAAGCAGAAACGCTGGCTCGCTGGTGAAGACCACGCCGAGATGGAGTCCCCAGACTTCAACTACACGCGGACCGTCCTCGACTACACCATGAACCACTACTGCATCGACGTCGACCGCGTGTTCCTAGTCGGTGAGTCCGAGGGCAGCGGCTTCGCCAACATCCTCGCCTGCGACCCGCGCTTCAGCTACCACTTCGCCGGCATGGCGCTCTCCGGCGTCCACGCGCACGGCGAGCTAGATCTCGACTTCTGCAAGGACGCGCGGCTACCGATGCCCGTGCTCGAGGCGCACGGCACCATCGACGAGCGCGCCTCGTACTGGGGCGACCGGAAGCGCCGCCTGCTGCCCGTGCCCGCCTGGATCCAGCGCTGGGTGCGCCGCAACGGCTGCGACCCCGTGGCCCGCCGCGGATACCTCAACAGCGAGCGGTTCCAGTGGGACAGGTACACATGCCAGGGCCAGCTGGGATACGTCGAGCACATCAAGCTCAGCGAATGGGAGCACCTCTGGCCGACTCAGGACGTCTGGGGCCGCGGCCTGAGCTTCTCGCGGCCCGCGCTGTGGTTCCTCCAGCGGTGGGTGAGGCCGGGGAACTTGACGATTCCACTCAAGGCCGGTAACAATTTTGACACGTTTGGGCACGAGCGTGCGATTAAGTACATTCTTTCTGGCAACGATGGGACGCCAAGCAGCAATAGGATTCCAGGCAACAATAGGACTTGGGGCAACCATACGACTCTGGGCAACCATGCAACCTGGAGAAACGATACAATCTTCAGCAACGATACAATCTTGGCAAACTAGCCCAGCCCAAACCCATGCATTAAAACTCGCCCTCGTCCTGCCGACAAGCTCTAGCTCCACGGCCGTCTCTTGCCTACTGAACTTGTGAGCACGCACTCTCCACGTCCATCCCCCAATTCACCTTTGCCTTACTTGTCTGGTCCGCGATGCATTGAAGGCCGATGATTTTGCTTGCAGAGATTCTGTTTTAATTTATTTTTCTACATAGAGCTGGAATGGAACATTTTGTATTTGGCCCAACCTTGTCCTCAGCAGGTAATGTGGTTCGGACCATCTAGATGTTAGATCGAGTGTCAACGGAACTCCCCTGGTAGAACACTTCTCGCAAGCCCTCACACATGACCGTGATGGCCCGCCTGCCGTCCTCGAGCACGCCGCTCATCGCCGGGAAGATGTGCGGCTGGTCCGGGAACGTGACCACGCGCGCGCGCACGCCCGCCCGCCGGAGCCTCTCGCCAAAGGCCTCGCCCTCGTCGCGCAGCACGTCCAGCCCGGCCACCACGACCACCGCCGGCGGCAACGCCGCCCAGTCGCCGCGCCACAACAGCGGGCTGGCCTCCGGGTTTTCGGCGTCCCCGGCACGAGGCAGGTAGCCGGCGCGGAACCACAGCATCATGTCGGCGGAGAGAGCCGGCGAGTGCTGCAGGTCGCGCCAGCACGCGCAGCTGGCCGGCGTCCGCGTGTTGTCCGTCACGGGGATGTTGAGGAGCTGCGCCGCGACGCGCGGGGTGCTGCCGTGGGAGGAGGAGGCGGCGCGCTGGGCCATGACGGCGGCTAGGTTGCCGCCGGCGGAGGAGCCGCCGACGCCGATGTTGTCCGGGTTTATGTTGAGCGCGGACTTGCCCTCAGCGGCGACCCAGAGGAGGGCCGCCCAGGCGTCGTCCACCGCGGCCGGGAACGGGTGCTCCGGGGCGAGTCTGTCGCATTGCGTGCGTTGGTAGTGGTCAGGAACGGAGAGGATCATGACCTACCTGTAATCCACGGATACAACCACACACTTGGCGCTTGTGCAGATGTTGGTGATGATGTCCGTCTCGGACTCGAGTCCGCCGACGGTCCAGCCGCCGCCGTGGTAAAAGACGAGGACCGGCCAGCCTCCGTCCGGCGCCGACCCGGGCGGGGTATAGCAGCGGGTCGGTATGGTCACGCCCTTGGCCGGGCCGGAATCCGGGGTGATTTTGATGTCCTCCGTCTTGCCCACGGGCACGTCGGGACCGCAGCCGGGAAACGGGCGGCGGGGGATGGAGCGGATCACGTCAATGGGGATCGTATGGAGCTTGGGAACGGCGATGGCGTGCTCATTGTAATAGGCCTTGTACTCGGGGTTCAGGCGGTGTTCCTGGGACGAATGAATGGGGTGCAGCTTGCGTGACATTTTATTCTGCTCTTTGGATTTCGATTTTTGGCGATGTGAAATTTGGATAATGACGGCACGCATCGGGGGAGTCGGCCGGCCTTTATGACTTCAAGACCCGGAGCTTTGGTTGGCTGATTGATCCCTCGGCTGGGGCCGAGCCAGTAAGCCCAGCCTAACAAGGGATAAGCCAGCAAAGGCTCGGTGCCTCGGCATCTTTGGAATCAATGCTCTTCCCCGTTGACGTTATCTCAAGATGCCGAGTTGAGGCTATTTATACCCGAGAACAATGCGGCTGTTTTGCTTGCACTGTCCAGCGTCCATCAGCCAGCTAATTAAAAGCCTCCTTCTAGAATGGAATAATGAACCGCCCCCAAGAGAGCCAGAAGTTGTCAGCCAATAGCTGGGAACAAATCATGGAGTTAAAAACAGCTAGTCCCGGTGGACCACTCAACTTCCGCAATTGAGGCTTCCGCAATTGAGGCCAAAAGATGCCCGTTCTACCCCATGTTTCCGCTTTGGCGTTTCTGGCAGAAGGCGTAACGCCCGGTCACAGTGTGAGGAGGGGCAAATTTTGGAGGGGTATAGAGGGGCAATCAGGAACCAATTAATGCTAGTTGACGTTAGTAAATATTGCGAGGGAAAAGCTGCGTCGTCCAGTTTGTGGGGGTCTTGCCTTCTCATATCCTCTCATCAACGCCGTGTTCATGCGTCGTCACACAGCGCTCTCATAACAAGTAAATCCCTCGCAGGAGAAAGTCCTCGGATTCTCATTCCTTCCATCTGCCCCAACCCGCCACTTTTGCGCACACCGACTGCCCTGCTACAATCACAATGTCCTCGTTGAAGTACTACGAAGCCTCGCCTCGGGAGGCTCTGGTTGGCGAGTATGTCGGAAAGTCAATCCGAGAAGTGCCTACGCCGGCGGCCATCATCAACGTCGCAGCGGTGCGCAGAAACTGCAGTCGCATGCTGGGCGCTTGCAAGAGCCTCAACCTGGGCTGGCGAGCGCACGTCAAGACGCACAAGGTACGGCTGGGTGTATGCGATTCTGCCTGTGAGTCCTCGCTGACTGACTACTTTCCTAGACGGTGGAGATTACCCGCCTGCAGGTCGGCGACGACCCTTCATTCCCGGTCAACATTGTGATTTCAACGCTGGCCGAGGGAGAGTTCTTGCTGGAAGCCCTGAAGGCGTACAAGGCCCAAGGTCGGCAAGTCAATGTACGTTGATTACTACAATAGTCTTTTACATCCAGAAGAGCCGTGGCTAATCTGTGGCCGCGCAAGGTTCTCTACGGCCTGCCCATCACCGCGAATGCGGTAGATCGTCTTGCAGCTATTGCCAGGGTTCTCGGCGATGGCTCAGTCTCCATTCTTCTCGACGATCCTGCGCAGCTCCCCGTCGCTGCCAAGCTACGCCAGGCAAGCGGCATCGCGCCCCGTGCCTCGATCAAGATTGACATGGGCGGCAAGCGTGCCGGCGTCGTCGCCGACAGCGATCGCTTCCTCGAGGTTGCCACGGCTGCCCTGACGGCGCATCGCGACGGCGACATCATCCTCTCCGGCCTCTACTCCCATGCTGGCCAATCCTACGGCGGCGACAGTCGCGCCGCGGCCATCAAGATGATGGGCGCTGAGATTGGCGCCATGCTGTTGGGCGCCGACAGGATCAGGGCGCAGGCTACCAAGCAGGGCGTGTCGGGCCTGCCCGCCCTCATCCTCTCGGGCGGCGCGTCGCCCACCGCCCTGTCCGTCCAGAACCTACTAAGCCACGACGACAACGGCGCGCAGGCCGCATCGACGCCGGAGCTGCAGGCCGAGGTGCAGAGCCTGACGGCGCTCTTCGAGACCGTCAAGACAGGCGGCCACGTCGTGGAGATCCATGCTGGCGTCTACCCGACGCTGGACCTGCAGCAGCTCGCCGCGCACAGCATGGCCGCGTCGCGGCTGTCCTGGGGTGACATCGCGCTGACCGTCCTCGCCGAGGTGCACAGCACGTATCCCGGGCGCGGCGCCGGCGGCACGCCCGAGGCTCTGGTCGGCGCCGGCGGCCTAGCGCTAGGCCGCGAGTTCTGCAAGGCTTACGACGGCATGGCCATGGTGACGCCGTGGGGGCGACAAGCTGCGGCGGCGGCGGTGACGCAGGGAGACGTGGAGGACTTTGAGGGCTGGACGGTCGGGCGGTTCTCGCAGGAGCACGGCATCGTGACGTGGGCGGCGGGGAAGCGCAGGGGCGAGCCGTCGGGCCCGCCGTCGGACACGCTCGAGGTCGGGCAGAAGGTGAGGCTGTGGCCCAACCACGCGTGCATCACGAGCAGCCACTTTGGGTGGTACTTTGTGGTGGACGAGGACCGGCCGGGCAAGGAGGATGAGATTGTGGATATCTGGACAAAGGCGCGGGGCTGGTAGATGATTATTAGCGTGCGGAGCACGGAGTAGAGGATGATGGAATTGACAATAGATTAGATGAGCTGGGTTGGTGATTTGTGAATGCTTCGGTCCCCCACGCGATGTTGGGGGGGCGTGGGGGTGGCATTGGGGGGAGTTAGTCAAACACCTGTCTTGGACAAGACGGCACGGATGCACAATTGAATCGATGTAACCATGTCATCAAAGTAAATCACTTCCCTAAACAGCCGGGGTATTTCATTTTTTTCATCCCAGCTTCGAGACCGTCGCACTGCCCAGCCGAAACGTTACGTTCCCTTCCGCCTGCCCGCCCTCTCGCGCGGGGTCCTTTCCGCCTATACAGGAGTCGAATGAACTCGACATTGACACGTTGACGGCTACATACTTAAAAATTCTTTCAGCTGGATGATCAGTCGAGAGTCGATACCACCCTCTGCAAACATTTTCAGCTCATCCAGACAACGGCCAATGTTGTCATACGCAGTCATGCTGTTGTCAAGGCTCGTGTCCCATGCAGCAACTCGTGCCTCTACCGTCTCCCAGCCGAGAAAACACGTAAACACGCCATCCGATTCACCGTGCGCTTCGTCATTATCAGGGGGCCGTCCCCCTCTATTAGTAAGAGCGCACGCCACTGCCAGCGTACCAGACTGTTCGTATCCTCGAGTGATTCTGCGGGCTCTTTGTGTCAGCTGTGCACGGGCAAATGGCAATGTCATGGGTGCGTGAAGGGGAACAAACTGTCGGAATCCCATAAGGCATGCTCAAGTAATTCTCTACGCCACGCGTCGTGCGGTAGACGAAAGGTAATAACTTCAGCGTGCGAGCCTCGGCCGACGAAAACCCTCTCATGAGCAAACTCCCACTACCACCGCACACTTTGCTGGAATGGCGGTGCATCCAGATAGGACGAGCCGTCGACGAAGCGCTCGATCATTCCGCAGTACTCAACCCTAGCCGTGGCCCTCATACTCGCGATTCCCCAAACTGCAATTTCCTCTGGTTGGTAAATGGTCCTCAATTGGCCCCTCTAGATGCCAAGTACCTGTGCAGACGCCAAATTCATGTTTCGAGTCAGCCGCACGAACCCAAAATCCAGAGTGATAGCCAACTAGCTTTCGGTTCCTATAGTCGAGCATCTTTCCAACTCGACGCTTGATCTTATCCAGCGACCATCAGGTCTTGAGCCATGCGATGTCCAGCACGTAGGGCTCTGGTAAGACACGCCTGTGATTTGATTGGGAACCGAATCGCCATAGCGCGTGATTGTTGGGTCTCATGTAAAGCTGCGTTTGAGTTGGAGTCTGTGGATCTGTTGGATAGCATTTGTATTCGGCCAGGTGGGCGCTGGCAACTTTCATCCTCTCGTTCAGAGCGGACCTGCAAATACCACGCTGTAATGCACTAGCCAATGTACCGACTTGAGACTGAACTGACGCTGGTTCGAGTGATGGTGGCTCGTGGTTATCCTGGTAAGTCCCTCGAGGACTGATAAACTTCTTTTTGACATCTAGAGATACTGGAACTTGACCCAATCGTTCACGTAGCTCTGAGATGTTGCGTTCGATATCGTCGTCCTCGGCAGATTCGTACAATATGAGATGGATACATTCCGTCCTCGCCGGAATTTTATCCCAATATATCCGCAATCTCGAAACCGGCACTTTGTGTTCAATCCAACCAGACGCGGGCTCGCGGCAAGTGCCGGTGCCAACATCCCCCAGGATAGCGGAAGCCTGGCTCTCGAACTGCAACCTGGCATTGGAGTCAAGGCCTGCTTGAAATGTAGCGCCATAGAAAGTTTGCTGCTTTTCTTGGGACAGATCTCTGGACTCGGGGATGCATCACGGAGCGGCTCGTAATGTTGTGAGTGACCAGTGGCGCCATTCTTGTAAACCCGACGGAATTTTGAAAAGACCTCCATGACAGAGGACTGTCCCAGAGGATCAACACACAGACATTCTGTTGCTCGCGCACCCATTTGATGTCAATGCAACCCAGCTGTAACAGAAACTACACTCAGGCTTGGGAACCCTGATGCCCTGTACACGCCACCTTTTTCAAATACCTCATTAGAGCCACCAGGTCTCCTTGCAGCCTGAAAAAGGCATGCCACAACATTATCGTGCTACTGCAGGTAGTTTACTTTATTGATAAACCAATCTTCATATAGCCATAGCCGTACCAATCACCGGTGAAGTTTTTAGTCTGCCAGTAGCGAATTTGGAGTGTACCACTCGGGCAGTTGTTCCTGGACAGTGTCAGCGAGCCAACCTCGCAGTCAGCCGGGTAACAGAGCCCGTCTCGGGGGCTTCTGTGCCTGTACAATTTGCGTGGTACCAAAAGTTTACGGTGTCAGTTAGACAGCATCAGCCTTGGTCTGCTGAGCTAGGCGAGGAACATTATCAACTACTTTCTGCACTATACCTACTCAAAGCTTGCACCACAGCCTGGGCACTCGTAAGCCTACCGTGCCAACAGCCATCTATAACACTACCGTATTGGAGGGAGCCCGTCTCGGGAAACTCAGCTGCTTGGAAGCGACGCTCAACCTCAATATCCATTAGATCACTGTAGGGCTCATTGCTAGTCATAATCGAGTACAGCACCGATCCAAGGGCGAAAACGTCGTCAGCCTTGGTAGGTACGTAGCCCCTCCCGCAGCGTCCTGCCTGATACCTCGATCCCGGAGCGCCTATTTCTACAGGACCCCCAGGAAAGATACTCCCAGCAAAATCACAGATACGCAGATCCAACTTGTCATTCAAAAGAAAATTCCGGGGGGCGACGTCGGCGTGGATTACTTGTTTGTCGTGAAGGCTCGCCAGCGCTCGAGCTGCCTGGGTCGCCCACTTTGCACGAGTTTCAAGGTCCACAGCGCTCGCGGCGTCATTGTCCCTCAAATATGTAGCCAGATCTCCGTTGGACTGATGTTCAAGGGTCAGAGTGCAGGACTGGGCATCCCAGCCTAGGAATCTCGGGGTTGTCGGCGTGTCATTCCCGTCGCCGCTGCTCAGGCGTTGATAGACCTCGGCTTCGCGAGCCACGGCCTCGCGGTTCATGCGTTCTTCGGCCGGGTTGAGGGGGTTTTGCAGAGGCGTCTTCACAATTGCATCGCCGGAGGGCAGTCGCTCTACCAGCGCAGTGGTTCCGAAGCCGACCAAGTCTCCCTTGCGGAGATAGTAGACCTGCCCAGCATGCTCCTTTGCAGCGGGTATCTGGAATCTGGCATCGGGCCAGTTGGGGTAGCATTTTCGTTCCCATTCACCGTAAACGGGAATATACTCGAGAGAGGGCATTTGAAATGAACTGAAGAGTGCTTTTATTACGGTGGAAGGGCCAAGGGGGAGGGCCTCGAGTTTAATGCGCAGGTTGCCCTGATTCGTGATCGGCGCGTCGTTGTTCCGATACAGAGATTATGGTCGGTTGTCCAGGTGCATGTATGTAGTTAATATTACCGCGCTCTACTTAAGCATGAATGGCTGGTCGACGGGCTTCAGTGAAGACCTGGGACTGGTCGTACCCAACCCACATCTACAGAAACTACCACATACAAGCAAGTCTACCCAAACGAACGAATCAGACTCAATAACGGACCACTATGGCGGTACTAGGTAGTCTAAGAGGAACTCTCAACAAGTTTTTGTGCTTGATTAAAATATTTGCACCCCTCGTTGAGACTTTCGGAATCAGCAGACAACGCTATGGTGGGTAGGTTGCTGTCGATAATAGGGCGCGTAGCTGCCCTGCACCATTGGAGGTCCAATGCCGTCACCCTATGTTATATCAGTATGTAAGTGAGAGCATACCAAGAACATTCAGCGCTTCGGAAAGGAAGTGGCCGAAGAAGCAGTCCCTAGGTCTTGGAATACACGTATACAAACAAGATAGTTACAAACCATGCTTCACAAGAGCCACTTCAGACGCTAATAAACTTAGTGGGTGGCAGCGGTGGCGTTGTTCCTTGTTGCTGAACGACTCGGCTGACCCTCTTCATCTCGCTCCATCTTTCCGATTAGCACTGACACTTGTTACAGCAAGGCTTTGTCCCACGTCCTAGGGATACGTACTTCGTAGACATTGACAAAGTTCCAAGACATGTTGGCGCTGGTGGAGGCCAAGTCTGCCTTCACCAGTCGACAGCATGGCCTCTCGACCGCCCCCCTCCATGCAACATACACCGCTAGTGATGAGTACACGTCAGGTAATATCAGACAGCGCGGAACTCTCTTTGGGGGATCCGAACGGGGCGTGGGGGGTTGCGGGTTGCGGTGCAGGCTTGCAGCCCAGCTGATTAGCGGCAGCCGCGGGGAACAAGATTGGCACCAAGATTCAACAGAGGCGGGGAGGACTCGATTCCTCCCACCTTCTTGCCCTTGCCCCCCGCGCAGATTCAACTAGCCAACGAAGCGTAGAGCTGTCAATTGGATGGGCAAATGTGCTGTAGCAGACGTGTGTGACGATGGCAGAGTACAGCATGAGTTCGGCTGGCTGCTTGCGTTAGACATGAATGACCTCCACCAACAACAGCGATTCGTCACAAATAACCGCATTGGTGCGGGGGCAAACATTGAATGGGGATTGCTTTTTGTAGACTTCTTTCATCATGGGGGGGACGGAACGGCCACCTTGAAAGAGACCCAACCACCAACTCGGGGTCCAGTCGACTAGTACCGAGTACAATGGATAGATAGCCTTTTCCCACTCCGTCCCCCATCCTCCCGCACACGATGCTTCTTTCTCTCTCCATTACGTCTCATCCCTTCTTTTCATTCTTTTTGAATCAACTTTCATAACCCTCACCTTGATTCAATCGAGAGTTGGTTACCATCCAACACAGCCGCCCACACATCACATACTACACCCAACAGCCACACAAAATCCCAACACCAATGTCACCTTCTGCATTTTCCAGCACCGGCAACGGCGGCACCTCTCGGCCGCTGACCCGGGGTATCTACGTGCCGACCGTGGCCTTCTTCGACGCGGACACGGAAGATCTCGACACCAAGACCACCGGGCGGCACGCGGTGCGGCTGGCGAAGGCCGGCGTCGCCGGCATCGCCGTGCAGGGGTCCAACGGCGAGGCCGTCCACCTGCTGCGCGAGGAGCGCGTGGCCGTGACGCAGGCGACCCGGCAGGCGCTCGACGCCGCGGGCTTCACCTCCACGCCGCTCATCGTCGGGTGCGGCGCGCAGTCGACCCTCGAGGCCGTGCGGCTGTGCCAGGACGCCGCGGCCGCCGGCGGCGACTACGCGCTGGTCCTGCCTCCCAGCTACTACTGCGGGCTCTTTGACGGCGCCGCGACGGTCACGGAGTTCTTCACCGCCGTGGCCGACGCCTCGCCCATCCCCATCCTCGTGTACAACTACCCCGGCGCCACGCCGGGCGTCGACCTCGGCTCCGACACGCTGGCGGCCCTCGCACGCCACCCCAACGTCGCGGGCTGCAAGTTCACGTGCGGCAACACGGGCAAGCTGGGCCGCGTGGCGGCGGCCGCACGCGCGGCTGGTGACGACTTTTTGTGCTTCGCGGGGTCGGCCGACTTCACGCTGCCGGCGCTGGCCGCGGGCGGCGCTGGCGTCATCGGCGGCCTGGCCAACGTCGCACCGCGCGCGTGCGTGCGCGTCTTCGACGTCGCGGAGAAGGAGGGCGTGCTGTCGCCGGAGGCGGTCCGCCTGCAGGAGGTGGTCGCCCGCGGGGACTGGGTGGCCATCCAGACGGGCGTCGTCGGCGTCAAGGCCGCGCTCAACGAGTATGCCGGCTACGGGGGCTTCTCGCGCAGGCCGCTGCCCCGGCCGGACGCGGCCAAGACGAAGGTGATTGCGGACGGGCTCAAGGAGCTGATGGAGCTGGAGAATTCTCTGCAAGATAAGGCTTAAGTGTTTTGGGCAACATCATTCCTACAGGACAAGTATGGAAGCGGGGGGTTATTTGCCGGTTTTAAGATCGGTTATGTACGCATACACGAGGCAGAATTAAATAGCCAAATAGAGGGATTTTACATATACAACCATATTCACCTATTTTTTATGAAGAATACTGGATCTAGTAAAGGAGCTATGATTGATGCTTGTCATGTCTATGATAGACTGATATATTCACACCGTGTCGGTGGCTATGCTAACTTTTTTAATATGACATGAGATTCGTTTTGATGTATTTCTCGCATTTGTTTACAGGACAGCCGTGCACTCAATCTCCACGTCGGTGTTGAGGGGCAGAGTCTTGACCGCGACGCAACTGCATCAAGTATTAGTTCAGCTCGAGTGGTGATGATATGGTGTACCGGGTACTGGAGCCAGGTACTTACGTGCGGCAGGGCTTCACATCACCCCAGTATGTCATGTAGACCTCGTTCATCTTGGCAAAGTCGTCCATGCTGGCGAGGAAGACGTTGACCTTGACGACCTTTTCGATGGTGGTGCCGGCGGCCTCGAGGATGGCCTTGAGGTTCTTGATGCATTGGTGCTGGGAGGGGAAGTGAGCTGTTAGCTAGCTTGGATGGAAGGTCAAGAGCGTCGGGAAAGCAACTTACAGTGTGGGCTTGGATGTCGCCGGGAATCAGCTGCATTGTCTCGGGATCCATGGGGACGGCGCCAGAGACAAACACCATGCCGTTGGCCTTGATGGCCTGGCTGTAGATGCCGGGGAGGGGCTTGGGGGCCTTGTCAGTGAGGACGGCTTCCTTGACCGATGCCATTGCGAGAGATTGTGGCTGTGATGGTGGGATAAGGGAGGTTATGGGGGATGTGCGAAGAGGATTGGGAAAAAAAAAAGAGAAAAAGAGGAAGAGGGAGAAAAAAATGTACAAGAATAAGATATGTTGATGGCAGGGCGTGCAGACGACTTTTTTGACTTGCATCCCACCTTGGCGACTTCTCCCCTCTTTGCCCCCGCATTTGCTAGATGGAGCTCGCCGGAAAGCATTTACAGAGCTGCGTTGCAGAGGATTACAGCGGACGACAGCGGTCGTTAGTGGTCACTACCCCGCACCGCCCCCGCTAAGATGCCCTGAAATGGGGGTTGACCTGCCGTGCCTAGGATATTGCAGGAGGGACCGGCCTCGCGTGTTTGCATTGACCAAGCACGGCCCGCACCACCAGCTTCAAAACTGTAAACGCACAACCAACATTTCCAACATTCCAACATCACCACTACGGCCATCGTCCATCGTCGCCATGTCATCAAACTTATCTGCACACAACCCGCCCCTTCGGCCACCGCCGTATCTGCAACCGTCGTCTATTTTGACCCCCATTCAGTACGAGGCGTCTCATGACCCCCAATGCCCCCCAAACCTTGGTCTCTCGGTCTGACCTCCCCATAACAGGAAAGGCTTCCACGCCGTCCCTTCACCACTATCGTGACCACCACCACGTCCGCTCCGAACTAGCAATCCCAGTGGAGAGCCCCAAATATCTCCCTCCAGCGGGATGCAGCCATCACATTGATGTGGGCTGGGGCGAGACCTGGTTGTCGGGTTTCCCACCGTCTGGGACCCAGAAACGTAAGCCCGCAGCCACTACGTAATTGCTTCGCAGCTGATTTTCCGGGGAAGGTCTGGGGTTGGCGCAAGGATGATCGCGCGGTCGAGCAATGAAGGAGTTGGAGAACCGACACTGTTCTGAATGATATGCCAATTGATTGGCAAGGTCATTCGGTCGCTGTCCGTTGTCCTCGGTTCCACAATCAAGTTTCCGAACCTTTCCCTTCTCCAACAGATCGGGCCCTCGCTTCGCCCAGCCAGACGTTGCGCCGCCGCCCACTCCCAGATTATCAACCACACCTTATTTCAGCTCCTGGTATCGTTATCGTGGCGCTCGCCTTCCTTTACACCGCAAGCCCCGGCATTCGTGATTCCTTTGGTCCAGCATTGGTCAAATTACTACGGATACTCGCGGAGATACCCCAATGTCTCAAACGGACTTGATTCGGCCTTGCTCTTTGGCGCGTCTGTGGTGTAGGATGTGATGTTGACGTCTCGCGTCGATCCATTACTAGAACGAACGGTACTTCTGCCAGCCCCGGCTTGCTAATACTACAACTCCCGTTGCAGCCACCCTCGGCCATTTTTAGCGCACTGCGTCCTGCTAGCTGCCTTGCCCGCCTTGCCCTGTGCTTCAGCTCACCTCCCCTTTCCCTGTGTTCGAGAATTAATAAAAAGGGTGGCTACCACCCCAGGTTGTTGCTGTCTTGGCCATGACAAGTGGTTCCTTATCTGGCATTGTTGCTGATAGCTGTTTTGCCGGGGCGCTCATGCGCATTACCTATCAACGGCTCTTATCTTGACCACAATTTACAGTTGCGCCGATACCGTTTTATAAAACCCCCGAATTCGGCACGTCGACTGCCAACTAGCACTCTTCAACAAAACGCAGACAACTTCCTAACCCAACTGGAACGTGTTAACTGTGCTGCCATGATGAAGCCAGATAACACTCTCGACGTGGAAGCGTCCAGCAACAAGGACAACATGCCTCACACGACCCTCTCCAACGATGATGACCTCAAGCACGGTGCCTGCATCGAGGACATTGCGCGAGTCATTGACCACGCTGCAGAAAAGAGCTTGGCTCTGAAGTTTGATTTTCGCATCCTGCCTGTTCTTGCCGTTATGTGTAAGTGGAAGAAAACCGTTACTGAATTGGCAGTTGACTAATATTCTCTCCAGATCTTTTCAACGCCCTCGATAAAGGAAACATTGGCAATGCCCAGACTAAAGGTCTCAGCAAAGGTACGCATCGAAAACAAAGCGAACCCTGCGACCTGGCATTAACGCCGCTACATTCTAGATCTCAACTTCAAAGACGGGCAATACAATCTCATCATCTCCATCTTCTTCGTCCCTTATGTCATCTTTGCCCCTCCTTTCGCGATGCTGGGCAAGAAATATGGCCCAGCTCGCGCTCTTCCCATAATGATGTTCTCCTTTGGCTCTATGACCCTTCTTACAGCAGCTGCCACGAACTTCAGCGGCATCTTCGCCCTTCGTTGGTTCCTAGGAATGGCTGAGGCCGCCTTTTTCCCCACAGTCATCTACTATCTCACCACATTCTACCGTCGTGGCGAACTGGCGAGACGCTTGGCCATCTTTTATGCTGCCTCCAACATCGCCAATGCGTTTAGCGGCCTGCTTGCTTTCGGCGTCTTCCACATCAAAGACAGCAAGATCCTGGCCTGGCGCTACCTGTTTATCATCGAAGGTAGCGCTACAATCCTCTTTGCCATTTTCGCCTTCTGGTACCTGCCAAGGAGCGCGAGCGAGGCCAAGTTTCTGAGCCAGGAGGAAAAAGACCTTGCTTTCCACCGTATCCAGGTCGACTCTTCCTCGGTCGTTGACGAAAAGTTCAACCTGAAGGAAGCCTTGAAAATCTTCACATACCCCTCTACATTCTTCTTCCTGGGCATCGAAATCTGCTTAGGTGTTCCCCTTCAGGGTGTTTCCCTGTTCCTGCCCCAGATTATCCAGCGTCTCAAATACGATACTATCAAGACCAACCTCTTTACCGTGGCTCCCAATGTCACTGGTGCTGTCATGCTGTTGGTTCTCGCCTTTGCCTCCGACTGGACGCGGCTGCGCTTCCCGTTCATTGTGCTCGGCTTTCTCTTCACCTTTACTGGCTTCATCATCTATGCCGCTATTGAGGATGTCGAAAAGCAACTGCAACTCGCCTACTTTGCCACATTTATGATGTGCTGGGGAACGTCGGCACCATCTGTGCTTCTGTCAACCTGGTACAACAACAATGTCGCCCACGAAGGTCGCCGCATCACACTTACCGCTGTCGGTGTGCCGCTCGCCAACCTGATGGGCCTTGTGGCGAGCAACATTTTCCGGCAAAAGGACGCTCCCAAGTACATGCCTGCACTGATTACCACGGCCTCGTTTGGTGCCGCGGGTGCGACGCTAGCTGGATGTCTCGGCGCTTACATGATCTTTGACAATGCTCGGCGCAACCGCAAAGCAGGCAGGAAGACTGACGCACGCGATGTGCCCACTCACCGGCTACGGGACGGCCCAAGCACCGATGAGTTTAGGTGGTTCCTATGAATGCATTTCTTCAATTGTCTTGCTTCGAATTTATATGAGCGATGATTTGTCTGTCGAAGCGGTATCTTGGCGCCTTCGCCACCCATGTCTATATGCTGCTATTGTACAAAGAAAATATTCAGTAACAAAAGCATGGATCTATCTATTTACCAAGTCGCCATACCCTGTTTATGCTTCTACTTGTCGTCTCCTTTGACGGCGAGGCCTTGCTCACCGTACCACCAGCGCCAGACGGCCTTGCAGTAGAGCCATGTTTCCATTGTGCCAAAGATGCTCAGCACCACGATCAGAAAGACCTTCATGTTCCTGCTGACCCCCAGCCCGTCGAGGCTAAACTTGGGTAGCTCCGGATTTCCGCTCCCCACCTCCTCCGCCCCTGCTGTCGTCGTCTTCTTCTGCTGAGGTGTCGGGATGCTGCTGCCCGGGGTAGTCTTGCTCGTCATGTTTGCGTTCCCCCCACGGTGGTCGCCGGTACTGGTAGACAAGAGGGCGCGGCACGCGAGCATGCGCTGGCCGTTGTGGTGCGACGGCCGTGCGACGGCGCCGCGCATAATTGAGCGTGCCACTGGGATCCTCTGCATTTTCCTGTTGTCTGGTGATTTGAGTTTTTTTTTAGTTTTTTTTCGGGGACTGAAGAATGTGGCGTTCGATAGAGAGTTTCAAAAGAGAGAGAGAGAGAGAGAGAGAGAGAGAGAGAGAGATAATGCGAGAGGGAAGTGAAGTTGTTGGACAGAAGTAAGGCTGAGAGCTTGCTTGTTGTCGCTGTCACGGCCCGCTAGCTTCTACAGGCACTGCGCCGAGACGGCCCTGCCCTGGGCCGGTTCATTTTCGTAAGGAGTCATTCCAGACGAACAGCATCGTGCGGGTGATTATTCTTGACACGAAAGGATAAAGAAAATAAAAACGGCATGACAAGTGGAATCAAACAAGTCTCTGGGTTCAAAGCGATATATACATCTAATTATTGCTCGGTCGTATGCTGACTTCCCTCAACGCCATCATCATGTACATAGACAGCCGCACACACACACATCCTCACCTCCATCCGCGGCCACCGGTCATGTCATCGGCTTGCAAAAAGAGGCCCAGCTCGCTTATCTTCTCGTCCGCCTCCCAGTGTCCATTCATCAAGTTGGTGAAGTACTGGTCATCAAATATAATGTCCGGCACGTTGCTCGCCGGGCCCGGGAAGCCCATCATCATCGGCGCCTGCTGCTGCTGGGGCTGCGGCAGCATCTGGGGCGGCGACTGCGCCATCGTTGCCGTCTCCACTGCGGCCGGCTGCTGCTGCTGCTGCTGCTGCTGCTGCTGCTGCGGCAGCGGCTGCCAAGGCACGCTGGCGTTTATGGAAAACGACGCAGGCGGCAGCGACGTCTGCGGCGGCGGCGAGGTGCCGCCCGCGGTGGTGGTGGCGGCAGCAGCCACGGCGGCGGCGGCGGGGAGGCCGTTGCCGGCGTAGAGCTGCTTGGCGTGCAGGCGGTCGGCGATGGAGGCGTCGAGGTACTGGAAGAAGATGTCGAGGACGTTGTTGTTGATGCGCCAGTACTTTTGGATCTCCTTGAGGCAGATGAGGCACATCTGCGCGCGGTTCTCGGCGATGCGCCGGTTGACGCCCGTGTCGCGCCGGATGCTGATGACGTGGATGCACAGCGACGTGAAGAGGCTCGTGATCCTGCAGAGTGGTCGGTAAGTGATTTGATTGATCGAAAAGGGGAAGAAGAGAGCTCCGAGTGGTTTTACGCACATGTGCATCTGGCCGCAGCCCAGGATGCCGCTCGTGTACATGTCCTCGGCGATGCGGCTGATGCGGCACGCCGAGGCCGTGACGATCATGCTGCTCTCCGTCTTGTCGTTGGAGTGCAGGTAGCTGTTTCGATGGATGAGGATGCGCAGGTGGCTGTCTCTTGCGTCAGATGGTTGTGCTTCTCGGCTGCATGGTGATGAATATTGGATGCGGTGAATGTAACCTACTTGTAAGCCAGGTGCAGGAGGCATGCCCAGACTGAAGTGTTCGTCTCGTCGGACAGGAAGCGCATGCTCTGCGGCAGGCTGTCCTTCCACGCCTCGAGGGCGTTGTCCAGGCTCTCCACGTCCTTGGCCTTGGAGCCGGTCCGGCCGGGGACGAAGTGCAGGTCGATGATGCGGCCGACTGTGTTTTTTTTTTTCATTAGCCAGGCTTCAGGGAGAGGGGAGGGGGCAGTCCGCATACTCAACCTTGAGACCTCGACCATTTTGATGGCGTAGGTAATGTGCTCGGGCTTCGTCGGCGCGAGGATCGGGTGCTCCAGGTCCACGTCGGGTGCCTCGAGGTCCGCGGCGCTCAGCGGCTCAATGTCGCAGTCCTCGTCTCTGATGCGGCTGGGCAAGCCAAGCGATGCCGCCGACTGCCGCTCGCGTACCTGTTTGGGGTTGTCAGCAATTCCGTCCCCTCGCGGTCTGGAAGGGGTCGCGTACGTAAATAGACCACCATATCCTCCTTCTCATGGTCGGCGATTCAACTGTTTTTGAGACTTGACAGGACCTACAAGGGACTATGAGTAAGTCTTTTGTTTCGATCCATGTAGACACTTTTTCAGAATGACGACGTACGATCTATGTAGGCCAATGGACTCTGACAGGGTAATCACGTTTCCCAGCCAGTACCGCACGTCGCGGACGTCCGCCGGCCCGTTCCGCTGAAAGCTCATCAGGAAGAGCGACTGGATGAGCGTGATCTCGTCGCGCTCCCAGTCGGCGTCGATCAGCAGCTTGGCGCGCGTGTAGAAGAGCGTCTTGGCCTGGAAGCGGTCGCTGAGCCCCATGTCCGCAATGACGGCGTCGTGGCAGTAGGTGCAGCCGACGATGAGCATCGCGTACATGAGCACCTTGGGCACGCGGTTCTCCGTGAAGCGCCGCGCAATGTCGGCCGCGTCGACCACGGGGAAGCACGGGTGGAACCAGGTGAAGTAGGCGCGCAGCGCGGGCGCGCACTGCTCCGCCGAGGGCAGGTCGAAGACGCCCTCGTCGCGCAGGTACTGCAACGCCGACTCCTTGATGCCGGAGCCCTCCGGCTGGGCCGGGTTGGGCCGCTTGGCGGGGAGGTGGAAGGTGTACCGCCGGGGTTGGGTGCTGCCGTCGGCGCCGCCGGGATGGTTGGCATTGGCGTGGTCCGTGCTGCCGTCGCCGCGGTCGCCGCGCCCGCCGGAGACGATGGTGAGGAAGTTGGACTCGCCGAAGAAGCGGGAGCCTGACGCCTTGGCCGAGGAGGTGGGCGGCGGGGGCGACGACGACGCGGCGGGCGGGCTGAGCTCGCGCGCGGCCGTCTGCTTCCTGGTGCGGTAGCCGTGGCCGACGCCGACGTTGCTGGTAGAGGTGAACTGCGGAGGCGGCGGCGGCGGAGGCGGCCCGGAGGAGGCGGATGGGGCGTGAGAGGGCGACTGGGTGGTGCTGGTGGCGTGGGCCTCCCCGCGAATCTGATCCTCTGGATCTGTGCTCTCCGCGGTGACCGAGGCAGGTGCTCCATTTCGACTCTGCCTGGTTCTGGGTCCTTTATGCCGTGGCTTGCGAGGATATCTACCGGCTTGGTATTAGCCCACCCGTCGTTGTGGACGTTACGGAGATTTTTTCGACTTCTACTATGCTGGCAACGCAGCAACTTTGTGGAGATGAGATAAGAAACACTCACCTTCCTCTTCGCGACGGCAGCACCTCACAGGTGACCCCGGCCTCGGCGCAGTTTGTGCACGGCTGCACCTCCATCACGTCGCAGCGAACGCGCCGCGAGTTGCAGACGGTGCAGGCATGCTTCGCGCGCGGCTTTTTGGCCGGAGACGGCGGCGCGGCCTCGGTCGCGGACGGCGACGGCGAGGTTAAGTGTGAGCTCATGCGGCGGGGTGTATGTAACAGCGATTAATTTCCCTGGCACACTTAACCTATTGCTTTGCGACGCTGTTTGGCCGCCGCAGAAAAAAAAAACAACTTTCTTTGGTTGGTGGCGGGTGTTGTAGGAGTTGAGTAACCGAGATCGAGATGCCGAGCGCGCGCGACCCACAAAGATGCGCTCTCCGTTGTCGCAAAGGGGACAAAACGCCCAGCACCGGTAATTATCTCACGCTTCGCCAGGAAGGGGATTTCATTTGTAATTACTTCCATATGACTCATTATGTAGTCTACGCCCATTTCTAATAACTTCTTGGCAGGCGCAGCACTCTTTCGCTTATGTAGTTGAGGATCATCTCGCGGCTCACGGGGGCTATGCGCGGCACCAGACACTCCCTGAACCAGCGCTCGACGTCGTACTCTTGCGCGTAGCCCATGCCGCCGTGCGCCAGGACGGCCCTCTCGCACGCCGTGAACGCCGCCTCGGCGGCCAGGTACTTTGCGCTGTTCGCCGCGACCCCCACGGCGTCCTGCGTGATGGCGGTGGCCGGCCCGGTCCCCCCGGTAGTCTGCCCGGCGGCCTGGGCTGCGGCGGTGTCGTAGAGACGCGCCGCGTGATACGTTGCGAGCTTGGCCGCCTCAAGCCGCATATAGGCGTCCGCCAACGGGTGCGCGACGCCCTGGTTCGCGCCGATCGGCCGCCCAAAGACCACCCGCGCCGACGCGTACTCGGCCGCCCGCGCCAGCGCCGCGTAGCCCAGACCCAGGGCCTCGCCGGCGAGCAGGCAGCGCTCCGCGTTCATGCCGTGCAGGATCATGCGGAAGCCGCGGCCCTCCTCGCCGACCAGGCTCGACGCGGGCACGCGGTAGCCGTCGAAGAAGACCTCGTTGGCGTCGACCGCGCGCCCGCCCATCTTGCGGATCCCGCGGACCTCCAACCCCGGCGCCGCCCTGTCCAGCGGGATGCAGAACAGCGACAGGCCCTCGCTCGGCCTGCGCTCGTCGCGCGGCGCCGTGCGGGCGAGCAGGATCATGCGCGAGGCGACCTGCGCGCAGGTGATCCAGATCTTCTGCCCGGTGATGCGGTACTCCGAGCCGTCGGGGGCGCGCTCGGCGCGCGTGGACAGCCTCAGCGTGTCGAGGCCGGCGTCGGGTTCCGTGACGCCGAAGCAGGCGCGCCAGCGGCCGGCGATGATGTTGGGGATGGTCTCGCGCAGCTGCGCGGCAGAGCCGAAGCGAGCGAGCGGCTGCGTGGCGTAGACGTTGGCGTGGATGGCCTGGGCGCCGGCCATGCCGGCGCCGGACTCGGCGATGGCCTGCATCATCATGGTGGCCTCGGCGATGCCCAGGCCCGCGCCGCCGAGGGACTCGGGAAGGGCGATGCCCAGCCAGCCGGCGGCGGCGAGGGCGGCGTGGAACTCGGTCGGGTCCTGCTCGGCGCGGTCCTTCTCGCGCCAGTACTCGTTGGGGAAGGAGGCGCAGATCTGTGAGACGGCCTCGCGGACCATCATCTGGTTCTCGGTGAAGCCGGTCGTCTCCATGATGCTGCGCAGCGGCCGGGTGGTGGAGAGCTGTCGTCGCAGGTGATGCTGGACACGACCTGTCGCCAATGGACGGCCCAAAACAACCCGTGATGACCGCCGCATTGCAAAGGACGTGAAGGGGGGGTCGTGAAATCTTGGGTTGCTATGTGTTGTAAAACACTCCCAATAACTAGCTGTTGAGGGGATCTGTTTATTTATCCAAGTTCCTGATAATCCGGGGTAATGACGTTGGACCAAATACCCGGCCGGGCTCTTGTGGCGCTAGGCATGTGCGAGAAGCCGAGCTGTGCTAGCCAGACAACAAGTTACCATTACGAAAGTAAAGCATTTGTTCTTGTATAAAATATGTAAATATCGAATGACTTTGAATTTGAATAAATAAAAACTTACGACTTCACAAAAGAAAAATCTCAAAGGCGCCCACAGGTGCACTCTGCGCCGGCAAACAGAACTCCATCTTGGAACACTTGGGAATACCCACCCTGATAACACTTTTTTTTTTTTTTTTTTTTTTTTGTTTTTCCGAGCGACCTGGTAAAAACTCACATTCGCAATCGAAATAAACTATCATAGATCCTATAAATCTTCGTTCTCCCGCCGACTGACCCCCAACACCGCCTAAGAGACCCGTCACCGTCGTGATCTTGCTGCCCCGGGTAGCAAGCGCAGTGGCGAGCTTGCCGTCAACTCTCGTCGACTCGGTGCTGCCATACGGTCTATGACTGTCAGTAATGTCTTTGTTTACGACTTTGGAGAGAACGTGCTCTGCATCTTTGTCTCTTGCAGGTGCCAGCCTAGTACAAGTCCAAGATGCCCGATTCAGCGTGCCGTATACGTTCAGTGTCGAAATATGGAGGCCCCAGGACTTTCCCTGGCTTGTGAGCAGAAAGCCAGCATCCTCATCATATCAGCTTCCACAATGTTACTTGTATCATATAAACCGAGCCTACCCTACTCAACGGTGATGGGTCTGACACCTCCCTCATTTTTTCGACGCTGACGAGCTTTGGGCGCTTGGCAAGCCATGGATTGCCTTTCTCATCTTTCGATAACCCGCGAAAGAATTGGATAAATTGAATCTTGTGGCATAATTTTTAATGGCCTTGCATTTGAGATGGAGCTGTATATATTCATCAGGCAATCAGCTTCTGTCTTTTCGCAGTCAGTTCCTGGAGAAGCAGAGTTGATATCATGGGCGTCCGCTCTATTGTGTCGTAGTTAGTCTGTGCAGGTGATGTTAAATTGAGGACTAAAGCTATTGGATTATTCGGTTTTAAGTCATTTTGTCACAGCTGATATGGGTATAGGAATTTCATTAGACTTACGAAATAGTTTCGGGCTCGCGTGCAGCTTCGTCTTCCAGGCCCTCTACACGGTGGTCGTCGTCATCTTCCTGATGGTCTACTTCTTCGTGGACACGACAGGCTCTACCCAGGAGGAGCTGGTGTAACTACATTGGCTGATATTTATGGCGCATCTTTGCGGGTTATCTTTACTCACATCTGGCAGTGCTAGCTACCCCAGCTATTCTTCTTTGTGGCTTTTTTCGATGCTGGACTTGGCATCGTGGCAGCCAAGACGGGAGAAGCGGCTGAAGCAGACTGTGATTTCATGTACAAATTATTGTTACTTGATCCTTGAAGCCATTCACAAAAGCTCTGTCCCGGCAGTTCTTGGGCTCAAACCTAAAATCAACCAGATGAAAAGAACGCATATGCCTCCAAGCCTTCCAGAAAACAATGAGAGCTGCACTAACCATGAATAGTAACCCGGCAATTTCAATTCGGCCCTTTTCTCACTGTGGATTGACAGCTTCTGCCAGCCGTGGAGCGTCTAGCCTCTCCTCTCAGCCCTCTGCGTCGCCACAAGATGGGAATCGCAACAAAATCTCTCATCGTTTCGCTGCCTGCCTGCGAGTGGGAAACACAATTAGCGGGTGCACTGGCCACTTATTAGTCGACTTCTCGATGGGGACGGGTGGACGGGCTACTGGATGGAATGCAGATGGTTGAGGGCTTGCGTTATTAGTCTGTCTAAATCCAGCAACAAAGGAAACGCCATATCGGCGCTGCCGTGACTCTCATTCGACCATCACTTGCCACGCTTTTCCCAACTTGTCGGTCCCGGGCGACGGAGGCACGAAAGCCTATTGGATGGGTTGGGGGATGTAGTTGGTGCGGCTCTCCGCGCTCGACGCCAGCAAGGTCGCGATAACTGATATGGCCTCCTGCCGGACCAATTCATTCGAACGTTGAAGTTTCTGGTCTCCCCGCATGCATCGGCAGCCCCGGACATGGGGATGCACGTACCAAGTTTTCCCCAGGCACGTTGAGGATGTGGAGAGAAGCGACCATGAGCGAACATCGGATTGTCGCCGGCGCATACGGCCCGCTGCAAGACCTGCAGCTCACGTTACCTGTATAAATGCAACACTGCATCCCAATTTATTTAGCATCATTAGTACCAACATCCTCCCTTTGCTGACCCCATCCCGGAGTCCGCTCTTTTTCCTTCTCCCTCTCGCCAATCTTGTTCCTCCTCCGCGTCGCCGCTGTCTCTCATCATGGCTCAGCAAGACAGAAAGCTGTCGTCCTCGTCCTCGGTGGCCGCCGACATGGAGAAGCCGCAGATCGACGCCCTCGAAAAGGTCCAGCCCAGCACCGCCGCCAACGTCGACGGCTTCATCGCCGACATGGAGCGCGAGCTCGAGGCCGCCGGCGGGCTGCAGACGGGCTTCTTCCACATCAACTTTGCCAACCCCAAGCACTTCACCTGGCTGCTGGTCGCCTTCGCCAGCATGGGCGGCCTGCTGTCCGGCCTCGACCAGAGCCTCATCTCCGGCGCGAACCTGTACCTGCCAAAGGACCTGGGCCTCACGGAGCGCCAGAACAGCCTGGTCAACGCCGGCATGCCGCTCGGCGCGGTCGGCGGCGCGCTCATCCTGTCGCCGACCAACGAGTACTTTGGTCGTAAATGGGCCATCATCATCTCTATTCTTCTCTACACCGTCGGTGCCGCTCTCGAAGCTGGCTCGATGGACTTTGGTATGCTTTGATATATATAAAGAGCCCGAAAGTGTTGGTCGTTTTCTAACTCACCCCCCAGGCATGATGGTTGCGGCCAGAGTCATCCTCGGAATGGGTGTCGGTCTGGAGGGCGGTACGGTGCCCGTCTACGTCGCCGAAACGGTCCAACGTCGCATTCGAGGCAATCTGGTCTCCCTGTACCAATTCAACATCGCCCTAGGGGAGGTCCTAGGCTACGCGGTGGCCGCCATCTTCCTCAAGGTCCCTGGCAACTGGCGCTACATTCTAGGCTCCTCTCTGTTATTCTCGACCATCATGTTCTTTGGGTAAGAATCACTTTTCCTCGCAAAAACTACCCAAATGCTAAACGTTTGAAGCATGCTCTTCCTTCCGGAGAGTCCTCGCTATCTCATGCACAAGGGCAAGAAGCTCGAAGCCTTCAAGGTCTGGAAGAGGATTCGAGGTCTCGCCGACGCGGAATCAAAGGAAGAATTTTACATCATGGCATGCTCCGTCCAGGAAGAAGTGGTTGCCGTCCAAGAAGGCGCCAAGAACAAGAACTATCCCTGGATGGACTTTTTCACGTAAGCCTCCTCCACCACACATCATCAACCCCCAGCTCCTATTCATCTACTAACACCTCCCCAACAGCGTGCCTCGCGCTCGTCGTGCGCTTGTCTATGCCAATACCATGATCGTCCTGGGTCAAATCACGGGCGTCAACGCTGTCATGTACTACATGTCAGTGCTAATGAATCAGATTGGTTTCGGTCCGGAGGAGGCAAACTACATGTCCCTGGTCGGCGGCGGATCCCTTCTGCTGGGCACGATCCCCGCCATCTTCCTGATGGAGACTTGCGGTCGCCGTTTCTGGGCCATCATGATGCTTCCTGGATTCTTCATCGGCCTCCTCCTCATTGGCGTTGCCAACCGATTTGACCCGAGCACAAACCTGAAAGCAGCCGAGGGCATCTACCTCGCCGGTCTCATCATTTACATGGGCTTCTTCGGCTCATACGCCTGCTTGACCTGGGGTATGTCTTCCTGCGCCGCAGTCGGCGTTGTTCTTTTGCTTGACTGTTTTTCTTAGAAGTTCATGCTGACAAGTTTTACGCAGTCATCCCGTCCGAAGTCTACCCCACCTACCTCCGAAGTTACGGCATGACCACCTCCAGCGCCCTCCTCTTCCTCGTCTCCTTCATTGTCACCTACAACTTCAGCGCCATGAAGGACGCGTTCACGACGACGGGCCTCACGCTGGGCTTCTACGGCGGCATCGCGGTCATCGGCGAGGTCTACCAGATCCTCTTCATGCCCGAGACCAAGAACCTGACGCTGGAGGAGATTGACGAGGTGCTCTCGCGGCCGACCATGGACGTGGTGCGCGAGAACTGGCAGGGCGTCAAGGACACCATGCACGACGCGTGCCGGGGCAGGTTCGGCAAGATTTTGGCTGAGCAGACGCAGAAGCGCAAGTCAGAGGTCGACGGTGTTGGCATAGACGAGAGTAGTTGCCAAGCATAGACGAGAGTAGTTGCCAAGGTGCATAGACGAGAGTAGTTGCCATGGTGCGTAGACGAGAGTAGTTGCCATAGAATAAATGTGATTCTATTCTTTTCAATTTGTTTCTTGAAAAAGGGTGTGCTTTCAAGCCATATGACGTTGTGTTGGGGCACGTCGCGAATGACGGAGTGGCGTAGAACGAGGCGATCTACGTCTGTCGCGACGTCAAAGTCGCCTCAAAAAAATCATGAGTTCCTCTTACCTGTAGTCTTCAAATTAGTGAGGGGAAAGAGGCCATCTCGTCAAGACCATCTGGGGTGATGACGACGCCTGCGCATCGCCGGCGCAGAGCACACAACTGACTGGCACATGCCACCTCATCCTTCCAACAAGCCGAGCGCCCATCATCAGTGCGTGAGTAAATTTCTCGGGTGACACGCGCGTTCTGGATGACAACATTTGGGCACGGAGCAGTGGCAAGGGTCTACGTGCATACTACCGTAGTTCCCTACTGACAATGAGACAGCACATGTCATGTCGCTGCAAGCACCATGTTGCACCCGGCACCAGCACCGACTTGAGGCTGCCCTCCGAAGCCCTGATTACTGACTGTTAGTAGACCAGAAGACAAGAGCGGCCCCTCATTGAGCACAACTCTGTGACACCGAAAAACTCCCTTTCCAGTTGTCAACTTCTCGTCCACCGTCGACACTAACGTAGGTGCCTGACGATGGCGTGGCAGCGGCCCGACGTGTTAGTGGCTCCACGGTTGCGCCAGGGTCGAGTCTGACATTGAGTACGGGTGATCCAATAGCCTAAATTTGAGGCTTTTTTGTCTGCGTGAACCGCCTGGAATCTGTGACTATTTTGCCAGTGTACCGCGGGCGGAGGCCAGCACACCGGTTGCGGGAGGCGGAGTGTAACTGGTACCAAGGGCATGAGGCGTAGAACGCCGTCCGGTGAGTGGTCAGCCCTCTGTAATGTGTGTGTGGACAGGAGACGCTGAATGACTTGATAAAGTTGTTACTGATTACGAGTAATAAGCACCTCGGCCTCGGCCTCTGTGGCGGTGACGGCCTTGTTTTGTTTTCAGCGCCTGATGAGCGTTCAGTACTTATTGGGCAGCTATTCCCGGTGCTAGGGATTAGTTGTTGTGAAGCCTCGGGAAGGGAACATGGATGTGACTTGGCTAGTGCACCCGTACGTTGATCTGTGTATGTACATAGTCCTTTGTTGGACATTTCCTGCAAGTATTCTCTAGTTGGCGCTTTCGTCTGTTGACCAACCCCGCCGCCGGAGTATTCCCTCGTTACGTACGGATACTCCTTGTACAATGACAGATGCATGTGTTCATTATTAGTGATAACAAATCCTCTAGGATGTTTTGAACACTCCGAGTCCTTTCCATGCATTCGAGTTCCGGATACAGACAAAGGGCGGCATCTAATTGCAACTTTGCAGCCGTGGCATTAGCCTCTGTCCGTTGGCAATGCAACAGCACAAAGTTCCTGTGGATATCTCTAAAGCGAAACGCTGACTGGAAAAACAATCGCGCCCCGGAGCCAGTCAGCAGTGTTGAAATGAACGGACGCTGTTTCTGGGAGACTTCTCTGCTCTTGATGGCATTTTCGAGGTACAGACGATCCTCGGCAAAGTTGTCGCCATCCACCACATCAGCATTATTCCATCCGTGGATGTCGGCCATGAACCGCGGATGGTGAATAATAGCAGACAACGGAGCCAGATGCATCCAATCCCAATCAACCACACTTTTTTTAACATATTCATTAGAATATACAATGAAGTCGAGCCTCATTTAATAACATCGCACATACCCGGTTCAGTGGAAGTCGGGGCTCTTTAAAATATTATGCGCGTTCAAATCCCCATGCGCAAAGTCGACGCCGGGATAGGCGTCAAACTGTTGGGCATACCTTGGAATCATCGATCGCATAATAAGGTAGTCGATGGCATCCCCTCACCTGGCTGTTCCGGTGAGAGTTCGTCGGAGGCCACGGTCTAGGCTGCCTGTGAGCCAGCTGGAATAGGAGCCTGGTGCTGGCGTAGCGGTGGTGGTGGGCGGCGCCGGCACAGTCCACAGCTGTAGTAGGAAATCGGCCAGGTCATGGAGAAGCCGATGTCGTTTGATCAGGGGTGTGGGAGAACTCCAGACAGCCAGCGGCTCGCCGCTGCTCCATTCTGAGTATGTGACGGCGCCATTTTCTGTGCAAAGTACGTCTGGGGCCTTGATGTTCGGGCGATGCTGTTTGATGTGCTGCAAGTAGTTTGGCGGCACGCAGCTCATCCGTCCAGTTGGCAGTGGCAGTGTCGTGGCATATCCGGGCCGCCCAAGTCACAGAGTCTTGAAAACCAATTTTAAACACCATGTGAGAGTAAGAATTCCCCAGGTCGTGCACGAACAGAACAAAGACGGTTGCATGTGATGGGCCTAACAACTAAAGAAAAGCACCAAGCGAAATCAGTACTTGGTTCGGCATCGAGACATTGAGACATCGAGACACGGCGCAGTGCGGGAGTGACATTGTAGGTACCGGTAACATTCACCCGGTCTTCTTTCGTACATAGCATCCATCACATGATGGATCAGCGTCGGCGCTGAGGCGTTTTGAATTGTTCACGCGCCGACGACTCAAAGGGGCAAAGCAGCAGCAGCGGTTAGTTAGTTCCCGCCCCCTCCAGGGCAGTACCTTATTCGCTGGACCTGGTAGTTCTTTTTGGTGTGTGGTGTGTGGTGTGTGTGGTGTGTGGTGTATGGTGTGTGTTGTATGGTGTATGGTGTATGGTGTATGGTGTGTGGTGTGTGCAGTATAAATAAGATGAAGAGGTTCTCTCTTATTATGATGGAAGAGCACTTTGTCGCCTTCTTTATTCGCATTTTCTGTCAATCCCCAGTGCAGCAGCGACATCGGCTACGATTTCCCTCGTATGCAAGCCACGGGGAGCCGCCCGCTATTATTACCAGTACAGCAGCGCATGACCTCGCGTGGACCAGCCCCGGCCTTGCGAGACAAACGCAAACCACTCACAACCACCAAATCACAACCGCCAATTGCTAGTATTACCAGCATCATCCCGCACAGGCTCTCCCGCATTACTGTATGCAAGGCCAAAGCCAGGCAGCCCTTTCGGATGCCCAACGACAACCGAAAAGCGGGCTCACCATGTTTGATCACCACATCTGCCCGCACCGCCAGCGCCAGCCTGGGGGGGCTTTGCTGCAACGTGCTCACCTGCCCCTCCCCGACTCGAGCCTACCTATTGGTTGGCTGGCATCGCCACAAAACTCCAGACTGAGTACGAATAACGAGGGGAAAGGGGGACGGACAAAAAAAAATAAAAATAAAAAAAAGGTGGTGTGAGGTCAATATCAGTGGCGCAGACCCTTGCAGTCGGAACAGGCTGTCACTCGCAAACTCGAAAAAGAGAAAGAAGGGCTTCCTCCGCTCGCCGCATCTCGCAAAGCTACATAGCTGCGAATTGACCAACAAGACGAACCGAACAACAACAATACATACTTGCTTGGTCATAGCTCTCTCTCTTTCTCTCTCTCTCTCTCTCTCTCTTTTCTGGAGGTGAGCTATTAACAGGCCAAAGACGAATTGGAGAATCCAACTGCCAACACCACCCAACACTATTACCGCCTGCAGCCTTTCTTTCTTTATAACTTCTTTCAGCCGAGCCACCCACAACACCGTCCCATATCGCTTACCGGTTTCTTTCATCATCTCTCCCATACATAACTTGCCACTTACCGCCTATCCTTTTTCTCCGTCTGTTCGTCAAGCTACTGCATCACATCCCGGTCCCATCCCAGACCCCAGGCACGCACCTACGCCTAACTATCTACCTAATATTTCTCCTGCCCTAACGTTAACTACTACCAATCCCGTCCCCCACGCCGCCGCATCTGCATCATCGGCTTCCCGCGGCCAGCACACCTTACCCACTCGGACGGCTAGTTATTAACTAGTTGGTCACTTCACTCCGTATTCAGCGCGCTGGCTTTGTTGTCCACTGTTCTCTCTGCTTGGCGTCAACCTGCCTCCTGCTGCTCACCGCCGACTTGCGCAGGTCCACTTCAGTTGAGCCCATCCCCATCCCAACGACCACCAACCCTTGTCTACCCGTGGGCGAACCCGGCACAAGGATACCTTGGGCTGCAGCTTGACGCTGTATTTATTGTTATCCGAATAATAATAATACGCGCCCACCCGCCTGGTCTTTGTTGTGGTTTTTGGCCCTGGGAACCACCTCAACCTCCTATTACTCACCTTGATACCCGCCCCCCAATAATCCCGGGTCATTATACCTCTCTTCCCCGTTGCTGAGGCAGGGCCGTTTCGTTTTGATCCTGGAACGTCGGGGGTGTACAGACCGCTTTGCAAAACCCAGTCCTTCTCGCTCGTCATCTCGCTTCAATAGGTCAGGGCTTCCTGCTGTCATTGGTTCACGACATAACATCCCCCCCTGCACCGACAGGCATTCACTCGAAATTGTTCTAATCATATCCGCCATTTCAAAACATCCTTATTGTATATATACAACACCTCCCTACGCTCTCACTCTCGCCCACGATCGCCATTTTCTTCCTTGCTTCCTTTCTTCCCACCTTGGACCCCCCTCGCCACAACACTACGCCCTACGCCGCAAACAAGCTTGTACGCCCTTCGTCATATATACGACATACCACCCACACAGTGTGCCGCCATGAACCGTCAACATTGCGCCAGCCCGGCCCTCTCGGACACCACATACTACAGCTTCAACGATATCGAGCTCGTCGAGCCGCCGGAACCCCGCACAGAGTCCGACTGCTACGCGCAGCAACGACAGCAGCACAAGCGAGACTTTGACCCCTTCGAAGCTTCAATCATGCAGCGGCAAGACTCGGGCTACGAGTCCTACGAGCCCCCTTCCCCGCGAACCTTCACGTCCAACGGCTGCCGGCCCTCGGGCAGCGTGACGCGGCGAAACTCGTCCGCCTCCAACCCGCCGCGTCTGCGATCATCGCGGCCCTCTACGCGGCGATCTGCCCGCTCGTATAACACGTACTCGAGCGGCAACGGCAACGGCATCGGCATCGGCATCCAGCAGCAACAACCACCGTACAAGGTCCGGTCGTACGCGCAGTCACAGCCCGTCGGCTACGTGCAGTTCCCGGAGCCCGATCTCGTCGAGCTGGCCGAGCCTGAGGGGGCGGCCGCTGTGGCGCCGTCGCCGCCATCACCGCCGCCGCAGACGACGCACTACTGGACGAGCGACAGCACCCGCCGTCTCGAGTACGCTGCGATAGACGCGGCCGGCCGCGGCGTCAAGGGCTGGGTCCGCAAGCACCTGGTCCCCGACTGCCTAGTGCCCGATCAGAAGCACCTGTCGTTTGACGATGACACCGGCAGCGTCCGCCGGTACCGGCTGCACCTCGAGGACGACCTCCACGGGGAGAAGCATCGTCGAGGGGAGGACCAGGCGACGCGCCGAAAGAGCTGGCGCTTCTGGCGCGAGTAAACCGATAATTTCGGTGAAACGGGGTTCATCTTCTCTTCTTCGGGGCTTGACGTTTAGCGCACGGTTTTAATGAGTGTTTGGTGATTTTCTTTTACTTTCCTTTGTTTTTTGATCTCACATTTTCAACAGCGGTTGGCATATTCGGCGTTTTATACCCTTGTTTGGCATTTGCACAGCATGGCCAACAACCATCACAGAGAATGAAGGCATGTCGCATATTTTGGCTACACATCAAAGAAATTGGATACGACTTGAACGGCATTATCACAAGACTAGCATATTCTAGCATATTGCATCATGAAAACTACGACAACTATATTTTGTCTAGATGCAAAACATATAAAAAACGCATACCCGAAAAGCACAAGTACGTTACAGGTGATTTCACCAATCTAAACATGATACTTGGACGCATTGTTATGAGCACCTCGAGGGCTCCGCCCTGCCTTCACGGTGGGTTCATGGAGACATCCTCCACGGCAACTGAAAAGTGACAGCATGCATGTCTTACAGTGAAGAGCATCGAGGGCCTAAGTGTCTGAGCCATAGGATGCGGAGAGGCTCATCCCCGCGGGGATCCTCGAGGAAAATGGCCTCGCCAAACCCGATTTCACCGCCCCAATAAATAGCGTGTGAGAAGGCGTCGTGGCGCCCAAGGCTGGGAGGGACGGGTACCCGGTGAGCAAGGCTTTCGTCCCGATTAACGGAGCTCCATCGGGAAGCTATCGGAGCAATAGCCCGGCTCCGCCCCACTTTCTCGGCGCCGGAGGATTGGTCTGCAGCCAGCTCGTAAAGCCTATAAGACCATGAGGAATTAGGGGCATGTCGGCACCGTTCATGGCGCCTCGCGGGCAAATGAATCGTCAACTATCTGTGGCTCCTATGCTATTGAACGACTGACATGGGAAAATGGTATGTCTACAAGCCGGGTTCCTATTTGGCAACACGGTTGCCAGCCAAACACTGGCCTGGTGTCGTCGGTTTTTTTTTTTTTTTTTCGCCCTCTGTGTGAAGTTGGCCGCTCTATTTTACATATCTTTTAATTAATTTCACTCACTCTCCCGGAATGATTGGTAGCATTTTTGTGCTGCATCGCAGCTTGGGAAGTTGCTGTCCGGACGGTTGGAGGTTGGATATGAGCCTGAGGAAACGTTGCGCACTCAGCAGCTGGGAGCTGTCATTTCTAATATGAAAAAAAAAATACATTAAAGGTAGTTACAAAATAGTATCAATCATCTTCTTGGGTTTTTTTGTTTTTAAGCAGACATCGTGAATATATCGTTCAGCTCGTCCTTGGGCAGCGGCCATCACCCAAAGTTGCTGACATAATAATGCGCCCCTGGTTGACATCGGCGCGCTAGAGCCTCCTTACACGTCTCCCCCACGAGAGCTCGAGCTTTGGTGATCCCTCCCCGTCACCAGATTAACTACTTTTTAATCATTTCTTTTTCTCCTCAAGCAGCCAACTACAGTCCTTCATTACCTCAATCATGACGCGCGCACAGCAAACCATCTCCCTCGCCCTCCTGGTCTCTTCCGTACGTTTTTTTTTCTCTCTCTCCCGCGCAAAACACACGACAGCAACGCCCACCCCTCGCTTGCGCACGATCCTCCTCTCCCGTCGTTCTGCCACGCTGGCAATTATACTGACTGACCTCTTCTTCGAATAGCTTTACCTCGCCCTCTACCTCGAGCTGATCCCTCTGCCCGCCCTAGTCCAGGAGCAAATCGTCCCCGTCGTAAGCCCCCCCCCCAAAGCCGGTTTCCCAGTCGCAGGATTGAAAAGAGACTGACCGAGCGCGCGTGCACACACAGCTACCCTTCTGGGCTCTCGTCTCCTTCGGCGCGCTTCTCCTCTTCCGTCTCGGCTTCGGCGTGCTCACCTTCAATGACGTGCCCGAGGCGCACAAGGAGCTAATGCAGGAGATTGGCCAGGCCAAGGTCGACCTCCGCAAGCTCGGCGTCGACGTCGACTAAATACAATCGCCATCCTTTTTGCCACCTTCACCCATTATGGGACAGCAAGCGAACACGCCGACGAAGCACTGCAAATGCAACATGTAAAAATAAAAGGGGGGGTGGGGGATTTCGAGAGCAATGGAGAGATCAGGCCCGGCCGGGACCCGTGAAAGAGCTGGCCGCGACTACAAGAGCTAGTCACATGGCACCTAATGATGGGAAGGATTATGCAGTGGAAGGGGAAAGCTTGTGCGCTTTCGGCGAAGAGTGATGGTGTCGAAAAGACTCGCCCTTGAATTACTATATTGGGCTGGCCCGTTCCATTAACCAAGAGAAGAAGCCCAACCTAGCTGAGCGGTGATGGACCCAATAGGAAAATACGAAAAATGCGAAAAAGCCCAAACAGATGTACATGCGCCTGCCGTTCATGTCATTTCCTCATGTGTATGCATCCCATTATAAAGGCGTCGTATTTAAACAGCGGCGTCGACCAGCAAGGCTGCGATCTTGCGCGCGGCGACGTCAATATCTTCGCTCCCGCGCACCAGATCCTGGAACAGGCCGCCCAGCTTGCCCAAGCTGCCGCGGCGATCGGCTCTCCTCCCTGTAGATATGCAGTCAGCACAACATTCATGGCGACAAAGAGAGGAAACACGACTTACACTTTCCAGGTACGCCCTCCAACACTGCGAGCTTGCTCTCCGCCTCGCCCGTCCAGTCGAAGAAAATCTTCCACTCCAGCCGTATATGCGCATTGTCCCGCTTACTGCCCCCGGACTCTATGGGTATGTCGTATGCCTGCTTGCCCATGAGGTACCGCAGGTCGGAGCCGCCCAGTACGACGGCCTCTCGCGGCGGCGGCGCCACCTTCTCGCTCGTCTGCTCGGCCTGCCTCCGCATCGCCGCCGCCGCCTGCGCCGGCCCGCCCTTGGCGAGGACCTCGGCGTCGAGCCGCGCCCACGCCTCCGCGCGCTCGACGGCCGCGCGCCGCCACTCGGCCATGGCCCAGAAGAGCATGCCCACATTGCGCTGCATGCTCCTGTTGCACGGGCCGCCGCCGCAGACGGTGTCGACGAACGACCGAAGCTCGGAAGCCGCGGAGGGCTCGAGCGACAGCACGCGCAGCTCGAGGATGGCGAGCGTCATGGGATTGACGATGAGCTCGACGCGCGCCTGAAACAGCCGCTCCCTGTCCCGCAGCGTGAGTATGCGCCGCTGGCGGAATGGGTGCTCGCGCGTGGCAGGCAGCGCGGCGACGCTCGACGTCACGTCGAAGGGGCTAAACACCTTCAGGTAGGCGAGCTCCTCCTCTGCTGACATCTCTATGGGGTGGTGCGACGCAATGTCCCTGCCGTCTTCCGTGTCCGGCACCAGCGTGGCCACGGGTTTGCTAAAGGGCAACAGGCCGATGGGGTTCAGCGCCGCCATCATGAGCTGCTGTGACTGCGGCGCCGGCGCCAGCGAGTCCGCGGGTATCAGCGACCGCCGCAGGAGATCGAGGATCTTATCCTTGTTTCCCGGCGCGGTGTAGCGCCCCGTGTTCTGTGTGCTGAGCAGCCGTGCGTTCTCCTGCGTCGCCATCTCCAGGTCCCTCTGCAGTTGCGCAAGCTCGTCGCGCAGCGCATTCCTCTCCTTGACCTTATCAGGGTCCAGCAGAGAGACGTTTCGCGCAGGGTCGGGACGTGCCGTGTCGCGCGGGCGTTCCTCGTCATCGGCGGCCCCTGCGGCAGGCGGGTTCGGTCGGCGTTGGAGTGCGTGGGGCGTCGGCACCGGGCTTGGCTGGTCCCCATGGTCGGGTCGCATCGGTGGCTGCTTGAGAGGTGAAGATTTTTGCTTTGCTCTTGTTCTCCAGCGTGACGGGCTGTTGTGTATGCCTCTGGACGGGGAGGATGTGACTGGGTCTGGTCTGGCTGGTGGCAGCTCCGGCTCGGGCGGGGGGGCGAGGCCAGTGACTTGGGCAGGGCGGGCTGTCCTGGGCACGAGTTCAACGGTGGGCTCTTCTAGTTCCTCTGAGCGCGTTGTTTCGGTTCGCGGCGCTGTGATCGTTCTCGTAGGCTTGATTTGTGGCGGCTGTTGTTGTTGCTGCTGTCCTGGTGGTGCAAGGATCCCTCCGCGGGCTTGACGAAGGGGAGCTGCCGTTTGTTGTTCGCGGGCTGAGGTTGTTTGAGCAGCCGTTTCAGCTTCTGCAGCTTCAGCCGCAGCTGCAGCTTCTCGGCGTTCTATTATTTGAGGGTTATGGCGCATCATGCTGGCTCTGGTTGGCGAGGCATACGATGGCCGGCGCCGTCGCGACCGTGGTGATGTGCGCTGTTCATGGCTGGGGCTCGACACGTCTGCGGCAGCGCTGGTTCGCCGTCGTTTTGGCGATCGCTCATCCATTTCAGTGGATGGTTAATGATGCGCGGATTTTTATAATACAGTTTCGATATTCGTCATTCCGGCTTGTATTTGTCGAAATCGCGTGTTGATGAAAGATAAACGGTCTTGACCAGTCGCGTCCTTGATGGCGCCAAACAAAAAAGTGGATATCCTCATGCTGCCCAAAGAGGAAAGTCTGTATTGATGGGAGAGTAGTGATTCTTCTGGGTATTTTAAACAGTTTTAAAAGAAGATAACAGAGTTTTAAATAATTGATTCAAGAGACATTTATTAGGCTGCTTCCTTTTCAAATGTCGCGGTATGCTTCCATCTTGCCCTGGACCACTAATTCATCAAGACTCTCTTTGTGTATTCTGGAACTGTCCAGATGTCACTTCCTATCAGTTGAATAAGTTTCCTTGCTCCCCAGAGCCTGCGATAGTACCACACGGCCGCCGCAGGACTCGACTTGTCTAGCGCTAGGTCGATGTCCCGATCAATCTTCTGTATACTGTGGTGAAATATTTCTGGCTTCTCGTCATACTTGGCTTCTAACGCTTTTGCAATGTCTTCGCCCGTGGGTGACAGTTCTGAAATGCCGATTTTTCTACCAGCAAGCTCGGAGACGGGCTTGGACGCGAACAAGGAAGCATATGCCTCCCGACATATTTTAGTGTGCTGCCCTTGTCAGTACTTTTGCTGTCTGTTGATACAAGAGGCTCAGTTGGCCTACCAGAGAGCAAATGCTGATGCTGGCTATCACCACCGAAAAAGAGCATATTTCTAGCATAATCAAGTCCCAGCAAGCTATTCAAAATTAATTAGTATAGTAAATAAACAAGTTTGAGATTTTGGAGGGTACTTGCGGCGTTCGGATCCATGATTCAACCAAGTAGCCGAGGCGCACCAGAGTCATCGCGATCCCAGCACTTTTTGTTGTTTCTTCCACCTCCCGCTTGAGCTTCAGTACAGAAATTTTCAAACCCTGTTCATCCATTTCATGCGACATGTCAGATGGCACAAACAGTTGAACGCGCGTCTTGGGAATGGCCCTGATGGGCCCATGCTGGCGTGCGATCCCTTCAGGTCCGACTAACGAGCTGGGTGATAATACTGAGCATCTGCTAAGTGATCGTTTCCAAGGTAGTATAAAACCTACATGACAATATCAATGTCTTTGAGCGAGTCTATTACAAAGGTTTCATTGTCCATATCAATACTACTCGTTGCAACATTTGTCAGTAGCATGCTAATGTCGGAAGACCGTTGGTGCACTACTGTAATATGCGCCCCAGAGTTGGCGAGAGCCCCGACGATGGCGGTGCTGGCTCAGCCGCGGTGGCCATAGACTGCGATCCGATTGAAAGTCATGGTGAGATGAAGGAGGATAGTCACCATTACTATTAATTTGATTGCTTGAAGACATAGCAGGCTCGGCTAGGTCAGTGCATCACGTCGCTCCTCTCGGGTGCATCCAGATAATATCATATGTCAATGTGCAAGCAAGCAAACCAGCCACTCAATACTTGCAGGATATTATTTTTATGCAATTTTTTTTCGTTTGACTCAAACCACTTTCAACAAGTTAAAAGCACAGGATCAAGTTCACTCTCTGCAGCCTAGATACACCCTGCACAAGGGTCTAAGCTAACAACTCTTTGTATACTGTGGTCGTTTCGCCCCCCACGCACTAGCAAACTTGTACTCTGACATCATCCCGATCACAGCCGAGCATAGAGCAAACCTCGTTTTCTTCGTCCTCTTCGCGCCCGGCCGGACAAGAAGCCCGCAATATTCGTGGCCGAAGCACAATCCTTCCCTTGGTCATGTCGGCGCCTTCCAGATTGGCGCCGAGAGCGTGCCGACTTTGTCGCTCATCGCCCACCTTCCGGCGAGCATTTGCCTCGGCCACAACGAGGATAACAACCACGACCACGACGACACCATCGCCGACCAAGACCGACCCGTGGCCGCAGTGCCAACCACGCGGCGAATACTACGACATCCTCCTCCGAGATCCCACGCCCTACGGCGCCGCCGCCACCGCGCGGACGGCCGAAGAAGTTCCCACCTCCTCCTCCGCCGCCCCGACGCTCTCGGAAGCAGCAGTGCCCACCACCAGTGGCGGCCGCCCGGCCAAGACGTACGAGACGATCGCGTCGCGCACCGCCTACTCCGGCTCCTCCCCCTCCGATGCCGCGGAGCGCGCACGCGTCATCTTCGGCTCGCGGCTGCTCGGCCCCGCGGAGCGCGCCGACCGGGCGGCCGGGCGTCTAGCGCGGGCGACGACGGTCGGCGGCGTGCGCGTGCCCCCGCGGCCGGAGGAGCCGGACAACTGCTGCATGAGCGGGTGCGTCAACTGCGTGTGGGACCTGTTCCGCGAGGAGATGGAGGAGTGGACGCTGGCGTCCAACGCGGCCAAGGCCCGCCTCGCGGAGAGCGCCGTCGCGGGTGGCAGCGGCGGTCCTCTTCCTGATGATGCTGCTTCTCCTTCAACGGTGGCTTCGGCGCCGGCTGGCGTGGCGGTGGGGGATGCCAAGATTGCAAAGGACCTCTGGACCGACGACGTCTTCCAGCATGTTCCCGTGGGCATCCGCGAGTTCATGAAGCAGGAGAAGAGGCTCAAGGAGAAGCACCAGCGCGAAGGGACAAGTGGGGGATGAGACATGGTTGAAGCGGGAGCGGTTCAATTATTTAGAGGTATATACTTGACTGGAGCATACATTGGCGTTTTCTGGGCTGGCAAGATTTCACATTTCAGCGTTAGATGGAGACGACACATTGATACATGGCCGAGGCAGACATGCCGGATAGCTACATAGACAAGTGGGCAGTCGAGAGACACGCCCCGTTCGTTGCCTGTGGAATAGAATTGACCTGAGATACAAAATGCAGATGATGTCTGACTGTCTGTCAAAGTAATCCATCTCCTTGGGTATCGATCGACTGACCGCTCAACATCACCCCTTCTTGGTCAACTTTCGCTCCGCCAACATGCCGAAGCAAACTCCCCTCCTTCTCACCGGCGCCCCTTCGGAAATGATGACTTCCGCCGTGCACTCCCCCCTCGTTCGGCGATGGGGCTGCCCATCGCCGAATCTGCAACACGCCGTGCTACATTGACCGCAAACGACGTTGCCGAAAACGCACAGCGCCGCCCATGAAACGCATGGCCTACACCCCTCCTCGCACAGCAAACGATCACAGGCCCTTCATTGTCGCAGATGTCCCCTTGTCCGCTGTGCGACGCTGTTTTCTGCTGTCTGACTGGTGGCTGGAAGCGAGCGGACATCTTCCGGGGCGTTGCCTCGGCAAAGGCTGCGTAACGAGATGACATGTGCTGTATCACGACGAGCCAAGATAAACGGACATGAAAACTCATGAAGCTATATTTGGATTCTATTTCGAGGCGAAGAAGAAGAGATCAAAGAGGCTAGACTGCTCCAGATGATCCTACCCCCTGCAAAGCCCAGCTCCTCGCATTTATATTATTCTTCTCGTAAATCTTTTGTTTCGATGTCTTAGGTATCGTAGATCGTATTACCCGTACCGTCATTTGTCTATTTCGATTATCATTTCGTAACTTTTGCATCCGCTCAGGAGGACATGGCACTTTAGCGTAACAAGACAGCGCACACACACGCACGCGTCTACTTGCGACCAGCCTCCGAGTTTCGGTCGTGCTCTTCAATATCCATGGCCTCCCAGGGGTAGTTGATCCAGACGTCCGCCACCGTGCGGGCCGCATGATACCTGTTCGGCACCATGTCCGCCGGCAGGTTGCCCTTCTTGGCCTTGTCCTTGTTGTGCAAGACGAAAATGCTAAACTGCGTCTTGGGCTGGGCATCGCCGTCCGGCATGCGGCGGCGCGCCTCCTCGACGTCCTTTTCCAGCTCCTTGACCGCGTACTCGAGCGTGGTGCGCGTGTCGTCGACCTCGTCCACGATGAGGATGCGCTTGCCGACCAGGTTCTGCATGTGGCCGAGCGCGGTCATGTCCAGCCACTGGGTGCGCGTCACCTTGGTGCCGGGCGTCTCGACGTCCGGGTCCTCGCCGAGCTGCTCGTAGAGGGAGAGGCCGATGGCCTGGATCGGGATGTTGGGCGAGCCGGGCTGCTTGAGGAAGGAGCGCAGGATGCGCGCGGGGATGTAGCCGCCGCCGCCGATGGCGATCATGAGCTGCGGCTGGAAGTCGGCGAGAAGCCGCTCGGCGGATTCCTTGCACAGGTTGTGCACCTGCAAGAGGGTGGGTTAGCATGGGAGGGAGAGGGGGGGAGGGGGCGGAATAGGGTAGATGGCTGCAACACAAAAGAATATCGCATTGGTGATTTTATGCAATACCCAAGTTGCTCCGTCTTCAATGGGGAGCACTCACATCATTGTAAGTAACGTAGAGCTTTTCGACCATTTTGAATTGATGTTTGAGCTGTCGGGTAACGAAGGCGTCACTGGCGGGGTAGGTGGCGGTTGGAGAGGTGAGAAGTACAGAACGTGAAAAGAGCAGTGGTATCAGAGTACGAGTGCACTGAGGCTGTCTAGATGATATGGATATAGGCTGGTGGGAGCAAGATGCCCGAGAGAGGAGGAGAAGGAGAAGAAGAAGAAAGGAAAGGAAGAGAGAAACAAGTGAAGCCGCCTGGCCGTGAGAATTTTCTTATCAAACCTTTTTTTTTTTTTCGCGCCCACCACCGAGGTGCCCCGCGCTGCACCAAAATAGGCAGTCATGACCCCTCCGAGGCCACTCACTCTCCACTAGTTGCGGGTGCTGTCAAAAGAGCGGCTTGTCAGATTCGTGTGGTGTACTATTTAGTCTCTGGTTGTTGCTCGATACTAAAATATCAGGGTAATGAGTCAGGCGGGCAAATGCTGCAAGCGTGCTACAGCATTGCACATGTTCGCGGGCATATGCTTCCTCTAATAGGTAGCCTGCGAAACCGGAGCATGACCGAAACAGGGAAGATAAAAGATCAGCCGTAAACTTGCGATGTGGGTATTCAAGATGCCAGACCAAAAGTTCAAAAAACTCCTTTGCATACCTAGGCCGTATGCACCTGCACCTCACCTGCACTCATCTGCAGCCCTCCCTGCCCGGTGTAAATGAGATCCGTGATTCCTCGCTCGTAAACCACCACTCCAGCCGGCTGGGAAACTTGCAGCACGTCCATCCGTCCTCTGCATGGTCATGATACGCCTGACTGTGGCACTCGATCTCAACGCTGTCCCGCTCAACGCGTGTGCCGTGCCGCAGATACTTGGTCGTTTTGTAACAGAAGCACAATGGCCGCTCATACACTCGCACAGCATCGACCCCAATGCGGCACTGGCCGAGCGCCCTCGCCCCGCCATTCTTATACCCGACAACGACGCCGCGGCAGATGCGCAGTGCCTTGTCGTGATAGACTTCGACGTACACCACCTCGTCCAGTTCTGCATACGAAAAGTATGCGTGCTCAAACGGCGGTGACAGGTTCATCGGGTTCTGGTAAAATACCTCTTCCTCCTCCCCCTCCTCATTTCGAGGTGCCGTCCCCAGTGGATACACAGCGCCCATTCGGGATATGCCGTGAATCAGGGTAGTAGGATCATCCTCCATCCACAAATCCCTCCCGTCGTGCATATAAGGGCCTAGCACAACTTCTCCGGAAATCTTCATGTGAAGCTGTACACAATTCAGGTCGTGGTCCTGCACCGGCACTGTTACACAAAGGCCTACTTACCAGCAGGCTGCCTGCGAACGGGGGCAAGGTTGCGCCAGGAGGCAGCAGCGGAGTACGAAATCCGAACTTGTCGATCCCACCGTGTATCGGTACAAATATCCAAGCCACCCATTTCCTCTTGACAGGATTCAGTCGCAGGAAGCAAGAGTAAGCTGACGGCGCTTGCTCAGTGTGCGCATGGATTGCCGCGATCGTGCCGGACGATATGAAAAAGGTGATTCCAAAGGAATGTCGAGTTTCAATCGTGCCTAAACGTGGACATATTGGTTGAAGGTCTGGTGAAAACTGGTGGTCGGGTGGGACAGGCGGCCCAGGCGTGTCCCACGATCTTAGCTGCCGCATTCCCTTACTAGGCGGATAAAGCCGAGCGAGTCCAAGCTAATAAGTCGATTAGTTTGTAGCCTGTACAGCATGCTTTACGATGGTTCAAACCTGGAAAGATGTTGAGATTTCGCCGAGCTGCTGGACGCTATCGACTACGTAGGCGCACGCCTCGCTCCGCATCGCGCTTCTTGCTGGAATATCGACAAGCCGCTCAATCTCTTGAAGTCCGCGAGAGTCGATGGTGAGACGAAAGTAGGAGCCAGCATCAGGCGTTGCTATCTTGGGTGCAGAGCCTCGCTTCCAAGACGCTATTTGTGACAGTGTAGTTGTTGTTGAGGTTTTGTCATTAGCTTTGGCTATCAGCTTGCGAACAAATTCCCTGGCGAGAACATAGCGCCAAAAGACACTGTGTTGGAGATTTTCGCATATGGCCAGTAGTAATTCATAGGGGAGCATAGCCAGAGGTATTTGCCAGTGTGTGGCAGCATGCGCCATGGCAAAGTTGACGGCGTCTTCGTCCAACATGGTCACTGGGAGGGGCCAAAACCCACGCCACGGGTAACGGGCATGGGCGGCATGCCATAGATTGTATGCCGTGATGCGCTTATGTGTCGCTGTTTGCTCGAGAAACATCTGGAAGCAGTCCTGATGCACCGTAATACTTTCCAGCTCAGCAGCGCACTTAGTGCATTTGGGCAGCTGGCAAAAGGTCCAGGGGGTGTTGGGCTTTTGGTTGCAATAAATGGCGATGGGAAATAGCGAGGCATCGATCACTCGACACGTGGGGTGGAAGCGATCGCCGAGCACTGCATAGGGAGTTAGTAGAGGGGGAGAATTGCAGCCAGCGTTGAGACAGGCGGTGTTTAGGCGGAAGTTGCTCTGCTTACAGGCTATCATGGGCTCGCCAACGTCGAAGTAGCAGCCGCATAGGGAGCATTCCGGGTGGATTCGAACATGGCGATGGCCTTGCTTGTCGGGATTCAGTGATGTCACTCGCGCGGCGCTCATACTAATAGGCATGCCGGACAACTGCGAAGGCTACATGGGTGTCGATGGAAGGGGGATACAAAGCGACAGCAAATGGGCGATATAATGGGGATGGGTGATGGTGATATGATGGGTGATGGTGATATGATGGGTGATGTTAATGGAGATGTTGATGGTGATGGCAAACGGGGGGGGCTCGGAGACGGCGAGACTCAAAGGAGGAAGGAGATTTGTGTGGCATTGCAACAGCGCTTGATATCGCCGAAATGGCTTCGATTAGTGGGTAGCAATGAACTATGGGCGCGGCTGCCACAGATTGCCGGATTGCCAGATTGCCTGATTGCCAAGAATAGAAAATCTACTATTCAATTCGCTATTCATCTTTAACAACTCTTTTTAAAAATTGTGAGACACACTGCCAAGTCTGGAACTCTTTATTACCGCCGCAAAGCCGTGTCTTTTTTGCTTATGTAGGTGTCGGCCATAACCCGCCTCTTGGTATAACTCCCCTGCATCATGGCTGTGTTTGTCCGTAGACTGCTTCGTTCCTGCCTGCTCTGCCTCGCATGTCTCAAGGTTCTGAAATTGTTCTTCTTTTTCGTGTTCTTCACACTCTGTTTTAGGCCTCTTTTTTTACCTTTTTCAATTTGTTCCTGACTACGAAGCATAACCGTATGCAAAAGCTACTAGCCAGCGTTAAGGCGCGCGCCAGCTAAAAGAAGCGCCTCCATCGCCAACTTGGACGTATTTTACATTGGACAACGTTTCTAAACAGTAATTTCTTGAACTCTATTAAAGGACAAGCACTTAGAACTGAACACATTTAGCCAATCCCCTATGCCTATACTTCAACGTCGCCCCAGTCTCAGCTATTCCTATTACTTTATACTTTGACGGCGGCGCCAACATGCCCCGAACCCAACATCCCGAACCCAGTCTTCACGGCGCGCTCCATTGCTCTTCAATGGACAGTATATATTCAAGACCTTCTCCTCAGATGCCCAGATTTGAATCTTCTCTTCGGAATCCATTCCGAACATCACTCTCTGATCGCCTTCTGACTTCCCAACTCATTATTTACGTATCACTCCCCAACTCATTATTTACCATCACTCCCCAACCCAACAAAGCTTCTTAGGCAGGCAACCATCGTCTTAACTGACCCAATGGCTATGCTGCCTGTGACCACTTTCCGCAGAACCCCGAGCGGGTATCGCGCCAGGGTCTTTACGAAGCGACCCTTGAACTGCATCGAGATCTTCGATTGTGACGGCATTGCTCTTCGCATTGGCTCGAACCCTTCTATGCCCGGCCCTGAAATTCAGACGGAACTTGATAGACTCTCTAATATTCGATATCATGTCTTCAATCGTCCCTCAACCAGTGACCGCGTTATTGGTCCAATTGACGAGGTCCTCAAGCAATACTATATCTCGGTCTTCACCGCTGTCGACCGAGTCCGGATCAACCTTCGCCAGCAGCTTGACGAGATCGACGCCACCATTGGTGCCCAGCTTGGCAACGTTGCGACCACTCTCCCCTGGTGCCTGTCCCCCGTCCGCCGCAAGGCCAAGCAATGTGCCAAGGCCATCAAGGCTCGTCTCAGGGCCCAGGCCACCGAACTGGCCGAGGCCCGCAAGCAGTTTCTCTTGGAGGCCATGGAAGACATGTACCGCCAACTGACGGTGAACGCCTTCTTCAGAAGCAGCCTCTCCCGCGAGACGCTGCCCTACACCCACAACGGCGTCTTGCAGGGCTGCTGGGACTCTGGCCCCATCATGCCCTCCGACGTGGCGAGAAAAACCGGCGACGCTGACGCCTTCTACCACATCCGGGTCAGCTGGATCTCAGCCCCCGGTGCCACCAGGTACCCGACCTTCCTCTGGATCGAGCGCCAGACGGACGGGTCGTTCCCACAGGGATACGTGAACTGGGTACCGTATCGGCCAGGCAAGGATGATGACTACGACCTCGAGCAAGGCGAGAGTGGGGAGTACTTCATCACCCACAGCCGCAAGATCTCGGTCGACGTTCGAGTCCGCTGTCACTTTGTCAAGAACGTCGTGGCAAGGGAGCGCGTCGTTCGAGAGCGCCTGGAGCTGCTGGAAGAAGGCTACGTGCGCGTGCTGCCCTTTTGGAGGTCCGCATTATATAAACCTGGTGACTTCTTGAAAGATTTTGAGAATGCCCACCAAACCTTGCTTCACCCTTTCTCTTGGTGAAGCCTGGGCCTTGCGCTGGCCAACACACCAGCACCTTAACCATAACCATAACCATAAACTTAAAATAAACCGGGTAATTTTACCCAAACAACCATGCAAGAACCCTGTATATTATCCTATGTCGTCTATGTTTACGGAAAAGAAAAAGAACCCAAAAAATGAGGAGGCTTTGGTGGAGGACGCAGAGGTGGTGAAGTTTTTTATTAGGCCTTTTGTACTGGATCATTGTACGAGGACTGTGCGATGCTGCACAACGCTGTTACAAATCACCAGATTGGGTCCAGCACTTGGATTTCTTTCTCTTATTTTTGTATTGATTGGGGGGTTTTTTATTAAAAAGAATAGAAAAATAAAATAAAAATAAAAACAGTTGCTAATATTAGGCCCTCAAAAATGTCTCTTGTGACTGTATCACGATGTGAAAACTGCCTTATAATTCTTGCCACTTTTCAGACACCACTCTCACTGACTCTCTATCGAAGCTGGCATGAGCCTCCCTGTGCAACTTCCCGAGTCCCACGAAATTCCGCTGAAGAAAGCCACTTGAGTTTTCGTTTTTTGGGTAGCTCCTGACTATCTCCCAGGTGCGCATAATTATTAAAAACGTCGACTTAGCTATTAGTTTACAGATGGCCGTTCAGTGCTGACAACACCAATAAGCCCAATATTCACAATCGGGTTTTCGGCATGGCAAACGGTCCATTCCATTTATCCTTCAACGTCGATCCATTCCAAATACCCGGTACCTTTCACCGACCGCTCTCCCCATATACACTGAAACGTGTAGGCGCTCACGTATCCCTGTCCATGCCCGTATCGAAACGGCGCATCAACATCCGCCTCCAGCCTCACGACTTTGGCTCCCTCGTCATCATCCACCGTCCACCGCATTCTCTTCGGGACCCTCATACTGCGCCCCCGGTCATCCACCAGCCGCTTGTCCGCGTACTCCAAGATCTCGAGCTCCGTCCTCGGAAAGACCCGCGCCGCGCCCCCGTCCAGCGTCCGCAGGTGCGCCAGCAGGCACAGCGTCGCGCCCGCGCCGGTGACCTTGGTCAGCAGCAGCTGCGTCCGCTCGTCCAGGTTGACGATCTGGTAGGTGAAGAAGGTGACGGGCAGCTTGAGCGACGGCGACAGCGGCCGCCGCGCGAGCACCTGTGGCGTGATGCACCGCGCATACTCGACGGTGCACATGCCGGAGATGCGTGTCGTGCCGCGGACGTCCTTGACGGTACCGTCGTACGTAGCGAGCACGCTAAAGTGGTCGTAGATGGGCATCTTGGTAAAGTACGAGACCTGGTCCGTCGTGCGGATCGCCAGATCGACGCTCATGTGACCGAAGCGCCCCGCGACCTTGTATTCTGGGTACGCGCACTCCAGCACCAGGTCCTCGGCACCCCATGTGAGACGCGATCCGTCGGCGCGAAAGTCGCAGCCGGAGACGGCGTCGTACGCCTCGTAGTGGTGGTGCTCGCCGTAGGCCGTCGCGGAGAGCACGGTGGCCGTGTGGCGCGCGTCCGCGGCGGCGAGGTAGTCGTTGTCGAAGCAGGCGGTGCCGGTGGCGCCGATGAAGGTCATGAGGTTGAGGAAGCGGTAGGGCTCGGGAAGGCCCGGGAGAAAGATGCCGTAGTGCGTCCAGCCCCACCACCGGGAGTCCCGGTGCGGGAGCATCTCGGAGTGCTGGGCAAAGGGCACGGTAGATGCGGGGATGCGGCTGTCTAGGTACGGGGCGACGTAGTTGGCGGCAAGCCGGGAGGCTGCGCTCACGAGGATGTTGGGTCCAGGCCGAGATGGAGCGTCATTACCGGCGGTGGAAGACATGATTACAGAATGGGGATGTGTGGTTGGTTATTGTAAGTGGAGGTTTTGGTGAAAAAGGACTGATGGTGAATTGTAATGCGCGTCGAAACTGGCATGTGGAAGCCGGTTATGTAGATTAAACATAACGCATTAACATAACGTATGTGGATTTTCAGATGTAAATACATACATACATACATATCCGTATATAGATTGCATCGGACCACTCAACCGTCCAACGGCCCCGCGGCCCGACCACATGGCCCGCCTTGACAGTGACCAACACATCGAGATTACGCAGTGCATCCATCGTGCCGAAAAACTTCACGCCCATTCCATCTTGACCTTGACCCCGTGTCTACAAGTCGTTGCCAGGGCAAAAAGCTCTTCCCAGTCGCGACTCTCCCGCGACTCCACGGCCCGAAAGGTCTGCGCCATGCGCGCCACCAGGTACTGCGTCTCCAGCAGCGCAACTTGCTCTATTTTACACACGTGTTGGTCAGTATTGAACCCCATCCATTCACTTGGCGCTCTTTTGTTTTTTAAACTCACGACCGAGGCAGATGCGCGGCCCGCCGTTGAACGGCAGATATCCCCAGCCGGGACGCAGGCCGCCTGCCCACCGCTCGGGCCGGAACTCGTCCGCGTCGGCGCCAAAGACGGCCCGGTCCCGGTGCATCGCAAAGACGTTGTAGACGACCAACGTGCCTTTCCTGACCTTCAGCGGCGCCTCGCCGTCTTCGCCGCCGCCAACCGGCAGCGTCGTGTCGCGCGTGGCCTCGCGCGCGTTGGTGGGTATCACAGGGTGCAGGCGCAGTGCTACTCTCCTTTGTCAGCGCATTCTCTCCTTTGTTTTTTTTTTTTGATGTGTGGTCGCACAAAACACTTACACTCTTGAATGCACCAGCGAAGGTACTCCATCTGCTTCAGCTGCTCTGGCGAGGGTGGCGTGGCGGCTTCGTCGCCGCAGACGGACAGCACCTCCGCTCTCACCCTCTCGTACGCGGCGGGGTTTCTAGCCAGCATGAAGAAAAGGTTGCAGAGCAGGCTGGCCGTGGTGTCGCGGCTGGCGACCAGAAGGTGCAGCATCTGGTCGCGCAGGAACTTTCGGTCCGGCGTCACCCCGGCCAGCTTGGTCAGCACGTTGTGCTCCGATAGTGACGATTTGTTCGGTTCGCTGGCGCTCTGCTGCAGGGCAGCGTCGATAAAGTCGTCCATGTACTTGAAGACGCGCTTCTTGGCCTTGTCCACGGCGCGGTTGAGGCGGAAGACTTGCAGAGGGCCGAGACACATCTTCTTGATGACTTCTTCCGAGCAGGTAGTGTAGTCCTCGAAGAACTGCCACTCCTTGTCGTGTGACCTTGTCTCGTCCAACATGTGGGAGGACTTGGACGTCAGGAACTCAGTGGCAAAGTCCATGGTCAGGGCAAAGTACAGGGGCTGCAAGTCCACCTCCTCTCCTTTCTGCGGGACGTGACGGAGAAAGCTTCGGAAGTGGCTTTCCAGCATTGTAGTGACGGCGGACTTGTCTCTGTTGGCAAAGCAGGGCCGCAGCAGCGTCCTCGCGTGTGACCAAGAGACACCGTTGACGCTGAAGATGCCGGTTCCCAGAAGCGTAGAGATGGCATCGAGACGCATCTTGGGCAGCTCAAAGTCAGAAAACGACGTGGCAAGTACGCTCTTGATGTTCCTGCTGTCGCTGGTAAAAATGGTTTGCCAGACGCAGCTCTTCATGGAGTAGGTCGAGCCAAACTGCTTGAACAGTCTGCACGTGGAGGCGAGGTAGTCTTCGTCGCTCTTGCCGAAGATGATGTTGTAGATGAACTCAAAGCCAAAGAATTTATTTTTGACCGGGCCATCGGGGAGCGTAGTAGTCTGACACTGTTGACTCCGTCTTACACTAGAGTACCGCAAGAGCAGCGAGTAGACATAGTGAAGCACAACTGGCACAATCAGCAGAGCGGAAGTGGAAACGGCAAACTCCATATTATCGGTGTAAAATAGACTTTGAATATACGTAGATGAGACTGAATATACTTGTGAATTGAAATTACTTTAATATGGAATTTACAACTTCCCAAGAGATCCTCCCGGCGCATAATATATACCACCTCCCGTAGCCTTCCTCGCCCTTCTACTCGATCCCAGCGTTTTCCGCTGTTGGCACCAATCAGCAGGCCTCTTGCACCGCCTCACAGCTTTTACGAAGATCTAGGCCCGATCCTGTGTCTTGTTCACCATGACAGAATTCCCAAAAATGTGACGGACGAATCATCGGCCCTTGACCTCCCCCTTCCCTCCATGATCCATGGCCCCGGTGCATATATTGCCTCACGAGCTGGGGTAAAACATGCGGAAGTAGCGGAGGATCTTTGCATCTGTCACGTTCTACAGGACAGCCTTCCCGGGCCCAGCAATCTGGGCGTGCGTCCGATCATGTGGGCTCGGGGTTGCCTGGTGGCAGGGGCTTGACCTCAGATCCGGTTTCTTCACCATTGGGTACCTCCCCGGTGGCAACCGAGGATCTGGTTCGTGCATCTCTCGGGGTGTATTACGCTCCCATGACGATATCAGCGGCCCCTTGTTGTTTCCTGTGCATGATCCTGGAAGGGCGCCGAGCTGGGGCCGTGCTCACGGCGTCGATCGGTGTTCTTCTCCAGCTGGGCAGCCTGCGAGGCACTAGAGCAAAGATAGGCTCCGCATCTCACAACTCTATTGACTTTTCTGTTTCAAGTTGATGAAGAAAAAGTTCCTTGTACCGTGATGAATAGTTGCTTTTTACGGGAGACGGCGACGGGCTGGGGCCGGGTCATGCTTGCTAGTCTCAGGTCATACTATATGCTTCATACCGCTTCCTGAAGATACTAGTAGAGCCTTTCCATCTTGCTATGATCCCTGCATCCGTCTGTAATCCGGTCCCAGGACGCTGGGCTGACATGGCCAATATCCTCTCGTATCGCCTGTGGAGCCGAGCCGTGGTCGGTTAAGCACAGTGCTCCAGGACCATGGCCCTGGGTCACTGTTCGACCTGACCAGTCAGACCTTGCTTGTACGTGATAGTGAGACCATTTTCTGCTACTATTGTCTCTCTAACTGGCTCAAACCATTACCAGTGGAGTCTAGATGCAAGTCCGTATAAGATTTAGGTCTTGCCTGGCGCCGCCACTCTCATTCATGGAGAGGCGGCGGCAAGGCTCGTAGGGAAGACTCGTACTGAGTGCTCGAGCTCAAGTCTTGCCCAATTCTTCCGCTCTTGTGTGTCTCGCTCACAGTCGTAGCACTAGATAGAGTAGCTACCCGCATAAGACAAGCTGGAGCATGGTCCTACGCGCAGCAGTGGTTTGGACTCGCCTCCACGCCCCATCGATCTCGCTGGTTACCATCGAATCGGCCCCTTGGTTTCCTAATAGAGATTTCCGTATCACCTTGCTCTCTCACCGAGGTGGCACAATCTGTGACAAATATAGTGTTGGCCATGTGTGTTGTACCGTTGGCCGTTTCACACGATCCAGGTATAGGCTCACGGTACTCCTGTACCATCTCAGGTAATGAACTGAAGGGGCCGTCTAGGTTCAGGAATCATTTTAGACTGCTAGGTTATCCTATTAAGATACTATTCTCTTCATCCTTCCTCCGCCATCTAATTTACCATCGTTCATCCCATTAACACATCCACCACTGCACTCTGTTAGTCCCCGAAATTTCTCATCTTTCAACCTGACTTTTTTCAAAGATTTCAAAGAAATTCCTACTTTTCGATCCAACTCTTTTCAACAGTTAACACATGTCTGACACTGAATTCCGTGCACCGACACCGAACTCGTCCAGCGTGAGGGCAGACCCAGCTGAAATTCATGGAGGTGTTCCCACCGGGTTCGGTCAGCTTCTATGGCACATGTTCCTCGCCACGGCTACAAACTATCCAACTAGGGATGCTATTGTAGCTGTAACGGAAGATACTGGTGCCTCATCCTCTGGCCCTGAAGCATCCACTCAGCGATGGAGCTATCAAGGGCTCCTAGCTAAAGTCGATGCAGCTGCTCATCGGCTTGGCCACCTCGGCTATGGTGGCACAGGCAACACTCTGGTCGTCATCACCAGAAACGTCGCGGAATGGGGGCTGCTTTTCTGGGTCGCGGCGAAGCTCGGCATGACATTCATTCCCTTGGATCCAGGGGCCAAAGGTGATCTCGGGCTGTTGTTGTCAGCCTCAGCTCCCCAAGTGCTTGTTGTCGAGGACGACGAGATGGCTCGGACAGTTGAGGACTGGGCTGCAGAGAGCAAGGCCACCGTCCAAGCCAAGATCACCATCGCGGATACTACCAGAGATGGCTGGCTGTCACTTTCACATATTGAATCCGAAGCGCACAAGCTGTGTCAGATGAACTGCCAATTTGACTTCCTCCGAGCCGGCGGCACTGGCAGCAGCGCCCTCATCATCTTCACGAGCGGCACGACAGGCGTTCCAAAGGCCTGCGTGCACACTCACGACCACCTCATGTCCCAGACTCACGACTACGACCCCAACCCTGATCCCGAGTTCGTCGACCGGTGGCTCATCCACACCCCGGTCCACCACATCTTCGCCATCAACAACGCGCTGCGTGCCTGGCGCATGGGCGGCGCCGTCATCCTGCCGTCGCCCACCTTCAGCGTCCGCGCCAGTCTTGGCGCCGTCGTCCGGGAGGGGTGCACCATCATGTCGGCCACTCCCACCCTGATCCGGGCCATGCTGGCCGAGAGCAGCTGCCCGGACGTCGGCCAGTTCCGGCTCTCCATCATCACGCTGGCGAGCACCGTGATATCCGCCGAGGACATCCGGCTCTGCAAGGAGTCGCTAGGCTGTCGCCACGCGATCCAGGCGTACGGCATGAGCGAGACCGGTCCGGTGGTGAGCTGGTGCAGGCCGGACCCCATGCTGGTCGACGGCTTCCACCCCGGCGTGGGCAAGGTCCTCCCAGGGGCATCGATCCGCATCTGCCAGCCTGGTACGGGGGAGGTCCTGTGCGTGGGTGACGTGGGAGAACTCCATGTCTCGGGCACTTCTGTGGTTGATGGTTATCTGAATCCGGAATCGAAGAGCAGCTTCTACGTTGACGGTGGGCGGCGCTGGTTAATGACTGGTGACCAAGCCCGAGTGGACGAAGACGGAGTTGTATACATTCTCGGTCGCTACAAGGACTTGATAATCCGTGGCGGAGAAAACATCGATCCCGCTACAATTGAAATGGCGATCCTGTCCTTGGCCAATATCGAGGTTCAGGTTGTTGGTCTCCCGGACAAGGTTGCAGGCGAAGTTCCGGTTGCCGTGGTCAAGAGAGCGGAAGATATTTCAAACAGTGCAATTCTTGAGAAGACGCGCAGTCTCGGTCCTAAATGCACACTTGGGGCCATTTATGACCTCTCACAGCTAGGTCTCGATGAGATGCCTGTCACGTCCCTCAAAAAACCGCGGCGACAGCTTCTCAAGGCTGCCCTCTCCGTGTTTCTCCAAGATTTGGAGAAGCGAAAGCAGGAGCTGGAACAAGTCCAAGGCTCTAGTCCTGAGCAATCCGTCTTGGTAGAAAGGCTTTCTGTAATCTGGGAAGATCTTTGTGGTGTGAGGCCACAGTTGCGACAAGACGTACATACCTTGGCTGACAGCATTCTGCTCATGCAGTATTGCGATCGTGTGTTCCGTCTGCTTCACACTCCGCTATACCTGCAGGATATATTCGAGCACAAGGATGTATTCTCGCAATCTGCTCTGCTGCTTCGGCGGCGGTCTGGCAGCATCGCGATGCCTCGACCGGATGCGGTGATCCCCAGTGGCAACCAACACGTTCTGGAGAGAGACACTGCCGGCAAGATGGGATGTCATGTCGAGACTTGTCCAGCTATTCCATCCTCTCCTCCTGTTGGCGTAGTAGCAGAGACGGTCATGTTGCTCCGAGCCAGTCAATACCGCCTGGTGGAAGGCCAACGTCCGCAATCGTACCACATCCGCCTAGTCTACCGCATCCAGCGGCTGTCCACCTCGCACATCATGGAAGCCCTACAGACTCTCGTGCGCAAGACACCGGTACTCCGATCCGTATTCGTCAAGCCAGTAGATACCGGCCTTTGGCAGCACGTGCTCTGCGGCGACGGGCTGATCCCCAACATCCTGCACAAGAGCGAAACGTCCGCGACGGCCGGCGAGGTCAAGCGCCGCATCGGCCAGGATCCCTCCTCGGCGCTGCAGCCGTCGTACGCCTTCCGCGCCGATGTCGTCCGCTGCCTCGACGCCCACGTCCTCACGCTGCACTTCAACCACGCCGCCGCCGACGCGCTGTCACTGTGGTCCCTTCTTCGCAACCTCGACGACCTCCTGCGCGACCCTGCCGCCGCCCTACCCGAGCCCGTGCCCTACCGCCTCTGGGCCGACCTGTGGCAGCACAACCGCACCAACGCGCTCGCCCGCTCCGCCATCTCCCGCCTCGCCGGCCGGCTGCGTGGCATCTCGCGGTTCCCCTCCGCGCTGTGGCCGCCGCGCCGCGCGCCCGGGTGGATGGTCGCCGACGACTCCGCCTCGCCGCACCGCGCCGCCCGCGACGCCGTCCGGGAGTCGACGGTGTGGAAGGACGTCGGCGGTTGGTCTTCCTTCGTCGAGGACGAGTTCCGCTTCCCGCGCCGTGGCCGCATCGTGCGGCTGCCCGGGGGGCTGGACGGAGCGCGGGTCGGGCCGGAAGTGCTCGCAAGGTGCGCGGTGATCCTGCTCAACGTGCGACTGACGCGCGCGCCGTACGCCGTCTTCGCCAGCTGGGAGGCGGCGCGCTCATGGCCGTTCGTGCCGGCCTGGATACAGCCGCTGCTACCGCCGCCCATGGCCGTGGATGGGCCTACAACGCAGTGGCGTCTCAACATGTACGCGGCATCGGGGGCGGAGGGCGAGACGGTGAGGGGGTTTCTGCGTAGGATAAGCGATGAGGAGCGCGAACTGTTGGAGCTCAATCACGCGCCGTGGGATGATGTCAAGGCCGCGCTGAGCGAGGAGGCCCAGGTCGCCGAGGAGGCCTCCTTCCGGCAAGGCTTCGTGTGGGACGTGACGCTGGGCATGTCGGCGCAAAGCGGGCGTCACTCAAGCTATCAATTACTAGAACCGGTGAGTCGCCATGACTGGCCTGACTGGTAAGTTTTCCTTTGATTCAAGTTGCTTCATCGGAGCGCACTGTGCGTGGGGGTTTTTGTCACGGTGCCCCCCCCCGGTGTGACGCTGTGTCACATTCGTCTTCAGCCGGACCGCTCTAACATGAATTGATTACTAGTGGATTGTTTTGGAATGCCTTCATGGTCGACAAGGAAAACTTGTACTTCATCGCCTCATGGGACACTTCGCAGTTGAACGGGGACGAGGTAGACCGGTACTGCGATCGTCTGGCTGAGATCCTGAGGGCGCTTGCGAATCCGGACACCTGGGACCGCCCCTTGAAGGAGGTGTCACCGTAACTCTTGTTTGTGCAATGCTGAAGGCGAGACACAAGCATCATACCGATGTGTTTAAAGCATTGATCAAAGAGTGTACCGTTTGGGTCGCGACTGGCATACCTCGTGCGCTTCATTCACACCGTACAACAGCCTGACGCGGATAACTACATTACATCGGGCAAGCCATTGAAGTATATATAGTCATAGTTGTCTCCCTACCTTGATAATCCAAATGCAAACAATTCGGTGCTGAGACTTCGCCCATACATACAGGCACCCACAGTCTTTACCGCGTCGTAGCACCGTCCTCCTCACTGACCGCCAGCCATGCCTTCAGGCAAAAGACCCTCCATGTCGGACAATCCCGGATCTTCTTCGTCACGTACAGCGCTTCCAAGCTCCAAGAAGTCCAAAAAGACCCAGGCAGCTACAGCCACTCCTGCCCAACGTCCGCCTCAGCAACAGCCGTCGGGCTCTGCTCGACCGTTTCGCACAATCGCCCCCAAGCCGCTGCCGCCGACTGCCACCCACGGTAGTAAGGAGCTTAATAAAGAGGAGCCTACTCAGCAGCAAGAACAATGCCAATTAATCTGGCCAGCGGATATCCCGCTCGCGCCTTCGCTCTCACTGCCTCGTGCAAGCGCCCACAGGCCGCGAGCATCGTCCCAGGCACCGCCGCCGCCGGCCACCGCCGACGAATCCGACAAGGATGAACCTATGCAGCAGGAGCAACGCGAATTAATCTGGCCTGCAGAACGCCTTCGTCCGAGGCATCCGCGCCTCGAGCAACTACCGCCCATCATCGTCGCCCGGAACGAGCCCTTGACACCCTCGCTTCGCCTCGCCGGCCTGGCCACCCCGGAGCCCGGGGGGGTTTTCCTCTCGCCGGGGGGTCCGCTCCGCGTGGGGGCCGCGGCGGGTCTGCCGTCGCCAGCCACCATCGCCCGGCCCTCGCGACCACGCCGGTGCGCCCGCCCCGCGCGCGACGTCGATCCTCCCGCGCGCGTCTCGGCCGTCCGCCGCATGAGCGCGTATCCGAGCGACCTCTCCGTGCCCTCGCGCCCCGTCCAAGCCCGTCATCCTCGCCAAAACCCTCCACCGCCGTCCTCGCCACCGCCGCGCCATCCTCTCCTCCTCCTCCGACGCGTCACGAGCCTCCCGTCCTGCATCCGACACCGCCGCCGGCCGCACCCGCACGATGCAACACCGCCAGCCCCATCATCCAAGCCCTGCCCAGCCTCCGCCTCCAGCACCCGTTCTGGGGCCCCGACGCGCGTGAGCTCATCCCGTGCGACGAGGCCGGCGCCATCCGCGACGCCTACCGACGCGAGCGCATCCGCGAGGTCGAAGCGCGCCACTCACGCGGCGCGCGCCCGCCACACTGGACCGTCCGCCACGCGCAGGAGGTGTGCGCCGACGTGCACCGGATGCCGCGCTCCGCGCGCTCCGGCTTCGGCGACCTGCACAAGCAGCTGCGGGAGCTGTACGCGCTGCACGCGGACCTGGCGAGCCTGCACCCGCCGCCGTGGGCGCGCCCGGGGGACGTGGTGCCGGTGACGTGCGGCGGGGTGACGACGGAGCTGCCGCGGCTGCTGCGCGACTTTGTCTGCGGCATGAGCGGGTACTTGCTGGCCGAGTGGCGGCCGTTCGGGCGCTCGCGGAGGGAGTGGAACGTTGATTCCAAGATTGCGTTCCTCGAGGATTTCAGCTGCTTCCTGCGCTTCCACAACAAGTTCTACTCGCAGCGGGTGATACTGATGCACGCGCCGGGCGCGCCCGGGTGGGAGCACCAGGGGGAGCTGCGCTTCTACAACAGCGTGCCGTTTCGCGGATGGCAGGAGAGGCTGGAAACTGGGCTGACGAGCGAGGAGCGGTCGCGAGATTCCTTTGTTGATTGCTTCTGGGACAATTAGCTTGCATAAAGGTAGCTCTGCTGCTTACTGGTGACCGAATGGCCTGTCATGACGGTCAACCACCGGTTGTCAGATGAACTGGACGAAAAGACCAGGCTGGATGGAACCTGTTGATCACTCGAGTCGTTTACTCTCGAGAATTGAACCTCTTCTCCTCGGACAAAATTTCTTTGCTAACTTTCAGTAGGCAGAAACACCGGGCACATCACTTGGGATTTCTCGGCATTTTCAGTAGTGTTCAATTCTACAACCAAGCAATAGCTGATAACGAGGTTGAGTTACCACATCATAACGTACAATATCCACATGAATAAATAAACAGAGGTATCATCTCTCATTCCAGGTTCATCCTAGCATCGTCGCCAATGCCCCATTGGCCACCATCCTTGCCTTGTCGTTGAAGCTCCATTTCTACTTCGATACCCAATCCACTCGTGTCTGGCCCGCTGTCTTGCCTTTCAGTTGCCCGCTTGCCGCGAGCCTCTCGCTTCTCCTTTTCCTTATCAGCGGTAGATCGATCCGCAGCGCGCCGCCGCAGCATCGGAGGCCAAAATGACGACTTCGAAGAGGTGGAATATACCGAAGCATTATCGTCAATCAACTTGACATTTTCCTCATCAATCTTGTCTTCCTCCGCAACGGCAGGAATGTTCGCCACCGAGGCAGAATCCGATTTGCTATGCAGAGAAGAGCTATCCTTGGTGGAAGCCTTGCGACGCTCGGGTTTCTCGACCTCGACAAGCTCAGCATCTCGGTACCACTTTCGTCGTCTTGTCCACTTGCCCCAGCCATCAGCTCCCCGGCGTCCATTATTCCACTGCGAGTTGTCAGCACCTAGTTTCAAGTTGCAACTCGAGATCCAGACGTTCATACCTTGGTATCATAGTAAATCCAACCATTGCGTCCTTGGGTGCCGTCATAGTCCACGGCCCCGTTTTCATCCGCAACGCCATCCACGCGCCAGCGACTACCTTCGGCCCACTGCCACTCCATGCGGCTTCCATCCTCAACATGTGGCAGCTCAAATTCATCTTTTGACGGAAGGGAGTTGTTATGCTCATCCGTCCAAGTAGCCCTCTCATAAGCAAATAGGCTATGCGTCCACCCTAGGCCAATCCATCGTCTCTGGTTTTCGTAGATGATAAAGGTAAACTTAACACCTGCGCTCTTTGCACTCCGTGAGCTGTCTGTACGGCGGTGACCCCGATTTTGCGCCGCTTGGAGTTGAGCAGCAGCCGGGTTCTTCACAGGAGTGTCAAAGCGCAGACCGGTCACGGCGGCAGCAAAACGGCGAACGGTCCTGCTTCGCCAGAGGATAGCTCTGCAAACACGCATGACGCGGGCATGCCATGTAAGCGTAATTGTTCCAACAATTAGAACGACTCGTCGGACAGTAATTATCCTCAGAGGCGGCATGGTGAGGGCGAACCAGAAGGGCGTGACAATGAGAAGGCGCATGAACATGGCCGTCAGGGCAGGCTTAGTAGTAGCGCTCGTCGCAGTGCGCTGGGTGCTGAGGAAATCAGTCATTTCGAGCATGGGTTCCATAAGAGCGTTGCAGCGACCAGTGAACTCTTTCAGAGTCTCGACAATCTCGTCCAACGTCTTTTGATGTTTGGTGCCACTAACGTCGTGCTTGCTGGATTTGGCCCCAGCACGCGAGCTACCGGCTTCGGCATCGGCATTCGAAAACTGAGCGGTAGTTTGTGATTTTTTCTTGGTGGGCTTGACGGGCTTGCGCCAGCCGCTGCTGCTAAGAGGGCTGTAGCGTCGACCGTACATGGCGATGATCATCCCGATGCCGACGGCGATAGGACCGGCCCTTATTAGAATAGTGTCGCCATAAAGAACAACGAACCAAAAGCTGCAGACGAAGAGAAAGCTCTGCCACGGATCGCCGGTACTCCACGTCAAAAGACCAACAAAGGTGTTGAGCGGTAGCAGAAACGGGTGGCTATATGCGAGAGCTCGTGTGATCTGGGGCGGCGTGGCCAGCAAGAGCGGACTCTTTTGGTGGACGAGAACGGTTGACCGGCGGGAAGATCTCGAGGGTGTATTGGCAGACAGAGTGACGGGGGAGAAGGCCGCATAGGTAGGGGGTGCCACGAAGCTCTCGTCCAGAACGGCGGGCGAGCCGTCGACAACGGAGTCGTCGTCATGGGCGGACATGGCTGCGGCGGGCGGCCAGTGCGGCTCCTGGGATCGCGAGTTGTTGTGTTAGCAGATAGAGTTGCAAGATGATGTATGCGAGGTCGCGATGTTAGGAAATTCGGAAAGTTGCAATTGCAAGCTTCACATGTGCGCAGAGTCGCGGGCGCAGAAGCGCGCGACAGCTAGCTCGGCTATAAGCAATCACAGGACAGCCGGCACGTTTCCAAATCGGTTGCAGGGGTTGAAAGAGGCATTCAAAAGGAGCAGAGATAAAGACGATGCGCATCACGGAAAAGGTGTGGCGATCTGAAGTGCTAGTGTCGTGGCAACGGGTGCAAGGATAACTCACAAAGGCAGCCATTCAGAAGGGCTCGAAGTGGTCAGGCGCAGGAGTCTCAGGACGTCATCGGCGCGCGCCACAGGGTTTCGGCAAGGACGTCGCGGGAGGGGCGGAGGGAGGAGGGCGACGCGAGGTAGCTGTTGCAAAGTGCATGAAGCTGTCACAGAAAGAATTATGGTAGAGTAGGTGCCGAGCTCAAAATAGCAAAGAGAGCTCCATAGAAAAAGAGTCCGGGGAAAGACAGTTGTCGGTTATCGTTGAGCACGGGATAAATGGTTGACCCCGGAGGCCGTGGCTGATGTGGTGGCGGTCGGTACGATTTGACTGAGGCGAGGCTGGCAGCTGGCAGAAGCAGCAGCAAACAGCAAACAGGAGGGCAGCAAACGGGACGCCTATGTTCTTAGTGGCTGGTTAATGAGCACTGAAGGTGGGAGCTGGCAGCCGGCACGAGAGAGAGAAGCTTTTGCCGAGGCCAAACAAACTGCGGGGAGCTTGATTAGACACTGTGACCGGAGCAGGTGACACACGTGAGCGATTGGCGCTGTGTTCTACGCACAGTTGGCAGGGATTCCGAGCAAATTTTAAATATAAAAAACTATAAAAAAAAAATAAAAGGCCAGATATGGAGTCCCAGGTAATTACTACATGCTGCTCGAGGGTCTTGTGATGAACTCTGGAACCGGTGAGGGAGGAGGGATTGGAAAATGAGAGTTGCAACTTGCGCCACTGCCTCCCCAGCCACAGGTGAGCCATGGTACATACATTGGTACCACACAGCCTGCTACTCCGTACTGACGATTCTACAGCCTCAAAACAGGGCATATTAACGTTAATAGGTAACTAAATAGTAAGTGGCTGGCAATCGATGTTAACTGAGCAGTCCCCTACAACGAGGACGGCATGGACAAGGAAATAAACTGGCGATTAAATACGCTGGTATTGTTCAGGATTTACAGCCTCGTAAGAGCAAGACAGAAACAGCCCGCCACAGCGCGATGCTGCGACAACATGACGGCAGCAGTGTACCTAATTCCAGTGTGGCGCTCTTGTCGGTCGCGCCAAAACCACCAGGGTATGGTAGATCTCACAATCGGGGAGAAGAATTATATCAGGATTATTGTATATTTATTTCTGTTTCATGGTATACTCCCGACTACCAATCTTGGGCATCTCTTTCATCGTCTCATCACCATGGCTCGTCCCCTCTATTCGTATAGTATCAATAGGCTGTCGGCATGACGCCAGTTGCATCATTTATTTGCAGCCAGTGCAAGTGCCTAGAAATAAGCCCAGTCAGTAAACGTTTAAAAAAAAATCTCCATCTTGCGCATTGCAGCTCAATACATACAGCTGGAGCCACAGTTGCAGGCCGAGGCAGAGCCCTTGCATCCGCAGTCGCCGTTCATTTTGAAGGTTTGGGTTGGTGGCAGGGTTGTAAAAAAATGGTTTTATAAATGAAATCGAGATTGTATCTTGAGCTTATTGAGTTGAGATCTAAAAAAAAAGTAACCCAAGGAGGGATTCGCCCTCCATTTATACCTATTCTTCCACCAGCCTTTGCGTCTTTTGTGCCTTCCCAAGCTCCGATCCTGACGAAAGCGCTGCGTTCTTTTTGCGGTGGCGGTTTCTGTACTTGCCAGTTGACCCACTAGCCCCGGAAGGCTTGACCATTTTCGGGCCCTCGCCGTCGCCCGTCGCGGGGTTCAGCCCAAACACCAACCAAGAGGATGCGCAAGGAATCGCCGTCCCTGGACAAGGGCGAAAATCCCTCCGTCATCACCTGCCTAAGCTGAACTTTATCTTGGACGACAATCATATCCGCATGATTTTTCTGTTTTCAGCCCAACTTCGTGCAACATCTGACGTGGCCGCTGCGGGCCGTCACCTCTAGCTGTGAATCGGGGTACTCAGGTACTTGCGGTCTTTGTGCGTTAAACAATGCCTCTGACCATTACTACCTATTCTAGAATCACAAAGTTCTTTCGTGCAAACTATCGGGTCAAATTCCTATTCATCTGTGAGAAGCAAATTCTCACCGTGGCGCCGCCCAGGCCGCACCCTTCTCCCCCTTTGGTAACACCGCCCTTTCCCTCCATCTTCTGTCCCGCATCCTCCTCTGCCTCTGTTTCCGACTCCAGCGACGCCCCACGAAAACGGCCACACCACAACCCAGACCCAGCAATGCCAATCGACTGTTGTACTGCGCCGACGACCCGTGCCGACCCCACGATGACCGCAGTGGTGGCGCCGTCTGCGGCGCCATCTCGTCCTCCGCGACCGCGGCCGCCTCCTCAGACACCACCCGCTGCGTCGTTGCCCACGTACCACTCGCGCCCTCGCTCCATATCAGCTCGGAGCGCACCAGCGTCTTGCCCTGCGCGTCGACCGCGACGACCTCGATAACCTCGCCGACGTCGCGCGGGATCGGGATGCGCGTCTCGAACCCCGTCCGCGCCGCCACCCGACGTGCCCCCAGGCTGCCGTCGCGGCGCTCCGTGTTGTTGCTGCGCAGCAGCCACGCCGTCGTTCGCGTGTCGCCGTTCCAGCTCACGTACAGCGCGCCCTCCTGCGGCCGCACCGCCATCACTGGCCGCGCCGTCGGAGCGCCCGTCCACGCATGCTTGGAAACGACGCGCCCGCCGCCGCCGCCGGTCGGGTTCCTGAACTTGGCCGACCGCGCCGCCTCCCGGAAGCGTGCAGAGCACAGCATTTGGCCCTGCGGCGAATACTCGGTGTACGCGGCCGCCGACAGGTTGCTGTCACCCCAGCCCACGAAGACGTTACCGCTACCAAGGCGCTGCACGCTGCCTTGGGGAGAACCGCGCGACGCCGCCACCCCAACGGGAGTGTTGTACGTGCGGATGAGGGCGGTTGTGTTTGCCGCCGTGTCGATGTGGATTGCGCGTACATGGGTTCGGCGACCAGCGCGACCCTCAACTTCTGGCAAGTGCCCGCCGCCCAGCAGCAGCAAGATCGAGTCGCCGTGCCACGCAATGCCCTGGCTGGAGACCATGGCAGCAGCCTGTCCTGCGGAACCGTCCACAAACGAGTTGAGCGCGCCGCCGAGCACCCATAGTACCTCACCGTCGCTGCGCCGCACCGCTGCGGCATTGCACATGTTGCGTGACGAGATGACGTAGTTGCCGTGATGATCGAGATCGATGCTTGTAGCGCGAAAAAAGTCGACCGCCGTCTCGCGAGTGCGGCCCTGGTTCTCAATCTCGACCTGGCTCATGATAACGTCAAAATGCTGCGACGCTCTCCATTCGGAAACGAGTTTGTTCGTTGTTAGGTCAACTTCTTGGATGATTGCGTCGTTGATCCATCCACTCTGGAAACCTCCAAATAGCCTATCTGTCTGCGTGATATTATGCATCACGATAATCGCCGTCCCATTATCCGTGAGCTTCAGCTCGACTGGCCGCGATGAGATTTCGCCAATTGGTCTGATCTCCTTGACCATTTCGTAAGACTGGTCCAGCTACCGCAAGTTAACGTCGTGCATTAGCGGCCTCGTACATCGGTCACCATCACTATTCGCCAACTTACCAAGACATATGACCCTCCAGCTCCGTCATCAACGCCGCTCGCGCCGCGCCAGAATGTCATGTAGCTGCGGTCTCCAACCGCCTGCACTCTCAAGTCGCGTGTCCGTCCCCAGCCGCTCTGCGTCCACACCAGCTCGCCGTTTGTTCGGAAGATGGCTGGCCCCTCGACATCCGCTCCTTCGTCTGTCGTTGTCCCTCTGGCCACCTCTCCGGGTGCCACGAATAGTAGCCCCTCGTCGCAGGGCTCCTCGCTGTGCCAAGTCTCCAACTCCGGCGGTGTCGCGCCGCAATATGTCTTGTATTGCGAGGATGGGCGTGGGCTCAGCAAGTCCGAGATACGACTGACAAGAGGAACCTTTCCGCCATTTGTCGAGACATCACACTCGGTCCGCAGTGCGCCAGACACGCCAGCCACCAGGATGGCAAACCGCAGCAGCATCTTGATCACCGGCCCCGTTGTACGGTAATTGATGTCGCGCAAGAGCTAGCGTGCCTGATGATTGTCGTTTTCGTTATCGTCTCGCTACTGCCGTCAAGACATCGCAGTCGTACTTTTTTTTTACAAGAGTCGAAGAGACCGCAACCGCGGCCGAGGACAACATCAAACATTGAAGTGTTACAAATGAAACTACAATTTGTACACGTGCTGCACGCCAAGGGGCAACCTGGCCAATTTGAGATGGCGAGACGCGCACGTCCAACATGGTAAAAGTTAAAAAAGATCCCATTGCCACCCCAAGAAAACCCTAGAAAGTGTTCTGATCAGCCACTATCGAGCAAAGCCGTCAACCGGGTGCCCTTTTGTTGAGAAAAAAAGGTCCAGCGTGAAAGCCGGTCTGCAGACGGCGTCCCTCAAAGCAAGGTGCGCCACAGTTGACATTAAACGGCTTCACTTCTCACATCTAGCTTACGCATCTCGACAAATCGAAATCCTGAGACCACCAAAAGCTAAAAATGCCCATGCGCAGGTCCGGGCCAGCACACATGACATGAAGGCTTCCCCAGCCAGGCAGAACAGTTAACCATCAGCGAATTGTAAAGTTTGCTTAGTCACGCTACGGTGAGACACGTGGTAAAACGACCCCTGAGCAGCGGAGGTTCACGTGACCCTACTAGTCTTACCAGATACGGCCTAGAGTCAATGTGCATTGCAGGGGCGTATCAAGCTTCTTTGTAAATAGACTAGCGCCCCTCAGCTAAGCCGTTTATAGTATTAGTCGACGATTTCTACATGATTTGATTGGCTAGACCTAAATCCCTGCTCGCGGGGGACGACCTCGGTAGTTTCCAAGCATTTTCTCCGTTGAAATGCAACCCCCCTTCATATATGAATAAATATTTGTATCCAAGGGCCAAGGAAAATGCAGCAAGCAACGCCTCAATGCTTTGTTATCTCGCGCAAATTGATAGTCACATTGCGATGCCACTCTGTGGGTTGTAGCTCACGACCTGTAAAGCTACCCAAAGCCGCATCCATGACGTTGCTCGACACGCAAGCTGTCTCTTCACCACCTTGGCACCTCCAGTCAAATAAAGTCGACGCTATACAAATTTTATCCGCTCAGCGGAATGTGTATTCCGCTGCTAGTGCTTTTCTGTTGTCATGGTCATAAACGCTGCTGATCATGACAGTCACATCGACTCAGGATCATGAAACGGGTCATGTCATTGCTTAACTTTTTCTGCGATTGCGCCTTTCTTTTTTTTATTTCCCTCTCCGTGCTGAGCAAGAATGACAGGAGACAAAGGGGACACCATCATGCGGGATCTCTGATGGGCATGCCAAGTAAACCTTGTTGCGACGGGATGTGGCTGGCATACCCGAAGCCTCACCGTCTTGCACAGGGCATTGACACCCAAGAATCTAATCATGCCAATACAAATATAGAATTCGTATTACATCACCTACCATTGGGTACATGATTCATTGTGTGTGTGACTAGTGCGCCATGGGAGACCAGATCAAAAGTTCCCGACTTGCCAGGCGCAACAGTTTCAAGCCATCTGCCACTCCGGCGTTAGCTTCCTTCAAGATCCGACCAAGTAAGCCACTGATTTTCAGCAGATTCATGCTTCAAACCATTTACTAGAAACGTGTTCGTGTATGATGTTCGCTTTGGAGAAATCTCTGTAGATGCACGCGCAATGCTGTCCAAGCTCTTGGAGCTTGGAATTGGGAGCGGCGGTTCCTCATTTCCGCATTTTCCGAAAGCGTTCCTCCTCCACGTGTGCAAGGGCACTGGGAAAACGCATAGATTGTATAAGTCAGCGGAGTTTTGGAGGGCCCTTGTCTATCCATCGAGCCGCATTCGCCAAGACGCCAACCCAGCAAGTTCTCGCAATGACCCTGGGGGAGAGGGACCAAGAGCGAATTGCGGCAGGTCCTCTCCCCAATGCGATTTAGATGCCCGATTCTCATCTACGCCTCTTGGTGGGCGGTTGGCCGGTGACCTCCGGCGACCTTTTGAGCCAGTAACCGCAGCTCACTTCCTCAATTGGCTTCCCGCTAGTCATGGGAAGTCCTGGTTCATCCCAACCAGCTAAGATGACACCGCGGCTCTGCGAATACCGAAACAAAAGTTCTCGACTCCAAGTTTATGCAGAAATGGCACCTTGGCGGACAAAGCCAGGCAAATTGGAGTCCTCGCATCGCGGATTACCAATGCTAACGAACATCTTATTGCCCTGGCATTGTTACATAGCCATCACTTGCCCCCCCCCCGCCTGCCTGCCCTGCTCTTCCTCCTCCTTCATCAAGACAAGATGTGCGTTTGCCTGGCACGGATCCTAGGGGGGCAGGGCGGCCCACGCGGGATGACCGCCGCAGGCTTATATTGCGTATGTTGTCATTGGCTCGCTGGAGCTGGCCGGCTAGCTGTTCATGCGCTTCCGGCCGGAGCTGTTTCGTCGGCGGGTGTGGATATCTAGCTCTGCATTTTGCACGGATGTTGGTGCCACCATCGAGAGGGCTCCGCCGCCATTGGATTGGCGAAAAACCCAATCGCGCAACCTTGATGTTGCATCGACGACAAAGCTAACAATGGCACTAGAGAATTCGAAATGCTTCGATATTGCTCAAGTGGTACGAGTCAGAAGACTCGCCCAGCAACAGGAGCAGACCTGCGATTTACCTGCTCGTTTTCGACTAGTTCCAGTGATGGGCATTGCCAACGGCCATGGCAATGGCCAAGATGTCGCAGTATATAAGTTGCGAGCGCGCTCCTTTCTGTGAGGAGCATGATCGATATCCTTGGCAGACCTTCCCAAAAACGTTCAAGCACAAAAAGCTCAGAGTCTCTTTGCTCTCCTCGATCGCCATGTACACCTCCATTCTCTCCCTTGCCCTTGGCATCGCCTCCCTCCCGCTCGTGGCCAGCCACCCGGGCGAGGACCACCACAAGGAGGCCATGAAGCGTCGCGAGTTCCTCCAGAACAGCGGCGTCGCCAACCTGGACCACTGCGCCGGCCAGCTCGAAGCCTCGGGTGTCACGGCTCGGTCCATCCAGCGCCGCCAGAACCTGGTCCACGGCATCCGTGAGAAGCGCGGCCTTGTCGCCCGCGGTTCCGGCCACGTCGGTCGCAGCTACGATGCTCAGGTGAACGAGGCAGAAAACTTCAAGAAGAACGCCTCGTGTATCCTGGCCCCCGAGGAGATTCTCGGCCCGTACTGTACGTCCACGTCTCGGCGCCCCCAGTTACGCTGCCCCTTGCTAACTACATTTCCACGCAGACGTTGCCGGAGAGTATATCCGCTCCAACGTTGTCGAGGACCAGGTCGGTGTGCCTGTTCATCTGGACATCTCCTTCATCGATGTCAACACCTGCAAGCCCCTTGTCAACTCCTATGCGGACATCTGGCGTACGTTCTCTTCCACCTCCTTCAATACCGTGTCGCTGAGCCACAACTAACGCGTCCGCTTACACGCAGAGGCCAATGCCACCGGCGTCTACGGCGGCGTCGTCCAGGAGGGCTTCGAGAACCGCAACGACACCTGGGAGGAGACCTGGGGCCTGACCTGGCTGCGCGGCATCCAGAAGACGGATGAGGACGGCGCCGTGCACTTCGAGACCATCTTCCCCGGGCACTACGAGGGCCGCGCCGTGCACATCCACGTACTGACGCACCCGGACGCGAAACCCCTCCCCAACAACACCATCATCGACGAGCGCGCCTCGCACGTCGGCCAGATGTACTTTGACCAGGACCTCGTCGACCGCGTCGAGGAGACTGCCCCGTACAACACCAACAACCAGCCGCGCACCTCCAACGCCGAGGACGAGTTCCTCCAGGGCGACCTCGCCGAGGGCGGCTACCCCTACCTGCAGTACCAGCTCGTTGGTGACAAGCTTGAGGACGGCCTGGTCGCCTGGCTCAACTTTGGCGTCAACGGCACCGAGGACAAGATCGTGGATCCCATCACCACCTACCACCCCCGTCCTACCCAGCCGCCCAAGGCTTGCCCGGCGAAGCACTGATGTAGATATGAATGGAGATGTAGCGTCGAGCTATATATAGTATTGTATAGAGCACAAAAATGCAAAAGTTTTCATCGCTTTCTCTGCTTCTCTTCGCGCTAAAGATGAGCCGAATGCGCTGCCGTTCTCACAGCTAGCTACAATTGAATGGTTAGCTAAGGCACTTTGAATTTTTGTAATGCAGAGTAAAGAGGAGCCTTGACGTTTAATTTTCGTTTCCTACCAGCCAATGAGCGACAATCTCTCAACCAAGCCATATCGCTGGCCGCCTCATGTAGCCTCTGCATTGGCGACAACTAAAAGTTAGAACAGTAAAACGTCTTGCACTGATGTAAACGAAAGATGTCCACATTGTAATGTTGACGAGTGTCAGTTTATTGTACAATATACACAGCACGCGTTACCGGCATGCTTTTCACCTTCAAGTTCCCACCACTTCGCCCGTCACGTCTTCTTATATCCGTCCAAGGAGACGCTCCTGCTCTCTGTTCCTCGACACGTCAGCCAGACCGGTGACAGGCAGATCCCGCTTCACCAGCTCCTCCTCGATGAGCTTCCAGCGGCCGACGGCCACCTCCTTGTCGATGGAGCTGACCCTGCGGTCGTGCAGCGTGACATTGGCCAGCTGCTGGAGCTCCTCCGTCCGCTGCAAGATCTCGGCCAGGCGCTTCGCCTTGGGCCGTTTGGCGGTAAGCACGATGAGGTGCCCAACGGTGCGGGCGGCGCCGAGCTTCGCGTCGGGGACCAGGTTTCCGGTGAGCTGATATAGTCGCTTGCGGAGCTATTTGCACAGATAGGTTAGTATTTGCGAAGAGAATGGAACAGGTGGCGCAATATTGTATACGTACAGCAAACTTCGTCTCATCGTCGACGGCAATACGCTTCCAAGAGGGGTCCCATGCCTTGACCAGCTCTGCAGCCTCCTCGCTGGAGATTCGCTCCGGCCGCGGGGTCTCGACCGCAGCAGCCTCGTCAGGCGTCTGCTTCAAGCTGTCGGCGACGGCAGCCACATTACCCTTGAGCACCGTCCCGGCCTCCCCGTCCCGGACCACGACATCCACGGCGAGAGCGGCGTCCAGGTCGTCACGCGAGCCCTCCGCCCACCGGCGCGTCGCCCACTCGCCGAGCGCGCCCGTTTCGCGCAGCGCGAGCACCTCCACGAGCGCCCGGCGGTAGTACACCTCGATGGCAGCGCGGTCTGTGACCCTCGCCGGGCTGGCAAACGCCGCGAACCCGTCCAGCTCCGCGCTCCAGTGGCCCGGCTGGTCCCACCACTCGCGCAGCGTGCCCAGGTCCGCCAGGTCATCGAGCGACGTGGCCGGCTCATACGCCGGGTCGGTGGCGCCCACCTCCTTGGGGGTCGCGGCCTCGTTCCTGTTGGCGGGAAACGGCAGCCGGGAGCGGCGCACGGCCAGGGGTCGCCGGTCGGCGGGATCGCTGCCTTCGAGGGCCGGGTGCTGCGGCAACCGCGTGACGGCGGAGTCCTCGGGCACGTCGTCGGGGCGCTGCGTGTACGGGTCCGCGGCGCCGGGGGCGTCGCCGTCCTTCCAGAGCTTGCTGCGCACCCACTCGGTGTTCTTGCTGCTGCTCCGTGCGGGCGTGGTCGAGATGTGGCGAGCGGCGGCGGCGGCGGCGGTCTTACGCGATGTTGACGAGCTCGCCCGGTGCAGGGACTGAAGACCCCTAGCCCACGATATCCGAGGCATGACCGGGTTCATACTGTTGGTTGTGTCGTGTCAGAAAGGTAGATGATTAGGAGGATGGCTCCTGATGAGATGTCCGCGACAACTTTTTTGGCGTAGGGGTCAATTGAACCAACCACATGGCGGCATTCAATCGAGCATTGCCCCACAGCAGGTACACCACTGTAATCCATTGACCAGTACCTATCTTGAAGACGCCATCAGCCAAAGTCTCTTGCCAACATCATACAAAACAATGGCACGAATATATATTCTTGCGCTGCTACTCGCAGCATTCGTGTCTCTAGCTGCCGCATGTGAGTGCCGTATCTGCTCCCGTAATTACCACGAGCCCACTCCCTAACACCCTGAGGTAGCTGCGCCGACCTTTTGCAAATGCACATGCTTCAAGAATAGCACCATCATCCCTCTAGGGCCGGAACACCAGTCGAAACGATCGCTGCCTTTTTTCGATACGATAGATACATCCTCAGGCGAAGCTGCGGCCGTAGCGCCGCGATCAGCCTCAACGTCATGTACTGAATGCACCAAGGCTTTTTGCCTCCAGCAGGGCATTCCCTTTTGCAAAGATGCGACCGAGGACGATGTATTCACCTTGTGTTTCCAGCGCGACAGCAATAAGGACAAGATTATTGTTTGGGGGTTTATTCTGGGTACGGTCGGGCTGCTCGGCTGGGCTGCTTTCAAGCGCTTCTCCGAATGGCGCCAGGCTCGTAGGTTGGATCGGCAAGACATCGGGTACACTCCTGTCGCTCCAGGCCAATAAACGAGGATGCATATACAAATATAGACTATGGTTCAATGGAGTTTTGGGGGTGTTGTACAATGTGCATCAGGACATATCAACCAAATAATGAGGTATTCATGACTACAAGATGTGTTGCAGCAATCTGGTTTCGTTGTGTATCCAACTGTATACCGTCCATCGTTTAGATGGTGCAAATGTTAGGTATATCATATCTCGCTTCTCTTTCGCTCCTGACATCCTTTTTAAGCGCCGTTTCCCTTTGTCTGAACTCAAAATACTCATGCCGGAAGCTTCTCCAATACCACCTTTCTTGTCTACGCAGAGCTGCCGTTTACCTGTCTGCGAGCGCGGACAGCCTCGGCGAGGTCCTCGAGAACAGTCACCGTGTCCTCCCAGTGAATGCAGGCATCAGTGATGCTGACACCAGGCTTGAGACCTGCGGGGCCTTCGGCGGGCACTTTTTGGTTGCCCTCGTTGATATTGGATTCAATCATGACGCCAATAATGGCCTTTTCACCCTCACGTAGTTGGTCGCTGATGACCTTGGCAACCTTGGGCTGGTTCTTGTGATTTTTCTGGGAGTTTCCTGTTGCGTTGCGTGTTAGTTTCGGTCGACACTTCAACAAGACACCGTAGTTCAGCAGCTTACCATGCGAGCAGTCAATCATGATTGCCATTTTTTGCTTCTTGTCCTCGAGAGTCTTCTTTGCGGCCTGGACGCTCTCCTTGTCAAAGTTGGGGCCGTAGGTACCGCCACGAAGAATAACGAAGCCGTGCTCATTGCCCTTTGTGCGGGTGATTGCGGCAAGGCCCTGTTTTGTGACACCCATGAAGTGGTGCTTGGCAGCGGCGGCACCAATGGCATCAATGGCAACACCAAGATTGCCGTCAGTGCCGTTCTTGAAGCCGACGGGGAACGACAGGCCAGAGGCCAGCTCACGGTGGAGCTGAGACTCAGTGGTGCGGGCTCCAATGGCGCCGACCGAGATGCAGTCGGCGAGGAACTGGGGAGAGATGGTATCGAGCATCTCGCTAGCAATGGGCATGCCGTTGTTGGTCAGGTCAGCAAAGAGCTGGCGGGAAACACGAAGGCCCTTGTTGATCTCGAACGAGTTATCAATGTTAGGATCGTTGATCAGACCCTTCCAGCCGACCGTGGTTCTGGGCTTCTCGAGGTAGGCGCGCATGACGATGCAGAGGTCGTCGGAGAGCTTCTCGGAAAGGGCCTTGAGGAGAGCGGCATACTCGTGAGCCATCGCGGGATCGTGGATCGAGCATGGGCCTACGACCACGAGCAGGCGGTCGCTGCGGCCCAGGACAATGTCGGCGGCGTCGTTGCGGCCCTTGAGGACGGTCTTGGTGGCATTTTTGGTCAACGGGATCTCGGTGGTAAGGAGGGCGGGAGGGATCAGGGGATCCTGTCCAAGGACTTTTTGACTGTTAGTAAAGAGGCTTCATAGGAATAGAGGTAGCAAGTATTGGGTTGGGCGCGGGGTCGTGGCGGTCAGGCTGCAGCAGCAGCAGTGAGGTCATAACCACTGCCCCGCGCCGGGTATGGTGGAGGGGTTCGTAGGGCAAACAACGAGGCGCAGTTTTGCAAAGAAACGACTCACTTCTAGTATCGTCGGCAGCCATGCCGAAAAGACTTGAAGACGACATGTTGCAAGATTTTTTGTGCTGGGGAGGAACTGGCAGGTTGGCAGATATAAGGTAAATTGGGCTGCGTTTCCGTAATCGGCAGCGCAGATTTCGGGCAACTGCAGATGTTTCCGAGACCAATGTATGTATGCAACACAGCAGACAGTAGAAGAGGGTGTAGGGGTGCAAGAAGGGTAGAAGCAATGTAGTCGGGCTGAAAATAATGAAGCTTGCAGGATGTGGCAACGGGGCCAATTAAGAGGAGGGTAAATAGTAAGCTACAGAGGCCATCTACCGTGAGTCAGATCTGCGAGTTTCGGCCTGGAGAGCGGTTACTAAAAAAATCTTTTTTATTTTTTTTAAATGTTTTGTTTGCGAAAAAGTTATCGGCGTCACTGCGACAAGGCGGGCCCACCAGGACTTGAGGGCCACTGAGACGCGCCGAATGAGCCACTGCAAGACCGCTGCAAGACCACGGGAGCCACTGAAATCCCACTGCGCCATCACGTCGACAGGTTCCAGGTTGGAAGCGATGTGGGAAAAGACTGGGAATCAATCCCTGAAATTAACGCATTTGCATGTATGTCTGCAAGTCAGCTGCTTGGCCCCTGTGGGTGTGCCAGTACCGACAGCTGCGGGATGCCCTTGTTGCGGGGAGCAAGATAGCGGGCGGTATGTTCCATATTACATGACCTGATGAGTGGTGACAATTTACAGTTGTTACACATATTTGATGAGTAAGCACAGACGTACATACATAGATACATGAATACAGGCGTGCTCCGGATACCTTAGTTAGTAGTCACAGTATCTTGACCGACGTCAAGAGATTCAGTCGCAATGACCGGTTTCACAGCGCGCTACGCTCTTCAGCACACTGCGCCCGCTCGTTACTTTTGACCAGGATTATGGTCTTGCCGACTGGCTGCCTCAGCTGGTGCCCATAACATGCTCGAGGCGTGTAACTTAGCATAAACGGCATAGCCGGGAAACTCCCCACGTACTAAGAGCTACCCATCCAGTCTTCCATGTCAGCAGTTGACGCGTTCTACCGCCATGTTTAGATGACAGCCACGGAGATTGTTAACTGTAGGTGGTAATCGGCTAACAGCCCGGTCGGCCAACGCAGATCAGCAGCCGACCTCCCGAGCTAGTATATGGGATGGCCATTTTTGCTCACGAATCGATTCGAGGCAATGACGGGCAATGCGCGAAGGTACGCACTTGGCGCAGCGGCCATGGCTGACTGCGCATGAGCTGAAACGCGTTCTTTTCCTCCCGTTCGCGGATTTCGCGCTGGAGCTGATTACCTGGCCTAACACACCACATTGTCTTATCATTTGGTGAGTTCATGGCAAAGCAACGTCAGTACGGATGAACCCCGTTTCACGGGAAAAGCACCCCAAAACAAAGCCCATTTAAATATGTCAGAAGCATAGCATAAAAAAAACTGTTCCATGCCCCGTCCGGCTTTGACTGCGCAGAGAGTCGAGGTAGCTCGCACGTCGCAAAAGATGCAGGGTAGCGCCCATTCATAATGTACCTAGCCACAAGTGACAGCCACAACGGCCGCCACTGGTGAGCACCTTGAGAGAAAGTGTGCGTGACAGTGCATGCCTTTATCGACTCTGCATACGTGCGCATCAAACTAAAATTCGAGATGTGACTACCCTACCTTTGCTCTTTCTAATGCATAAAAGTAGAGCCATTACCTGCAGGTCTGGAAAATCTAGTTGAGCTTGCCGCCTCTGAGCAATTCGTGAATTCTCCAGAGGAGTGGGGTGCCAAAAGTTGCGTGCGTTGTATGGTAAACCATACCGAAGTTTGACCCCTGTAGGTCATCCCATCAGCCACATCGGCAGTGGTTGGTCCCTGGCAAGCCTAGCCGGCCCAGCCAAGTTACCAACCATCGCCTTCCCGCCTCCTCCCCGCTCCTCGACGGCCAGCTTTCTTTTGTTTCAGGCTCTAGGCTTCATCCTCCCCAAAACGTACTACTCCATCATAAATCATCTCTTTTGTGCTTTTTTTCTTTTCCCTTCTTCCCCGCCTACCGTCTATCCAGCCGACCCAATATCAAGGACGACTCTCTGTGTTGCGCAAAAGCAAAGCCACCCCCTCCGCTGCAACAAATACGAGCCGACGCCGCCGCTTCACGTTCCACAGCACTCCAGATTCAAGACACTGCCTCTCACCCACACACGTTTTGCACGCGCCTGCAGACGCATGCCATCTAGAAGCCACTAGAGAATCACGTTTCCTCTGTCTCGCCGCCTAGGACGAACCGTTTCCTCGCTGCACCTCGTCTCGCCTTTGGCCGCCTGCGACTGGCATCTCAGCCAACATGTTTGCCACGCAACAGTATACCGAGGTGATTGACGCCGGCCGAAAGAGGCAGCGAGACGAGGCAGAGCTGAACAACGGACCTGCTGGCTTCTCTGAACATCGCGCTGTAAGCTACCTGGTGCGCCATCTACGCGTATCATGCTGACGACATTGACAGAAACGTGTTCAATGCCTCCCTGTACGGACCTCGTCAATGATGCCGATGCAGCAGACCATGCCTTCCGGCATGGGTGAGCCAGACTTCTCTTCAAATTCCAACTACACGACGTGGCAAAATTCGAACCAGATCGATCAGCAAATGACCGCCATGGACTGCGTCGAGATCCAGCCTGCGCTACCGAGCCACCTGCAACCAGACGCTGCAACTGGCCGCATCCCGACGCCTATGCAACCCAGCTTCGCTGACCAGTTTCGCGGCCAGCAGTGGGCCAACTCAAACGCTGCCACCGGACGCCGTGGCATCGTGAATATGGGCCATCACCAAGCTGGCATTGCCGACCAACCGTGCATCCAATGCGACGCGTCTCCGAATCAAGATTGGCAAAACATGCAAAGCAATAGAAGACTGCCATCCCCAATCTCGGAATCAGAAGATTGCATGTCACATTCCCCCGGAAACTCTGCTGCCCTTCAGGCCATGGAGCATCCAAACGCCATGATGGATATCGAGATCCAGCGACCGGCCGCGTCCTCGGATGATGGGGAAGGCGACCCAGACTCGCCCAGCTCCCATCGAAAGGGTCATACCCGAAGTCGACACACAGTTAATACCTGGACGTGGCAACCCGGCATGAAACGCAGCTTCAGTATAGGATACAGGTCCGACTGCGACAAGTGCCGGGACAAGGTGCCTGGCCACTTTAATCACATTATAATCTCATAGAATGGGAAGACCTTCATCGCGGATCCAATCAACCAGCGGCAAGTTTGGGATAATGCGGTGAGACCCCCTTCATGGTCACAACAGAGACAAGGGCTTCGCTGCTTTGCAAAACGGATGCCGTTGATGAATTGAGGTGCGGTCAGCTCCAGCAGAAGGGCTACTACACCATCTCCCCAAGAAGTTCCGCTTGTCTACCTACTCAACTCGGATGAGTCTGAAGTGAACACTCAAGGGTTTTCTGTTATCCCCGGTTGACACCAAAATACACGAACCAAAAAAAGCCTCCTTCCATGGAGCTGTACATTATTGATCATTCTTTGCCCACGAAATCCATTCACGATGTTACTTCAGTGGGACGCGGTGTTTTCCCTATATCAGCATTATTACGGACCGGAGCGTTTGCTTTTTTTATCTTTTTTTAACAGTATTGTCTCAGCGGAATCTTTCTTTTGTATTGGGCTACTGCACTCCTTTACCATCATCATTTAGTACATTCCGAGTTCGGTTGGCCGGCTCGTGTACATTAATTAGAAAAGCTTCTTTGCTACAGGCAGTCACGGCCACCCATTGCAGAGCGCTCTGCATATCATACAGTAATTCATTCTTTACAATTTCTTTTCTTTGGGAATGACTTGTATGCTGTATTATTTGCTAGTGAATTGTTTAGTGCCGTTGGCCTTGTGCTTCGATCTTGTACTTTTGTGATATTGCGCATATGTTGAGGATGAGAGAGTCATCTATCGTACATACAAAAAAAGGACTCCATGACGCCGTCTAATGCTCGAACCATCTACAAATTATGATACAGTCTTGTCGACATCAAGCTTGACAAGCTTTCCTTCAAATCCCGTACAGACGTGTCCACTTCTCGCCCTTGAACCCAAAATATACACTGATGCTGACGCTAGATTTTATTTTCTGTCCATCGCTCCTTGATGACCCGAATTTCAATTACCAGGGCCACCACCCCTTCTTGGTAGGAGCCTGCTCACCCGAGGCGCCGGCGAGGCCTAGCTGGTCCAGGCTGCCGCCCTTTCGCTGGTTCTCCAGCTCCCTGTCCCACGCGCTCCCGGCCACGGGTTCGGTGGGTTCGGCAGGCTGAGCCGCAGGCTGAGCCGCAGGCTGGGCTTCGGGCGCCTCCTTGCTGGCGCTGCCGCCGAACAGGCCGGAGAAGACGCCCAGGACGCCTTTACCGTTGGCGCCGTCGGCCGCGTTGCCGTCGCCTTGCAGCGTGGGCTTAAGGTGCTCCTCGAAATGCGTGCGGTGCTCGGGGGGTGCGATCAGCGGCGGCAGGCGGATGCCCTTCTCCTCGGCCTCGCGGTTCGCCGCCTCGACGAGTGCGGTCTGTTCCTCGGTCGCGTCGCCCTTGAGGTACGCGAGGCGGGCGGTGGCAAGCTCGTCCGATTCGAGCTTCTTCTGGGCCTCGGCCCACTCGGCGCGTCGGGCGCGGTTGTATCGCAGCATGTCCCATACTGAGTATACGCTGACGACGCCGGCCACGGCTAGAGAGAGACGTTAGTCTGTGGCTTCTGGGGGCACTGAAGGTAGAATGCTGTTCGCGGAAACACAAGCGCACCGGTAAATACGACGATACCGCCTACGGTCCAGCGGTGGGCCACATCGAGGAACCTTCGGGACGCATCGATGAAGCGGTCCGTCTGGCTGATTTGGGCCTTTTGCGCGGCCAGGTGCGCGAGTCGTAGTCTCTTGACGCGCTGCTCGGGGGTCTCGCCGGGGATTCTCGAGGGTTTCGGCGTCGCAGTGGCAGCGGTGGCGGACGGTGAAACAGAACCGGCCGTCTTGGATGTGGCGTGAGGAATCGTCGAGGTGAATCTCGTGGCGTCCTTGACGGTGCGTGGGCCAATCCTTGACGCCATGGCTTCCGTTGAGAGATGTGTGGTATTAGATCGGGTGAACGGAAAGAAAAAACAGATTGAGCTGCAAGTAAGGAAATGGGTTGAGGCGAATGGTAGAAGGTTGCGTGGTGGTATACAGAGACAAGACGCTGTCCAAAGATTTTCTGCGGCGAAAATGGGGCGGGCCGGTGCAAAGGAGCTTGTCATGAGATTTTTGGGAGTCCCGGTTTGGCGTGGAATTCGCGCGATATGATTGGCACGGAGTAATCCCGGCGGGCAACAGCTCAGCACTGCAATTTACGAGGAGGAGCATCTCTGGAAATGCGTTGGAAGGGAAGCTGGGATTTGCAGAGCTCTGTGGCGAGATGATCGCTCTTGAGCATCCGTTTGAACGAATGCAAGGGTTGGCCAGATGACAGAGGTTAGAGTGGTTGCCAATTTCGCCCACAGAGCTATCGACCCAGCTCGGATGGAACAAGCACGTAGTTATCACGTAGACCAGATAAAAGGGGCACTGCTACAGGTTTGACCGGTGTCTAAAACCTCAATTTGAGGTGAGCTTATTCTTCATGAAAACGAATGGGCGATGCAATAAGGGCGAACCGAAAGTCGTCTCTTCAGACGAAGCAAACGGCGCCACCTCGAGAGTGGCAGATGATCAACGAGACCTACGGTGCTACCAAGAGCCACAAGCAAGGCAACCAGTTCGACGCAATACTGGCAATATTTTGATCACAAGAAACATCTTGCGCTGACCGCCAACGTAGCAGGACAAATCAAACGTTTGGTTTGATGTCGAGGTTCATCGTCATCGCGTCTTCTTCATGGCGTCGCGTATAGCGTCGTTCACAATGAAAAGCGGATGATATCAAAAATTACGCCCCCTATGGCCCCGAAGGACAATAGAGCGTGGATCGACACCGCGATGTGCAATGCAGGCCTTCCACACTGAAGCCCCCAAATCTTGAGCTGGGGAGTTCGGAACAAGGTAAGTATGAAGAAGAAAAGAAGAAAAAGAAATCGAAAAACGAGCCGGCGCGAGGGGAATTTATAGCTCTTCCCTGCCAGCTGGCAGGTGCCTTCTTGCCTCGCCGCCTTTCAATCCAGGCATCAAAGGCAGACACCAGACGCCCGCACCAAGCCGAAACGGGTATGAGGGATCCACCGCGACGACTCTTGGTCTTCTGCCAGCCAAACTTGCAAACTGGTAGTCTGCACGTGACTGCCCACACACTTTCTCGTAATTTTTTTCCTTCGCTTGTCTGCGCATTGGGAAGGGCATACCCCACTAGGTACGTATCGTTCGTAGGGCACGAAAACCCTTCTAAGAAATTGTCAAGCCTCCAACTCCTACGATTACACCACGCCTCTCGAACAATCGACAACCCGGATCGTTTGATCGTAATCAGTCAAAATGGTACGAACGCCCACCCATTGCGCAAATGAACAACCAATTCATGAGAGAAAATGAATGCTGACGTGACATTTTCCCCTCCCGCAGGCGATCAAGCACAACCAGAAGATCGTTAAGAACCGTGAGCATATAGTCTTCCCCCCGAACCGAAGCCGAAACAGCGACGACTGCAGCTATCGACGACGAATGATGAGCGAAAGAATCAATCGACTGACTGAGGAATTTTTGATTAGACCTTCACAAGGACTGGCAGCGTCGCGTACGCACGCACTTCGACCAGGTATGCGAATTTCGTCTCCGCCGACTCCATACCAGCGCAACTGGTATCGCGGCGAAAAGCATGGGTGGAAATGTGGTTATTGACGTGATTTGGAATCTCTAGGCCGGCAAGAAGGCTTCCCGCCGCACCGCCCGTCAGGCCAAGGCCGCCGCTCTGGCTCCCCGCCCCGTCGACAAGCTCCGTCCCATTGTCCGATGCCCTACTCTCAAGTACAACCGCAAGGTCCGCACCGGCCGCGGTTTCACCCTCACTGAGCTCAAGGTACGAAAGTGACGGCAAATAAATTTGAGGCTCGTCGTTCTTTTCTGCGCATCATCCCGCTCGACGACAAGCACACAACCTGAGAAGAAGCTCAGTCCACGATAAACGGAAATTGTTGCACTCGAGCGGGACAATGCATTCGGATGAAGAAACGACCTTGCGCCACCTTGGTTGCTCCTAATGTAGCATTCACTGACCCAATCTACAGGAGGCTGGCATCCCCCGTCCCCTCGCTCCCACCATCGGTATTGCCGTCGACCACCGCCGCCAGAACCTTTCCGAAGAGTCCCTGGCCCTCAACGTCGCCCGTCTCAAGGCTTACAAGGAGCGCCTGATCCTGCTGCCGCGCAAGTCCAGCGCCGCCAAGAAGGGCGAGACCAAGGCCGCCGAGCTCTCCAAGGTCAAGACCGTTGCCTCCGTCGCCGCCGCCCTCCCCGTCGCCGCCACCGACCTCGCCGTCAAGGAGATCAAGAAGGGTGACATGCCCGCCCCCGTCAAGGGCGGCGCCTACGTCGCCCTCCGCCAAGCCCGCTCCGAGAAGCGCTACCTGGGCGCCCGCGAGAAGCGCGCAAAGGACAAGGCCGAGGCCGAGGGTGCGAAGAAATAAACCGTTGTCGATCCGGGGAACAGTAGATGAATTAAAAAATCAAATGGGATACTGGTGTTTTATCAGGGTTTTTGTGCTCTTTGCGTGTCTGAAAGGAAATGGGCCAGCTGCGTGCTTGGCCTGGTTCAGGAGCAGCGTAACTCTAGGTCCAGAGTAAAGATATATTTGCATGATCATTGACTCTCCCTTTTGTACTCGACGCTGAATGAATAAAAAAATTTACATGACTCGGCCTTTTGCTCTACAGGCTTTGATTTCGTAGCACTATTTCGTGTGACTAACATCTTAATGGATCGCAATTGCAAATGAGGATGGAGCTATGTAACTATGTACCTTGGTACATTATGCTGTATCCGGTTCTTTGCTTCTGACGGGAATTACCAGCTCAGAGCCGCTCTTGACCAGACTCGTTGGAATCGATTCCTCGCTTCTATGTGCCACTACAAGCTCAGCGCCCTCCTTGAGAAGACTCTCCAGGAACCGACGGCTGAGTGGCTCAAAGTCGTCCCTCCAGTTCCTCAACAGCTCAGTGCACATAACGAGGGCATTCTCACGCTCCACGGCTGCGACGCGTTCCTTTTCCTTTAGGTCAACCCGCTGCGGCTTCAAGTTCAGCCCCTCGGCGACTGACAACGCGTCTGTGGCTTCTTCGTTGTCCTCATTCACGACTTCCGTGAACTGAGCGTCCGTTTTCCGGCCGGTGATTGTTTCGGTTAGCTGTGAGGCGACCATCTCCTGCTGCAGTATCGCGGCAATAACGCTGGAGCCATCGCTGGAGCGTGACATGAGAGCCAACACGAACCACGCCTCGGAGCGCAGGACCTGCCACTTCTTCTGAGTGATGAGAAATGACAGGGGCGTGCCGACGTCATGATGAGCATAAAATTCGGCCCGACTCTTACTGTCAGATGCCGTCCCGTCGCCGGGAAGCAGCTCCGCCGCGGCGTTGGAGTGAAGGACACGACAGATGACGGAGACGGCCCGGGCGGCTTCAAGTTTGATGGGTTCCGTGTCTGTGCGGCCAAAGAGCGAAAGCAAGTCACTTACGCTATCTTTCTTTTGCTCTGTGTCGGAGCCACCGCTGGTAGTAGTAACGGCGCTTTGGCTGTGGTAGCTGCAAAAATGCGACACATTGTCCGCGCAGTTGGATAACAGAAGCCGTGTCAGCGAGGCTGCGGCGTACTGGACTTGCGGTACGGCGTCTAGGCTGTAGATGCGCGGCACACAAGCCGGGTCGAGCAGACGACGTAGAGCAAGCTTGTTCTGCGCGGGGATGGCGATGTTCTTCAGGAGACAGAGCACCGCGTGTAGCAGCTGGGATTCTGATATGGACGGATCGGCAAGGATAGCAATAAGCGGTTCTTGGAGAGCAAGATCCTCAACGAGCGCCCTCGCCGCCTCGTCCGAGCGGGACATGTTGCCGAGCGCCAGGCACGCGGCTGCCTGAAGCTGTGAGTTGCCGGTGCGGAGCCATGCGAGGACTGTGAGCGCAGCCGTTGAAGTCGATGGATATACCATAGGGAAGTCGTCCTGTGCAGTGAGCTCGGCCACCATGTTGAGCATGGAGAGGTAGAGCTTCTTTAGAACGGTGGCCATTTCCGGGTCAGTGATGCTGGACACGTCGAAGCCCGTGTTGGCGTGGTGGAACGCTTCTAGGAAGAGATCGATCTGATGGCGGCTGATAGCGAGCTTCTGGAATTTGTCGGCTGCTAGGTAGGCGACAATGACGGATAAGAGCGCGGCAAACTCCTCCACGTCGTCTTTACAGGGGCTGTTGAGGGCGACGGAGAGGAGTACTCCGACAGTCGTGTCGGCAGCAGCATCAGTCTCAGCTTCATTACTGACAAGAAGCGCAAGGATTCGGCCAATGTACGGTATCATTTCCATGAACAGTGGCAGGTTGGGCGAGGAGAGGAGATTGATCATGGATGCGCTGATCTTAAGCTCCGCGGCGCGAGCCTGGGCGGGTTCTGTTACGGGGTTTTATTAGCAAGACAGGCCTAGCAATAATGGTTCAATCTGTTGTTATAATGCAGTCACATACCGTAGTCGACCATGATATTGTATAGTACCGGAATGGCGACATGCACGACGCTCTCGTCACTGAGCTGGCGGATTACCATCTCCATATGTCTTCCTTGCAGCATAAGGGCCCGGTTCTTGTTCATCTCAGCACACGAATTCCCGACAACTCGCAGGGAGTGAATCTTGAGCTTGTGGGTGATGTCTTCCTTGGCTAACTCTTCAAGAAAGAAGTCCAGGATGCCCGAGTTACCGTATGGCACACGCCAGGCCTCTGAGCACAGAATTAGTGCCAAGATGCTCTTATTATCCGGATGGTCTCAAATGGGAGGAGACATACCATCTCGACTTCCGTCGCCCAGCTTCTCAGCCGCTATCTCGAGCTGAGTCCGGTCCTCGGCTCGCAGCTCCTTGCAGGTTTTCAGCACATCCGCCAGCAGCTCAGTTCGCCGCTGGACATTAGACACCGTCTCGAGAGCCATATCGTACTCTTCGGAAAATTCTCCATGGCCCTCACGCTTCAGCAAGTCTTCGATATCTTGCGGTGTCATGGTTGCTGGCGGAATTGCAGCCCCTCCTCACAATGGATCTGAGCAGCTGAGTGTGATGGTGAACCCGTCGAGGATGGGCCACGAGAGGGAGTAGCAACTAGAGGCGGTAAAAGGGCGAGTCTGATGAAAATTTCTCAAGTATTTTGGTTTGAGCGCTAGTGATAATGTCAAAACGCCGTTATCGAAATAATTGAGATGTTGAATGTTAACCCCAGGCTCGGGTCGAACGGTGAAGCCGTCTGGGACGGAGCCTGCTGTAGGCTGCTCTCGCCCGCTGTGAAAACCGCTGCCAACGCTGTGGAAAGCGCAAATTGACCATGTCGGGCGTGGCATGAGGGTGTGAATAGCCGACTTCTAGATAATCAAACCTATAAGCTTTACTCATTCCGATTTTTCATTTTTTTTATACCATCCAAACAAATTTCTTTAAAAAAAGATTGACTGAATGGTCATTACCACTCTCTCGCCGAGTCGCTCTCTTCAACCATGACTAAGCACCAACAGGCCCGGCGCAAGAACGGCCCTGGGCAAGGAAAATCTAGCGCCTCCGGAATCTCGCGATTTTGCTCTCCTTTGTGTCTGTTTCTTTTCCCGACTCCAAGGCCGCCACTCACCTGCCCAAAGCAGACAACGCAGAAATATTTGCTGTCTTGCGGGAGAGAGCTTATCCTAACTCCTCGCATTGTATTTTATCCCTTATCCCACACGTCCCCTCAGCGATTGATTTCGTCTGATTCAAAATGGTACGGAAGTCACCCGCAGCCCGGCCCTGGCCCGCATCACTGCGCAAGAGCCCTTGCGCCCGCGCACAGCTTGCTCGGCCTCTCCTGACGACATCTCTATCGCTTCATGGCAAAGTATCTCTATCTAACAGGCTCTCCCCTCTAGGCGCACCGCTTCGTCCTCACAGCCTTCGTCACCGGCTCCCGAATCCTCGGCCGTTCCTTCGTCGCCGCCTACAAGCAGGCTCAGGCCGCTTCCAAGTACCAGCGCGCGCAGGCCAAGGCCGGCGGCTCCTCAGCAGGTGCTTCCCTCTCGGGTGGCATGACCCTCGACGAGGCCTGCAAGGTGCTCAACGTCAAGCCCCCGGCCGGCGGCCACGCCAACGTCGAGGAGGTGCTCGAGCGATACAAGCGGCTCTTCGACGCAAACGATCCGCAGAAGGGTGGCAGCTTCTACCTCCAGAGCAAGATAGTGCGCGCCAAGGAGCGCTTTGAGCGTGAGCTCGGCCCTATGCGCGAGAAAATTGAACAGGAAGCCGAGACGAAGGAGGGTTGGAAGCCCAAGGTTTACAAAGACCGGTAGGGGGCCAGATGGCGCTCTTACGGCCTGCGTGGCGGACAGCGGACAGCGGATACCCGAAAACGATGCGCACGCGCACTTTAATGATTCGATTCTTGAAAACGATTGACTCGAGGCGACAAAAAGCACGCGAAAATAATATCTGGTAACGAACGAATTGCTGCCAAAAAGGAAAGGAGAAGGAGACATTTCCTTTGTATACATGTACATCTTCACTCGACTGCGGCATGGCACGGCGTTTCATGGGCGGAAAATATACAATCTAGAGAAGCGAGAAGCCATCAAGAGACTGACAACAGCCTCTGGCGCTGAAGCAAAAACTGGTAAATTTGTTGGGTATCTTGCTTGACACTGAGGCAAGCTCGATCGCCTGACAAATTACCACCTGTATTATTTCATCAACAATATATCATCTACATAAAACCTATGCATTTTAAGTATTCCCAACGCTCTACTCTTTTCTTCGTACGAGACCCTTCCAGTAGTCGAAGCTGTTCTCGTCGCTCTGCAGCGACCATATGCGACCGGTCCCCCGCCCATCCCTGTCCGTCTCCTCGACGCGGAGCATGCCCCAGTCGCGCGTGATGCCGAGCACCCTCGCGCGCGTGCCCGCCTCGGCCTCGAGCGTGATCTCCTGGCCCGTGTGCAGCCAGTGGTTGTAGTACCGCGACTCGAGGTTCCTGGAGAAGCCCTCGCGGCGGAACTGCGCGTACACGGCCTCGGCGCGCGCCAGGATGCGCGCGAGCAGCGTCTCGAGGTGCAGCGGCGCCGCGCCCTCGCCGAGCATGTCCGAGATGGACGTCGTGGGGCGCGGGTTCACGGCGTTGATGCCGATGCCCAGGATGATCTGGTAACTGCCGTCGTAGTAGCCGCACTGCGAGAGGATGCCGCCAATCTTGACAAACGACCTTTCCGATGGGGGCTTGCTCGGGTCCAGCGCATCTTGGGAGATTGTTAGCAAGAATGGGAGGAAGAATGGGGGAGGGAGGACGTACAGATGTCGTTGGGCCATTTGAGCTTGACCTGGAGATTCTCGTAGCCGCGACCGTACGACTGGATCGCTTCGACGACGGCGATGGCGGCAATGTACTGGATGAAGACGACGGGCCGGGACGCGGCGAGGTTGGCGGGGTGGTTGATGATGACGGAGAAGAGAAGAGAGCCGGGCGGCGCGAGCCAGACGTTGGTTCCGCGGCCGCGGCCAGCAAGCTGCGTGGAGGCTGTGAATGTAAAGCCCGACGGCAGCTTCGCAATAAGCTTAGGGTTCCTATGTAAGGTGCAAGCTATTAGCATCTCTCTACACTACACTAAGAAAAAAAGAAATCCGCGCTGACGTACTTTTCAAGAAGGACATTGGTGCTCGTGACAACGTCACCGTACAGAAGAGCGTTGCCCCATGCGCGGGCGTCGTTCTCGACGGACTGAATCTGCTGCAGGCTCGAAAAGAAGAGCCTGTGGTTGAAACGCGGCGTAAGCTTCTCATCTGGCAGCTGCTGCTCATGGGCCACGATATCCTTTGTGACGGCCTTGTAGTCGGGCACGCCATGCGCGTCGAGTTCTGTAGCCGCAGCAGCCGCAGCATCCGGCAGAGCCTCTCTTAAATCTTTGAGGTTCCAGGCACCCTCCTGGCTGCGGATTCGGAACGTGTCGGCCTCGCCCCGGAGGAGGTCTTGCCCGTGCTCCCTGTCAACGACGTCTCGCCAGGCATACAGGAGCTCACTGACCGTGCCGCTGTCCGCGGCGGACAGGTGGAGGCTGGTGAGCGCGGGCGGCGCGGCCCCGTGATCGTTGACCTCGAGACTGAGGCGCTCGAGGCACAGGGCCAGGAAGCCGGACCGCGTACGCTCGTCACGCGCGAGGCTTGCGATGAGCTCGTCGTAGCCGGGGACGTCGGGCTGGCGATGGAGGTTCTCGGCGGCGAATCTACGCCGCGGGGTTTGTGTCAGTCACGGCAGTCCGCTATGATCACGCATATCTAGTAAAAAGGGAGCGCTTACTCTGGATGGGTGCCGCAGAGGATCACATTGCCCTCGCCGACTCTGCACTGGACAACGGCGGCCCGGCCGCCATCAACGTCCAGCTCGTCGCAGTACGACGCCAGCACATGTACCTTCTTTCCCTGCAGCTGCTCCGCGTCCACAAAGACGCCACCCCCGTTGTAGTAGCAGGCCATCTCAGCCGGCAACTTGTCCTTGACCACATCCTCCGAGAGGCGCAGCCGGGCAGCGCGCGCGCCACGCTCGCTCGCGTACTCGAAACCCTTGAAGGCGCCGCCGCGGCAGGTGCCCGGGAAGAACGCGAGCTCGCGGCTGCCGACGACCTCCATGGGCGGGTTGCCGACCTCAAATTCGCAACGGCGGGACGCGTAGTAGCCGCCGGCGCAGAGGCCGAGGTAGGCGCCGCCGCGGCGGACGAATTCGGCGATGCGCCGGTTGCCCTCGCCGTTGAGCACGCGGCAGTAGCCAAGGTCGCCGCCACCGGGAATGACGAGCAGCGCGCACGTCGGCGACCACGGCTCCCGCAGGAGCACGCCCTCGCCGATGGGGATGACGGCGTAGTTGGGAGAGAGCAGCCGGCGGAGCGAGTACATGGCGTGGCGGACCGACTCACTCGTGGTGCCGGTGCCTACAGGGAGAAGGAAATTGAGTCAGGTCAAGAAGAGCGAATTTGAGAAGGTTTTATCCCAGTAGAAAAATGAGGAATACCTGTATAAACGAGGACATTGAGCCGTTGTGGCGCCATCGCGGCGAGTCCGCAAAGCGAGTTGTCTCGGGGTAGATGGGCCACCCACGGCGTGCAGATGAGTCGGGAGATTTTCCACCTTACAACCTTTGGGAAAGCAGCGACGAAAATGATGGGATCGTCACAATCCGCGCAGACAGAGAATCAAAAGGCGGAGCACGACAAGCTGCAACAGCCTGACGCTGCGGCCCAGACAGGAGATGACGATGAGCCGGATGAGTGGTGAGTGTGACTGCGTTTGTATGGTCGAGATGTTGAGACGCTGAGCGAAAGTGCCGCGCTGTGGCTCGCTGGTTGTTGAGTCGGTTGAGTTGATCCGATGCTAACCTTGGGTGACTACTGAGCAACAGGGACAAGCGAATTTTCAGTACAGGATGCTCGGGTGAGTTTTTAAAGGGGTTTTGAATTGGGATTTCTTTTTCCTTCAATTTATAGCAGGCCAATGCCGACACGTTTTGGGTCTCATCACATGTTCCATGGGCCGCTGTAAGCTGACTTGATGTCTGTCACAGAGGAGAATGCCAAGATGACAGACTGCTATTTTGAGAAGAAGGATTGGCGTGCATGCGCATCCGAAGTAAGTCTGCTTAAGCTCAATGTCTATTCGATGTTTTTCCCTCGGCAGTCTTCTAGTGTTTCCTTGCATAATGGTATCTCTTTTGGACCTCTGCTGACTCTCACCAGATGCAGCAGTTCAAGGAGTGCTGGAAGCGCCATGGAAACGACGAGCGCACATCCACCAAGAACGCATAATCGTGTCGTTCATATAGAACTCCATGGAACTGTATACTCTTTCTGTATACTATTTCATCACCTCACTCTGTATTTATAGAAAATACCCAATTCAACATTTTACTCGTCATACCAGTACCGACTCTACCAAGAATTGTGGGTCCCTTTCGTGACAAGGTCGTACATTGAAAAAGCTGTTCGACGGTTGCTTTTCTCTTCTGTCTCTGCATCATCCAACTCCTTGGGCATTAATACAGTCGACGACTGTATACTTCGTCACGCACATAATGAACGCCTCTCGCAGAGCCCTCTCGCAAGGGCAGCAGCAATTGCGCTGTTCAAGCCGCCTCGCCGTACGTAGCTTTAGCAGTACGTCACGATTCTCGGCGGCCTATTCATCCTCGCCCTCATCAGCTTCCTCGCCCTCTCCCAAGACAGAGACATCCTCACCAAAAACCACAACAGCCGCGAAGCCCGCGTCCGCCCAACCCACGCCAGCCTCCCGACCAGCATCGACAAAGCCCTTTTCGAAGCCCTTTTCCACCTCGAGCAGCAAAGCTGCCACCGCAATCCCCAGCGAGCTCTTTTACCAGGCGACGACGATTGCGAACGCAGAGGGGAGCGCCGACGCCGTCGTCCCCACGGTGGACTGGTCCGCGAGCTTCTACGGCATCGCTAGCCGGCCCGCGACGAGCGCGCAGTTCGCCGCGCTCATGCGGCCGCTCAACGTGGACGACATCGAGGTCAAGCCCGACGGCATCATCTACCTCCCCGAGATCCGCTACCGGCGGCGCCTCAACGAGGCGTTTGGCCCGATGGGCTGGGGCCTGATCCCCAAGGGCGACGCCGTCGTCGGCGACTCCATCGTCACGCGCGAGTATGCCCTGATTGTCGACGGAAGGTAAGACGAAAATCCCTTGTCCTGCCGCGTTGTAGACAAGCAGGCAAAAGAAAAGCAGTCAAACAAGGGGCGAAAAAAAAAAGAGAGAGAACTTCAGCTGACATGCACCGCCCCCCTGAATAGGTTCGTCTCCCAGGCGCAGGGCGAAAACTCATACTTTGGCGCCGACCAGCTCCCCTCTGCCGTCGAGGGCTGCAAGTCCAACGCGCTCATGCGCTGCTGCAAGGACCTCGGCATCGCCTCGGAGCTCTGGGACCCCAGCTTCATCCGCTGGTTCAAGAAGAACCGCATGGAGGAGGTCTGGGTCGAGCACGCCACCACCAAGAAGAAGCGCACCCTTTGGTACCGCAAGGGCGCCGTCGAAGTCGCCTACCCTTACCGCCAGACGAAATAGAAAGAAACATCGGATTGTCTTCGGATGAGCGTGGGAAAGTTCTTTGGATGTGTATAATATATATTCTCGACAACAACGGTGGGGCATGATAGACAAAATACCCTCGATAATCTACCTGTACATTAGAAAACGTTTTTACGGTTTTGCATAAACCCGTCGCCATCTTGAGTTTCTTCTCACTACCAGTCAAATTCAGACATTCTCAAAGCAAAAAGCAATATTGCATAACGCCTGTACGTATCATAACTGTATCACTGTATATCTACATCCAAGCGATTTAATAAAAGTATGTAAACCCGCGCTGTTCAGCAACGCTGTCTACGGTCTAACGCCGGTCTTCCTAAGGAAAGGTCTCGTCCTGGTTGCAGCGCGAGTTGCAAACCTAATGCTCCCGTCCGGTGGTAGAGCCATGGTCCTCGCCGTGCCCCTCGCCGCCTCCCCATCCCCACGGCATCCAAGAGCCGCCTCCCGACACATTGCGCCTGCGCATAGTCAGCTCATCCTCAGCGCCACTGTCGGCATCAATCTTTTCAAAGTCGCCCTCGCTACGGCTCTTGCTGAGAGCACTTAGCATGCTAAGCCCGCTCGGCGATCGAGGCGCAGAGTCGGCGTCCGCCGGCCCGTCAAAAGCGCCTGGCGTGGCTTGCTTTGGTGTCTCGTTTTGAAGCTCTTGCGCCTCACGGTCAAGAGCAGCCAGAAGGTAGCTGAGTCGTTCTTTCTGGGTAGATATGAAGCTCATCTTCTCGCCAGAATCACGCAGGTGCTCCGGGATGAGATGGCCAGACGCAGTCAGGTCAGTACCTGGAGCGCTCCTAGCAGCTCCGGCACCGCTAGCGGCCGCGACTGCACTGGACAAGAGGCTATAGAAGTCGCCGCTGCCCTGTGCACCAGTTGTGGCCCATTTAGCGGAAGGGATACTAAACCTCGAGAGAAGCGCCTGGGTATAGCCTTGGGCGCCGACGTTCTCGGGCATAGGCGCGGGCGGCTCAGCCGGAGGCATGCCGAGCAAGTTCTCTCTAACATAGTTGATAGCTTGGCGAATGTATGAAAGCCCTGCTGATTTGAGTCGCTCGTGGGAGCTCGCAATGAACTCATCGATCTGCGACTCGTTGTCTCGTAAGAAGGGGTGGACGTACTGCTCGTATAGAACACGGGCGCCTTGGGTTTGCGGTAAGATGAGGTAGAGGAGAAACACCAAACGAAAGTATCCATAAAAGGGTATCCTAACGCAAGAGAAGGAATTGTCAGTGATTGAAGGCGACGACTGGGTAACGGGACGTGACGAACCAAGTGACAATGAATGACACCCAAGACTCGGCCAAGAGGCAGATGCTAAACACCACCCAGTACATAAGCCATGGTGTTAGCTGCGCCGGGTCGGAGGTTTTGAGAGCCTTGTAGGAAGCGAAGATCGGGAAGAGGAAGGATGCCACCGAGCTATCAGGTCACAACGGCATACTGTCAGTAGTGTTGTCGTGATAGGCAGCGCCCGCAAACCCAACGCGGGGCAAACGGAGGAGAGGCTCACCAGAGCAGCATAGCAGGTAGGTCAAACATGGTGGGCGGAAACGTGTAGTCTGCGCAGAAGTAGGATAATTCTGAGATTCAAATACTGGAAATAATTTTTGCGTTGAGGAGGGGGGGAGGCGAGGAAACGTTTTGCGACGTAGGAAAGGCGGTGGTGGTGGTTGGCTTTATCGGGAGGACGGTTTGGGCAGCTGACTTTCTGATACGACTCGAGGCAGAGGCCAGTTGGGCTGTAGGGAGAATTAATATGGGAGAGAACAGGCCAGCTAACCGCTCATAACGGATGAGGAGTTGATGACACGACAGCAAAAGTAGAGGCCAGGTTGGAGATATGTCAAGAAGAAGCCACGCCGTTTGAAGAGATGGGAAGTGGAGGAGGGGAATCGAGAGTTGCGTCGTCGGCGGGCGCAGGTGATGATGCACAGCAGCAAAGGTGAGCCTCGAGGTCCGAAAAGGGAAAGCAAGTGAATGGACACGCGATATTGGCAACTTGCAGTGGGGAAGCGCCTGTAAAAGTCCATTCTAGAGCTTAAAGTGGCTTACAGTTAGGGGACATTGGGGTCTTTTGAGGGAAAGTTTAGGGGTTCATAGCGCCAGTTGCACATCGACAGCGGGCCTATAGTACCCTGCAGCCCGCTAATAGACACGCTGATCACCCTGGCCAACAACAGCTCGCCGCCTTTGGCTTGGACTCGAAGCTATTTCCCCCCCCCCTACGTCATCAGCCACGCGTGACCTCTTTTCCCATTTTTAGTCAAAGATGCAAGCAACTTCTTGGCCTGGTGAGCCGGTGAGACTGACTGGCCACTCCTCGCCATCGAAGAAAAGATCCAGCCTGCTCCTGCCCGTCCAGTGCTACCCTCGGATGCCGACGGTAAACTCTCGGTTTCGGCCGGCCTAGTACGAGCAAAACATCGACCGCAAACGACGGCTACCAGCAATTGAGCTTGATATTTACCTAGATACCAACCATCTGCAGAAAGGACGCTAACCATACTTTGCTTTAACGTTTCATTTATTCGAGTTATATCTTTCCCCTTCACGGCTGCCTGGAGGGACTATGCCCAAGCTCCGCAACCCCGCGACTCCCTAACGAAACGAGTGGAGGGTCCATGCGAAAATCGCTGCCTGCAAGATGCAAGAGATGCACACGTCCCGATAGTAAATCGGTGAATTGGTGCTACCCGTGGATCGGCTCCGGGAGATTATCTTGTGCCACCTGAGCCTCAACATGGAACAACAGAACACCCCCTTCCCAAGGCCAGCTCCCCTGAGCCGCGCTTCAATAGCGCACAGATCCGACCCGGTACTCACGGCCAGAGCTCCTTTGCAATGTCCTGCACCAACTTGAGCTTGGCAAACATCTTTCCCTCCGTCATGCCGTCCGCTCCGACCGCCACGCTGGCGAAACCGCACTGCGGGCTGATGCCGATGCTGTCCATGGCCTCGTCCACGCTGATGCCCTGCCCGGCCGCCACGATGCGCGCCGCTTCCCTCACCCGCTGCTCGACCTCACCCGCATCCTCGAGCGCCGGGTCCTTGGTCGTCACCACCCCCAGCACCACGTTCTTTCCCCTCGGGAGGTGGCGCAGGGGCTCGAAGCCGCCCGAGCGCGCGTCGTCGTACTCGAGGAAGAACGTGTCGTAGTCGAGCGTCGCGAAGAAGCGCTCCGCGATGCGCTCGTACGAGCCCTGGCTGAAGTGCATCGACTTGGCAAAGTTGCCCCGGCAGATGTGCAGGCCGACGTGCATGTCCGCCGGGCGCTTCGCGATGCAGTCGTTGTGCGCCTTGAGATACTGCGCGAAGAGCGCCTCGGGATCCTCGCCTTCAGCCTTGAGCGCGCTAATCATCTCCTCGGAGCAAAAGTACGCGAGCGTCGGATCGTCAATCTGCAGGTTGCGCAGGCCCTCATCGTACAGAGCCTGGATCTCCTGCTGGTACGCCACGGCAAGATCGGCAAAGAAATCGGCATCGTTGCTGTACGCGTCGGGACTGTAGCACTTGCCCTTGGCCAAGCGCAAGTGAAAATAGCATGGTGGTGGCATCGTAAGCTTGCACGCGCTCCATTTCTCCCTCGGCAGGGTTTCTCGTAGCATTTTCCAGCTGTTCATGTATGGGCTCTCCAGCCGCCGAATCTTGCCGTGGCAAATGGCTGCCATCGGGTACTGCTTGCCAGCCTTCTTCAAGGCCGCAATCGGTGGTGCCGACACGCGCGCGAGCTCCCCCGGTACCGGGCTCACCTCCTTGAAGCCGTCCAGCTTCTCAAAGAAGCCCGAGAAGTAGTACTTGCGGTCGTATTCGCCGGAAGAGATGGCACGCACGCCATGTGCCAACTGCTTCTGGACAATGTCCTTTATGGCTGCTCGTTGGACGACTTGTAGGTCAGCGCCGGCGAGGCTTCCATTGTCGGCTTTTTCCTGTGCCTCGGACAGTGAGGCGGGTCGAATCAAGGACCCGATATGATCTGCGTGAAATTGAAGCTTATTTTTTGTCATTTTGACTAACTTCGCGAAGAAGAGAGGAGTACAGGAGTACAGAGTTCAAGGGACAAGATCAGTCAAATACTATCATTCGGGCATTTATGCTTCGATGTACCCCGCACGATCTGCACAGTATCCCCCTCATCTACAGAGCTGTCATAATTACAGTCTTCAGTATTTCAAGCCGGTGGAACTCATGTGGCACGCACAATCACGGCTGGTGAAATCGTGGCTGAACTACTCAAAGCTAGTATTTACGTCAGTCTTTACGCAAGTATTAACACCTCAGCCGATGCTGCTCGCATCATGGTTTTTCTTATTTCCAACCAACTTTTGGCTTTCGTTATCACTTGGGCAAAACAGCCACTTTATGTATATCACCAACCCCGCTCACATCGGCAGTTCCAAGGCCAACTGCCGCTCCGGACATCCGTAGTTCGCCGTTGCGATGTGGGGAAGTATTCCCGGCGGCACCCGTTGGGGATTGGGCTGCTGATCCGCGATGTCCGTAATAACTAATAAACTGGACACTCATCTTTGTGGGGAACAGGATCAGAAAGAATGCTGCGTATCGCTGGCTTTCATGCCGACACTCACGACAAGCCCCCTCAGCACTCAGGAAAGGTACACGGCAGAGCGGCACAATTAGGATAAGAGCAATATCTAGAGGCGGAAAATGGACAGGAGACAAGAGGACCCTGATTCTTCGCGCTATTGCAAAGAACCGCTGCGTTGGAAGATCTTTGAGCAGGGATTTGTCGGCCAACTGCGCAGCAGAAGAGTCCCTCGACGCGATTAGTAACTGCAGGATGCACTTAATACTAAGTTGGATACAATTCCATTTATCAAAATCAATTGGGTACTTGAGAAAATCCGCGCAATAAACGAACAAGAGGCCTGGCAGGGCTGCGGCGCGACCCGACGACCCAGCGCCTCCACAGAAGCTGTTGCGACAGGAATGCTGGCTTCAGACGCGTGATTGATTAACACATTTATTCGACGACATCGAGAGTGATCCTAGCTTTCTATTGGTCCCAGGCTGATTAGCAAGGTGGTATGCTTTTTTCCCGCTCCAAGAGAACTCCTTAACGGACTACTGATATTTCCGTAAGTAGGGCTGGCGGCGGGCAGCACGGCTTGGCCCAAATCACTCCAATGTCTCGTCTCCCATTCTGCTCCAGGTCCCAGGCATGCCCCAATCTCTGCGATGAGCCGATTGATGGCTTCATTTTGGCGGAAATGGATCCGTGGAGTACTAGCCCACCTGTCATCTGAAGTCTGAAGGGACGGCTCAACGTGTCATCCCTGCAAACTTGACCATGAGCCCATCGTAGAAGCAAGAGAGCCCCCGCAAAAGCCGGTGTGGCGATGAGGACTCTGCATTTTACGCTGTATTTTGGAAAAGTGTGCGTAGAAACATAATTATTCGATCGTAACATACGTACCGCGTTGTTTGATATCACAATATTTACTCTATTGTTACTCTAGACGCGTTCAAGGGTTCCATAACCATGTCACAAGTTTTTATCATAAGACATGTTTTGCTGTAATTTTATTTCATTTCCGTGGAATAAGTGGGGTGCAAGTGTTCCAAAGTTTCAATCATGGAAGAATGTAAATATGATGACGCTGGACATACTTCTTTTATTTCGGTTCAAACGTCAAGTTTGACAGCACTACGAAATTTGGGCTCAGTACCTATATCACAGCATAGTCATGTAAAACTAGGGTGAGGGCTATAGAAATAAATAGACCTGCTTCAGAAATCCATGCAAATTCAAGAAATTATTATTTTTACACAGACTTATGGCGAAAGGACGAGCGCAATGATCCTTCTACATTTTTGCAGCGCCTACCCTATAGCACAAGATCAATGTAGGAACGCGAAGCTGATGATCTCCACACCGTGTCTTGGCTTCTTCGTGTTGTCATCTACGTACGGCACACGAACGGCGACTTACTGACGGCAAGATGATAGGGACGATGCGCTTAGGAGATGCATGATTTCTTCTAAAAACAGCCCATAACAAGCAGACACATTCGTTTGAAGCAGGTCTTCTAATGATTTCTAATGCCTACGCTTTACGGACCCTTGATGGGCCTACCGTTTGCCACCAAATATGACGAGGTAGACTCCCTCTCCCCTGGCGCATATGCGCCATTTCTAAAACCTTAAACTTTATACAGATCCCGATCGGATGAAACCTAAAGCGGAGGAAAAATGCGGCGGGAAATTACCTTGCACGGCGCGGAGCTAGATCGCGGACCCTCGGGCAGACCCTCAAACGGAAGAACACTGACCACGGAACAGGGCATTGGGAGAGTGCCTGGTCAATGCACGTCGAGTAGCAGACGTTAGATATGGCAGCTCTCCTGAGATATTGAACGCGTCGCCGCTGCTTCCTACGTGGAGATGGGCGGTCCGACTCGAGATGAATCACAAACAGCAAGGATCGCCGTTGCAGCATCTACATGCTGCTGGCAGCATTGCATACATACCACGAACCTGAATTCTCCAAAAGGCAATGTCACACCCAGCATACCAATTTTCGATCCAGAGTCTGGTCGAGAGCATGTCGCGTCTTTGCTCGCCGATCCGTGTTGCGCTTGCTGGAATTCTCCCTTCGCACGAAGTGGATAGAGCCATCCCAACTTGTCCCCCCTTGCACCATATCATCTACACCCTCAGTCTTCGTTCGTCTTGACTACTCAAACCGACAAGCCGAAGATGGGGAGGAAGATTAGCTCACGGATCGAATCCAAGACACAACATGCGCCAACACGCGCTGCCGCCCGCAAAGCTAGCATTCTTCAGCATCGGTCCAGGAGCGTCTTCGTCGGGCTCTCGGTCTGGGGCGAGCATTCTTTCCCCGAGAATGCTGCATTTTCTCGGAAAATCAGCAGAAAGATGGGAAGCAGTACATCAGTACTAGCGCGTCACGAACTGCACTTCTAATCCAGACCGGTTATAAATAACGGCCGCTCATCTGCCATTGGAATACTTTCTCCTCCTCTTCATCACCTCCCGCATTCGCGATTACATTCACTTTCCGCTAGGCCGAGCGCCCTTGTCATTCATTCTTAACCCCCACAGCACCCTTTTGAAGACCCTGCCAAGATGCAGATGTCCCTCATTCTCGCCCTTGGCGCGGGCAAGGCCGTCATGGCCTCCCAGATGTTCCAGAACAGTACCGCAAATGCCACCTATTCCATGCCCCAGACGGTTGGCGAGTTCGAACTCGTCGGCTGCGCCGGTGTCTCCAACTTTAAGATGGTTGCCCAGTCCGAGCAGATGTCACTGAACCTTTGCGCCGCTAGCTGCGAGTCCAAGTACTTTGCCACCCACAAGGAGTGAGTCCACCGTCTTCCGACCGCATCATATGATCATTAGTCTAACCATTCCCTGTAGCGAGTGCCACTGTGGTGACGAAGTTGCCGATGATCTGATCACGAGCAGCCCCCAGAGCTGTGCCATTCCCTGCCCTGGCAACGACAAGGAGGCTTGCGGCGGCGCCAGCGCCAACCTCGCCCGCCGCGGTGATCGCAAGCTCTGCAGTGTCTACGTCCGCCGCCACAAGCCCGAGGCCAAGACCAAGATCGAGTACCACGTCCACACCATCACTGCCTGCCCCCACCATGTCGTGGACTGCCATGCCGCCCCCCACGTCACCACCCAGACCAAGACCATCACCACGGAGGTCTGCCCCGAGCCCGAGTGGCACAAGAAGAAGATTGTCTGCTACGGCCCCCACTGCGCACACGAGTGGCCCTGCCACGGCGATGACTGCAAGAGGGAGCGTGTCATCTGCAAGGACGACAAGTGCTGGGTCGAGGAGTGCCCCAAGGGTGAGGACTGGACCAAGCTCGTCATCGTCAAGGAGGACGACGACTGCCACTTTGCCCCCCGCTGCCACGATGACGAGTGCAACAAGAGGAAGATTGTCTGCTACGATGGCAAGTGCGTGAATGAGACCTGCCACGGCGATGAGTGCAAGAAGAACCTCGTCTGCAACGGCGAGGAATGCCACCATGCCAAGTGCGAGAAGGACGAGTGCCACGAGAAGCTCGTCTGCAAGAGCGAGAAGGAGTGCCACGTCGAGCCTCACTGCGACCGCTGCTCCAAACCTTCCCCTCCCAAGCCCACCGGTCCCCAGACCACTTCCGCCCCCGGCGGCAACCCAGGTCAAGGTGGTAACCCCGGCCAGGGCGGCAACCCGGGTCAAGGCGGTAACCCCGGCCAGGGCGGTAACCCCGGCCAGGGCGGTAACCCCGGCCAGGGTGGTAACCCCGGCCAGGGCGGCAACCCGGGTCAGGGTGGCAACCCCGGCCAGGGCGGTAACCCCGGCCAGGGCGGTAACCCGGGTCAGGGCGCCACCGCCTCTGGCTCCGCCTTCCCCCGCCCTACTCTGCCTCCTCCCGTGGTCGGCGGCGCTGAGCGCAACGGCATCACCGTCTTCGGTGTCCTTGCTGCTGGTCTTGCTTTCGTCCTGTAAACGAACTCGTGTGTTTCGACGATCTGGTCTTTTGGCGCATTAATGGGCTTGTCCTCAACCTGACCGATCTGGGCAGGCGGAAGGTGGTTGCTTTTTCTCTAGGGTACAATTTTGTTATTTACTGTTTCTTAGGAGATTTGTGCTGCACAATCTCACCTGAGTCAATACACAGTTTTTCTCAATGTTTGCTTTTCCCTCCCCTTTCCCTTTTTCTTTGTCACCATCCCCTTTCGAGAAGAGTTTCTTTTCTTCGAGTTCTGAGTTTTATGGAAACACCGGTGGCGCTGAATATGTTTGTAGCAGCTGTCGATATGTGTGGTGATGTCGTGTGACGGATGGCGGCAGCCTCCGAAGCGGCCCGCACTGTTGTGTCGCGGGTCGGTTGCCTGGAACAGGAAAGCCGCTTACACATGACCTAAGCAGCAGGTTCTTTCTGCCGATTGAAAAATAACGAGAACCGAAAGACTTGTGGACCGAACCCGAATTGTCGGGTCAACTTGATTCAAAGTGGCACCCCGCTGGCCGGGCGCATGCTTGTATGTATGTGTGGGACGGGCCTATATCCTGGGCAAGCAGTCATTTACTTTTACGTCGGACGGCAATAGCTGAAAGAGGAGATGCCCCGAGTAGAGACTGGGCTTCTCGCCTTTCGTTGACGGGAGGGGGCCACCACATGAACAGGGGAGGATGATTCGAGTTATTGTTAACCAGCTGAGAGGTGGCTCTTGGGTCCGCGGTCCTGGGTCGGTGTATCGTTACGCGGGCGCACTGGAGTGTTACCGAGACCGCATTGCCTCGATAATTCCCCATGAGCCTCTTATTCGCGAGCTGGCGTCCCTCTTGTGCTGCTCGATAAATTAACGGCTAGTTGGTGAGACGGGCAACGAGGGAATGCGGAGGCGCTCGGCAGCAGCAGGAGGCGGAGCGGCAGGTTGTGCAAGAGGCCAAAAAACAAAAGACAAAATAGAAGCAGAAATATGAACAAGGAGGAAAAGACCAGGCTGATTCGGACGCCGTCGATGATATCACGCCGTACATAATCTGTACCCTGGGTGGGAAGAGTAGTCGGGCCTCACCGGTTGGGGGACAAGGTTCAACGGCCACAGAATGAAAGAAGGCGTCGAAAAAAACGTGACAAGTCGACTCTGAGCCAGATAGTGTCTTGATGAGAGAAAGACCCAACGGTATTGCGAGGCAGCGGCTTGGGCGAAATTGTGCGAATATGCATGGCGTTTTGGGAGACACAGTACACACCGCGCCATGCGCCGTGTATGTCTTGTGTCTTCTTTTGTCAGACATGCTTCTTTGCCTTGTTTCGCCCTTCTTGTGTCCTGCGACAACAGCCTGATCTCTGGCCCATGTCGTGATCGACGATGCTGTCGATGCCTTGTGTGTGTTTTCCCGACGCTCTGGGAAGAAATGGCACACACACTTTTCCGTACACGCACACATACACATCGCTCCACGCAGAAAAAGTCTTCAACGTTTCATAGCTATACTTGTGCCTCTCACAACGTTTGTCTAAATCAGGTGAAAATTTGAGGACGGGGACAGAAAAAGCAAAGAAGCAGAAAAGAGATATGAGCCCGCCTCTGCTGAGAAAAAAAAAAAGCAAAGAAGAAGGGAAGATTTCAAGCTGCAGACAAAGCTGACAAGGGACCCGGTTACCAGATTCTCGGAACAAGACCCCGTCCATGCAGCTCCGTCTCCCACGAACAAGGGTTACACGACCACGGCCTGGATATCTTGCTGGGTCTTCGGATTTCCCCTCTCTTCCCACACAGCATCTGTTTTGATTGAAAGTGCGCCGAATAGCAAACATCACCTCCCTTGGCGCTCATCCTTTCTTCTCCCCTCTCTTCCTCTCTCCCTCCCACCGCCAGCACATCTCCTTGTTTCCCTTGTCTCACGGAACCCCGTATCGTGGACTTGCCTCGCATCCTCCTCCAAGTAGCCTGGCAACGCCTGGTCAAAGATTAGACGACGACAAGGCAGGAATCAGACATCTTTGATCGGGTTCCCGTCCCCGCTCGCCGTCTACCAAGACAGCATTGCGGAGGCCAGTTGCAGCAAGCTATCGGACCGACGCGGCCCGTCTCTTTCGCATCTCAGTTTAAAAATCCACATTTTAATTTTGTCTTGCAAGAGCCATTCCGGCCAACGACCTTCGTCAGCCCCAATAAACGCATCGTAAAATCTGTTTGCCCCCTCGGGCCAAGGCCGGCGCGGAGTCTGGCGCGGTGCAGTGTTAGAAAGCGATTACTCCTTCGCACTCACCATCACCCCTCGACATCATCCCCTTCGGAGCCCCTCTTTCTACTTGTCAAAAAAAAAAAGCAAAATAAGAAAAATTAAGGTAAATGAGAGAGGCTTCGGCGAAGCGAATATCAACGCGCCCGTACGGCTAAGACATTGGCTGGATACGGCAATTGGGCGCTGACAGGGGGGACCGGTTTCCGATATTCGAAGACGGTCTATTAATATACGAGTCAGCGAAGGAGAAGGAAACCCTGACCCTGTATAGAGGGGGACCACATTCAATACCGCCCCAGTTACATTTTCGGCAACCTGCAGTTTCCGCTGTGGGATGCTCGCCAACAGCGCATTTGCTTGTTGTCTTGATTGGGGGCTTGTCCTCGAGTATAAACTTGGGCGGTTCCGTCCCTGCACGACGACTGAGGCTCGTGAGTGCTGATCTTTTTCAATTTTATACAAGGCCGCTTCTTACAGCTCGGCATCCGTCGTATAGTTATCCTGAGTATCATCACGCAAGAGAGAACGCTGCTCGCCAGCAGCAACCTATAAGCTGGGCGAAAACATGAGCGGCCAGGGATCTTCAAACCTCGGCGATGTTGTCGACGTTGGCACTGCTGATGAGGTGGCTGTGATCTATGGCATCGAAAAAGGGGTCGAGTACGTCGACTCGGACTACACGGACGACACCCAGAGCCTCACGTCGAGCATACGCCAACACATCGTGGACGGAGGTCTCCGGTATCACGCGTATCACGCTGGACAGTACGCGTTCCCAAACGACGAGAATGAGCAGCATCGCGACGATCTCAAGCACAACTTGACGCTGCATTTGTGCGATGGCAAGTACTTTCTGGCGCCGATTGAAGAAGTACTCAAGAATGGAGCGCAAGTGCTCGACCTCGGTAAGGAAGAATTCATCTGCTCCGTGACTGGAAAACATGTTGCTGTTGCTGACTGGTGTAAAAGGAACGGGCAATGGAAAGTGGTGCATAGAGTGTATGTATCCTTGATCTATGTAGAGCTCTGAGTGTTGCGTACTAACACTCCGCTCTTTAGTGGCAGACATTTATCCAAACAGTACGTTTCAGGGAATGGATCTGTCACCCATCCAGCCTGATTGGGTGCCGCAAAACGTCTCCTTTGTTGTGGATGACATTGAGCACACGGCGGGCTGGACATACGAAGAGAACATGTTTGACTACATCCACGTCCGACACATTGTCCACTCGGTCAGAGACCGGCAAGAACTCTGGCACAGGATATACAAGTGAGTCACAACATCATTCATCACCCTATGCCCATCCCCCCATTGCCGAAAAAAAAGAAAGCACGCTGACCTGGGACAGACACCTCAAACCCGGCGGCTACGTCGAGATCCAAGAGTTCGAGTACGTCGCCGCATGCGACGACTCCTCCTGCGACGGGCCCTACGCCTGGCGCGACTTCCTCGAGAACCTGCGAAAGGGCCTCTCCGCCCTCGGCGGCTCCGACCTTCTCGGTGTGCGGCAGGTGGACGCGGAGCTCGCGCGCGCGGGCTTCCGCGGGCTGGGCTACCGCCAGAAGAAGTGCCCCAACGGGCCGTGGGCGCGCCGGCGGCGGCTGCAGGAGTGCGGCCACATCCTGCGCGACGTCTGCATGCAGGGGCTCATCGGCCTCGCGCGGAGGCCCTTCCGCGATGGCCTCCAGTGGACGCCCACGCAGACCGAGGTCTTCCTCGTGGACGTGCGGAGGGCGCTGATGGCGGTCGGGGAGAGCGGCCTGCCGAGGCATCACTCGTACTTTCCGTTTCACAACTTGTACGCGCAGAAGCCGCTAGATGCGTGATGAGAGAGAGGGAATCCGGGGGAGGGGGTGGGAGGTGAGAGGTGGCGGATTTGTTGAGGTTGGCTAGTCTATGCACGGAAGCGTTGAGAGTGCATGCAAGTTTGGGCCATGTGACTACGGAATGATGAATGGAATCTTTCTTCTTATTTTTCTTGGTACGGTAGAAGTGGTCCGTGCAAAAATTCACGGTTAATATCTGTCAGATAGCTCTTGGGCCAGTAACACCGGCTGGTATAAGTGAACGACGTGCGAGTTGACTCACTTTCACGAGCTACAAGGCAGCCAGGCCGGTGTGCGCATAGTAAAAAGCATCACTTGCGTCAGCTACTTCTGCCTGAAAGATACAAGAAAGTACTATGACGAGGTTCTATGAAAGCTTTGAACAGGGGCGTTTTGTGATGCCTCGGTGGCAAAAAAAAAAAGAAAACACCGACGATGCGTTTCGCGTGAATGGACAGACAGTCAAAGTCTCAGGCAGGCAACACAGGGAATCTGCGTGTGACTAGCACAATAACTTGCTTTGAGTTATATGCCACTGGATTAAAAAAATGTAAAAAAATATGACGTGTTTGCTGTGTTGCCTAGCGCCATGGATAAATAAGAATGATGAAGGTTTCTCGTGGGACACACAGGGCGAAAGCGACGGGCATGGCTCCGCCGCGCGCCCGCGAGCACGTGGGATTCGCCCGTCGAACAAACGTGCGCGCGGCACGGTGATGAACAGCGTCTCGGAGGTGACGACACTGGCGGGTTGTGAGAGCAGAGCTTCGTGTGTTCGTGAAGACGTGTGAATCCTCGTTTGCCGAATAACAGGCAGGCAGGCAGGCGTGCGGCGTGGTGCCGGGGCGGGCGAGGGCGACGCAAAGTCAATGAGTCATTGAAGACGAGGTTTCGCAAAAGATAGAAGGACGGACTCGTCATGTGAGTGTTTTGAAAAACTTGCAGTAAATTTTCCAACATGTCACCAAACGTCAACTTCGTCGTTCGTCGTTGTACTGCGCATTGTACCGGGGTGCATGATGTGTCACTGCTCCAGTCATGTGGCGAAGTTGACAATTACCGGCTTTGCTTTGCCCCAACATGTCACCCCATGCTGCTGCTCGACTTATGCACCCAATCAATTTATTTATTGCTTTTTTCTTCTTCCTCTTCGTCTTCAAGTAATATCCCCCTGCGCGCCCGAGATCGAGTCACTGACATCTTGCATGGCCCCCGTTTTCCGTAGAGTGACGTATTTCACATGCAAAGCGCCTGCCACAGAAACCACCCCCCCCCCTAATAATAAGAGCAAACCCCTTGGGCCCTGCGCACCGCCACAGTGACAACCGATTCCACGTGGCGGGTGGCGTTCCAAAATGTGGCGCATTAGTGCGCTAATCAATTTAGCGTGTGGCGTCGGGCAGCTAGCGAACCAGTTGACAACCAGCAAAACATCAACATTCAAGACAGCTTGAAAGCTTCCATATGGTTTCCCTTTCTCTTTCTTTGCGACAAGCTTCTAGTCCTTTCCTTGCTCTAGTGCGCCTTGCAAGCCCAATCTACACCAAAATCAAGGATGGGCAACGACTACCAACAGAAGAGACTGCGGCTGAAGAAGGCGTCCAGAGGCATTTATGCCGCCCAACCACACGTTTCAACAACCACTACACCCACCTGGCTTTGAAGCGGCCACCAGCATCGAGACAAGTATTAGGGCTTTCTCACCACACAAAGAGAAAAAGGCACAAGAGTGTACATACGACTTGCTGCATTTTTACCAGCGGCAAGGCGCGCGCCGGCATGAGCTGCATGCTGCCGGTTGCTGCGCTGGCGCACCCCTCCGGCTCTGTCTTTGGTGTGGGCCAACGCATATGACGTTGGGTATCCGCGCAGACGTTGGGCTTTCCCTCGCCAGCTAAGTTGCCGCAATTGCTTTGGCAACCTCCCGAGCACGAGGGGCACGATGGGACGGGCAAGGAAAAGAGGGAGACCAGAGGGCACGAGAAACAACGAAGGCCGTCTGCAAGCACCTAGCAAAAAGTGACCACATCCTAACAAGCGCCCATCCGACCAGCAGCTGCATCCGTCTATTCGTATGCACACACCCAGCCATTGCATCCTCTTGCCCTTCTTCTTCTTCTTTCCATAGGGGCATTGGGGGCCATTCTGCGCATATCATGTCGGATAGAAGAAGCGACGGATGTCAAGAAGAATGGCTTGAGGAGCGTAGTCTATTGCGAAATCAGAACAAAGTGAAACATGTGCTCGATACGGGAAGGGTCCTGCTTGCCTATAAACTTGTGTGGCTTTTCCCGCTGCTTCTGCTTATAAGAGAAGCCCACCTCAGTCGCAGGATGCAGACTACACATCATCGCTCAAAAATTATTAGTATGCCCGTGTTTGTGTTCTTGCCATAGTGTGTGCATGTGCACATGTGGCATCTCGCCCGTAGTTAGTATAAAACCCGGTAGGCCGTAAAACTCCCCTCAGCGAAGGGAAAGCTCCCCTCTCGCTCGCAGCATATGATGTAAACTGCCTTTAATAAACCCTTGATAAGGTTTGAAGTCTCGTCACGCACCCCCGTGGACCCGTCATGCTTATCCAATGCAAAGAGTCGGTCAGCGTGTCTGAGAATGAGAGGCCGTCCATCATTCACACGCGACTGGACCAGCCATTGTCAATCCAGAACGACGGGGCCACTAGATTCGACAGGGGTACTGGTAGAGCCAGACAAGCCAACGCAGGGGTGTGTCGTCGCTGACGAAACGAGCGCCGTTGAGACTTGGTTACCAGTTGACGGACGTGTTGCAGCATCCATTCTTTCAGCTCTCGGCGCCCAATCACAATTCCGCCAACATTGTTCGCAGCATGTCCATTCCACCGACGACGAGGAGCTAGCAGTAAACGGTTAGCTTTTGGCATCAATACAGATATTTCTGCGCCTGCGTAGCCCATTGGGAGCGAATACATAAGCCTCGTTCGATCGTTTCAAGGTGGGCATCTGATGTCATGAGTCACATTCCAGAGCTGTCTTTGTCAATCTCGCTTTGAGGATAAAGAAATCCGGCAGTCGTGCGCATTGAAGACACCCCGTCGAGCTGCTATACATCATTGCAATTTTTCCCGAGGAAAAGTGAGGCGGTTCCCCTTCTTGTGGTGCTCGGGCGCTTCAAACTTTTCCAAGCCAAAATTTAGACGGCATTCAGGCAGCCATGCAAGAGCCTGGGTGCCAACAAAGTATGAGTTCGGACCAGGGGCTGGCGTAGCCAAGCACGCACAACCAGTGGGAAGCGTACCAGTATGACTGTGCGCAGGATCAACCCTATCCCTGCGAGATGTGATGAAAGACCCGGATGTTAGTACGCACAATAATTTTCCCCTCTCCCTGTTAATTTCTCCTTGTGTAATTGTGTGTCGCTTCTAGAAGGGTCACAGGGTGTGTCCCTAGCAGCATGGAGAAGAGGAAAAGAGTGCCGTCTATCAGCGAGAAACGATGGCATGAGACTTGTCAAAATATCGAGACCAAAATGTCTTCAGGGAGAGCGGTTACGCCGCACAGATGTGGCGGTGTGAATGCGAAGCGACCATCCCTGGGCACAGCAACAACAACACAGGTCATTGTTTGTTATTGTTGTCAGTTGTGACTGTCTCTGGTGCGATGGCCCAAGAACCTGGTAAAGTTTTGAGCCGCTAGGTCAGAGCCCTGGCCTTGGTCCCAGCGCCAAAGCTCCACAGGATTCAAATTCCAGTAATTTGGTAAAATCGAATTTTGCATTCTAGCATCTTGGTTGTGATTCTCTTGTTGAGTCGCTCGTGATACTCCAACGGCCGATATACGACCGAAGTTGGACTCGAATCGAAACCGTCCCACGGACACTGACTGCCACACAAGCGGCATCCATACTTTTTAGTCTCTATTCGTCGCTCATCAACACAGCGGGCCGCTGCCACTTCTGCGTTAGCATCCTGCGGAGAGCGGGAAGGCTGCGGGTTCCCGCGTGCGGTGGAACTTTGAACTCCACAGCCCCGAAGTTGCAGGAGCATCAAGACGGAATTGAGTTGTAAGTAGCGCTGATGAGCATCAATGGCATGTAAGTATGTGATTTGTGTAGAATTCGTGGTTGTTCGCATCTCCCGGAATAGCACGAGGAGTTGAGCCGGGGCAAACACCCTGCATGAAGATGCTTGTGTAGCCGACTAAATAGTCAGCATGCTGCATCCAAATATCTGTTCAAGGGAGGCTGCATCTGGAATTGCTTTGACAAGCAGTGCCATTACGTTGTCCAGGTCTTATCCTATGCGACTGGTCATCTGTGCTGCAATGTAGAGAGGCTATTGCATGCTAGAAACTGTGCATAACATTGTGGCTCTGGATAGATGAACCGTTGCAGGAAAGCACCCTATTCGCCCATAGAAGAAGCTGTCATGTCTTATACCGGCAGCACGAAACGTGGCGAGTTCGGAGAGAGATGATCGCGAAGGCGCTTGTGTCGCGGCCCTGCACCGACCGAGTCAAGGTCAATTTGCATTGGTTGTGTAATAGGATCGGCAGAAAATAGAACCCGCGTAGTCTAGGATGGACATGGTACTCCGGTCATGACTCCTCGTGCTTGGTTTGAGTATGCCCAAATGACTTGAGTCGTAGGTGACAGGACGCACCTTGTCTTGCTCATTATTTTCCACCTGGCGCAAGCATGTGGCTGCGAACATCTTAAAACCCTGTGATGCAGCAAGGCCAGCTCGGTAAGCCGACTCATAGGCGGCGCTTATTTTTGACTGGTGAATTCCAATGTGGGAAGTGCATGATACGACCTGGAGGTCATTTGAATGAAAACCTCCGTGCTCGATGCGCTGCATCAGATATCGAGTCTTACAAAGGCTCGCAGCCTTGTGTAAGATCCTCGCTTACACGGCTCATGAGACTGAGCAGTAAGGTGTTCTGTAGTGATGATACGGGTTGTGCAGTTGTAACTTGTGAGGCTATAGTTATTCGCACTGCAAGGCTTGGCCTGCGGCTAGGCTGAGGAGCCGTGTTAGCGGTGACTGCAAAACGAGCATTTACATTTACCAACGGCAAGCCATGCTGTGCAGGGCTCAGGGCCAAGTTTCGAGCTTATTACGCAGTGATGTATACGAGACGGTGCGATATGGCCGTAACGGGAAGGTTATCCTTGATAGTATCAGTGCAGGAGACTCATAGGCTGGGAAGCATGGGTGCAGAGTTTTTTCAGCTGTGCCATGATTTTGTTGCAGTGGTCGCGGGAATGAATGGTGGGCTGGGTGCATCCGGCCGCTAGGCAAGGTCGATTCGTACATGCCACTGGAGCCGTCATTTCGGTAGACCCCTGAACTGTGGTAATTTGGACTCCATCGACGGGGGCTGGGGGCAGAGTTTTCTCCCAGGGAGCCCAGGATAAATAGCGTTGGAGTGTATCAACTAGACGTCAGTGAGGGTCGATGAGGATTCGAGAAGGACGAGGAGATGACGAGAGTAAGAAAATAGTAGTTGATACGACTGGCCAGGATGGAAGGGGGATGAGGTGCGATGGGGATTGTGATTTGGCAAATGGTGTTGATTTGGCAAACGGGCAGACGTGGAGGAGAGAGGGAGGCAGAAGCTTGCTTGGTGGTTATTTTAGCGAAGACGGACCAGGTGGCAACAGGGTGTGGGCGGACGAGTGCCGGTAACTGGCAAATAGCAGGGCTGGGAGAGGGCATTGTCAGCAGCAATAGGCGGGCGGACGAGTCATTGAGGGGCCTGTTATGGGACGTAAGGTATATTTATTTTGATTCTTATTTTCTTTTGAAGCTGGTATGCTTTCTCCTTTTTTGATATTTCTCATCCCCTTTTTTTTTTTTTTTTTGCGCTGTGTTGTTGTGTGTTTATTCCGTACTAGTGCTCCGTATTGTTGTCATACCTCCCACTCCCAAGTGCCTTGCAGTGAAAGAAAAAGTGGCACCAATGGCCAAAATGGCGGATTCCTCAACAGCAGGCAGGCACGTACCCAGGAAGGCAGGTTGAAAGGTAGTGTGGCTTGTGCGCGGCAATAGGCGGAGGTTGGTGGTGGATAGTGCGAGGAAAAGGTTCCTTCTGGCGTTGTCCAGGGCGTGGTAGGGGATTCTGGAAATTGCACCAAAACATGAGCAAGAGCAAGAGCAAGGAAGAAAATGGAATGAAATAGAGTAAAAAAGGGATTACGAATACCACGGATAGACCCAGTCACAAGAAAAGATTACGCAAAATGATACACCACATCGCATCACCAGCACCCACGGGAGAGGACGAAGTAGTGCCGCCCATTTTCACTGATAGCCGGTGCCTCTGACTCTTGGGGGGGTGCAAAGACTGGTGATATCTTGGCCTAATTGTTCAAGTACAGCCGTGTACCTTTTTGCCTGGCGAGCTGCTGTTCTGCCGTGCCGTGCGGCCTTGTAAAAGACACCCCTACATGAGAAACCTTACCAGTAGTGCTGCCCATGCCCACCGTAATAGCGGCCACACCACTGTCGCCGCCCCTGTCTGCCCGGCCCCTGCACACTGCTTGCTCCACGCCCGCCTGGCGCCGGCGCTGGTCTGGCTCGGCCTGATTTGCCTTTGCTTTGCTCGCTGCGCTTTGCTTTTCTTTTGTTGCTTTGCTTTGCCACCCCCCCTTGTTCTATCCTTCCTTGGTCTGGTCGGTCCTGGCGTCCTGGCGTGGCTGTTAGCCCCCCCCCTTCCCAGGCCCCCCTACCGTCCACCTCCCCACGCCCTCACACACGCACAGTATAACTACTTCCGCCTCACTGCACTCCCGTCCAACCCCCTCTCTTTTTTTTCTTCCTCTTCTGTACCACTCTTGGCTTCTGCCAACAACCAAATCACACTCCAAGCATCGCTCCCCGCCGCTCTTTTAAATCACTACGCAGACGTTTAGCTACGTCTGTCGATTTACACTTTCGTCGATTCACAACTGCGCTGACTCACTGCGAGCCCTAGCGCCTCCCTCGACTTCTCATCACTGCTAGCCAGGTCCCGTTCGGAACTTGGCCTTGTATTTCCTCGTACGGGGAAATCATACATATAAACTTCAGGCCTGTCATGTTTGCAACAGGAAACACCTTTCCTCCACAATACGCATCCCACGACATAGGAAGGTGACTGGCCGATTTCGTCCCGACACCTGCATGACAACGACTCTATTTGCACACGACAGCAAGCAGTCGGCTTGAACAACAACAGCGCGCCATACCCACCCTCGACGGGTAGTTGTTGGATGAGAGCCGAGGAGTAGATGTCCTGCGGGCATCAGTCAAGATATTTTAAAATTTGAAAATCAGAGAAAAAAAACGACAACAATCGACGTCCGTTTGTACACAAACACGCACAACATGAACTTCCCTTCGCCAATGACGCCGGGCTCTACCCCCCAGTATGATCGCGAATATCGCGACTATTCTGCTACTCCTTCGCCACGACGAGACTGGACCTTCGACACCCCGACGACTCCCATCCGCCCTGCCACGCGTGCCGCTCATGGACGGGCTGCCAGCTACTCCCAGCGCTCCCCCTTCCCTCCCCAACCCCAGCCGCGGCCGCAACCGGCCGTGTACAGTCCTCATCAGTGGGATTCGCCGCGCTTTACCAGCGATGGAGTCTACGCCGCCAGGGTTGACGTTGATGTGAGTCCCAAATATTTCTCGTCGTCGCGCCGCCAATCGGCTTCGTTCCAAGCCCCTCCATGGGCTGATCGCAGGCACTCGTATTTCAATGTCCGGGCTTCCACTCCCTATGGAGAATCCGACGAGGACGAGATTCTTGAAACCAAGGCCGGTACCTACGTCTTGCCAGCTCAGTCGCGCTGCTGCACCGGCCAGCGTCCCGACAATCACCACTATGGATATCATGACGGAGGGCGGTACACTAACGCACATGGTTATCAGCAGACCCAGACTCCTCCCTACTACTACCCCAATGGCTACGATTACCCTGCCTATAGTGGTGCTGCTACGCCTGGTCCTGAGCGCTTCACTCCTCGCGAGTCGCCTCAGAACCCGCGTTTCCAGTCTCGCCCCCCAACCAGTTTCAATCACTCGCGCCATTCCTCCATGGCCACTCCCAAGCGCCCCTCCACTGCCCGCCCCCAAAGCTCCCACAAGTCCAAGGCCAAGCCTGAAGAGCCTGTTGGTCCTCGCAAGGCAACTGAGGCTGATGCAAAGGTTCACAGAATCCCTGCCGGCTATGCGCTCAAAAACTGGGACCCGGATGAGAGGCCCATTCTCCTGCTCGGCAGTGTTTTTGACTTCAACAGCCTAGGCAAGTGGATTTTTGATTGGACTGTGTGGCGTGAAGGCCGTGGCTCTCCCATTGCCGACATTGCTGGCGAACTTTGGCTTCTTCTGATCCAGCTCAACTCCAAGATCAAGGCCGCCGAGAATGTCATTGGCAGCGTTCGCAAACCCGAAAGCCGTGAGATGCTTGAAGATTTCCTTGAGTCGGGCGAGCGTCTGTTGGAGAAGCTTCGGTTCCTTCTCAAGGCCTGCGAGGCTCCCATGCTCAAGGCTGCCAAGAAGCGCCAGTCTGGTCTGGGCAAAAGCTCCGGGGTCGAGTTTGTCCACACGCTCTTTGGCCCCGACCGTGAAGGCGAAAAGACGGACAAGTTCATGCAGAGCATTCGCCTTTTCATCCTTCGCTTTGATGCCAATTGTGATGACATTGTCCGGAATCCCACCCGATAAATGCCCGGATTGGACCATTGAGGCCGCCTCTCACACATACACTCCCAAGGAGAATTCACCCAAAGCCTGTATTATATCCCTGGCTCCCTGGAACTTTTCCTTTTTTTTTACTTTATCTGGCCATCCGAACCATTTTGGACGCCGGAGCCTCTTGGCCCTTGTTGGAGCAACGAACGAACCTCAAGGACTTTTCTTTTCAACACCCAGGGAATGGCACTGTCAGACTGTACACTAATCTGATTTTTTTCGTTTATCCGCGGACGGAGTGGGCCTGGATACCAAACTTATACCCCGGAGTATTTGCTTTATTTCCTATTTCTTATGGTCCTCTTATGGATACCAGGATCTATTAGACACGCGAGCACGATGCGGAAGATGGAATGACAGGGCAACCTGTACTATCGGCCGGAAGCGCGCGCTGCGCAAAACACCAAGACTGGTGTGAACTATGTTTTTTGTTTGTCTATTCTTTTTGTGTGTGCTTTTTTGCTGAAGATTTTAGAGATACCCACGGCAGTCGTTCGATATAGTGACGAGGTACGCTGGGAGAGAGATGTTGACTTGCTTTTGGTTATAGACTGGAAAACGCATGTGCATTTTGGAGATGAACTGGATGTATGGATAATAATGCTTCGCCAAGCGAACGGAGCATGATGCCCGAGATCTTTAGTAGTTTGATTTGAAAAGATAGAAAATATTTTATACATTGAAACCTGTGCCCTTGATAACCTGTGCCTTTGGTTCTTTCCACCTGTCAATTAGTTCTGTCCTGAACACGACACTGCATCCATCTAGTTGTTGTAACTCTACACTTGAGTCCTGTGCTCATACGGCTAACAATGGAGCAGCGACTGCATAGCGTCGCATTGCTAGCACCAGTGGGCATGATGATGCTGAATATAGATCTTACTCACCTGCATGACTATTACTAGCCCGGCGCGCCACCCCCGGTCGCCGCCGCCGCCCACCAACGTGCGTGAATCGGATAGAGTTCCCCGTGCGCAATAGAACCTAGGTCATGCTTTCTTCTTCTCTGGTCATTCATCATGCTTCATGTTCTAGATATGTGAAAAAAAAAAAAAAAAAAAAAGGAAAA